GCCTGGGGGAAGAACCAGCGGGAGACACAACCACACACACACACACACACACACACACCTGTTTGCCTGCTGGAGAAACCTCACACACAGGAACGGATGATTTGGTGAATAAAAGAGAACGAATAAAAGATGAGTGACATAAGTATGAAGTCCGAAGCCAAGATATATAATATAAACTGTTAAATAATGTTATTCAAGAGTTGTAGTGTCAGAATGCCTGGGTAAATAAAATAAAAAGTTATGAGCAAAGAGCTTACATACAGCTCATAATTCAGAGTCAGGGTTTAGATTGATAGAAAAAAATGTTAAAATATCTATAAGCATTTTTATTGTAGACTTTTTTAAAATAAAAACACATTTGAAGATTACAAATGCAACAACATTCTTGCTTTTCTGTTATTATAACTGATCAGACATAAGAAGTTTAATTTGGTAGCTTTCTGGTATCATTATTATTTCAAAAAGAAGACTAATTAAGTGTGGTCACAGTCGTTTCTGGAGAGAAGAGAAGAACTTATTGTATTAGAGTGAAAAAATACTACTTATCACCAATAAAACTAGCAATGAAGAAGAATCTGCTTGTCATACACCTTCTCAACACCAAGGCAGAAAGGACAAAACACATCTTTAAAACAACAACATCACAGAGATAAAACACTTTACAGTGTTCAGATTCACTACAGACTCAGCAGGAGCCCCATCAGCACACTGTATTGGCAACAAACTACAGTGGAAATGTAGCGATAAGCGCCACAAAACTACTAAATTACACTACAAAGTTCCACTGATGCAATAAATGAATTTTACATTAATATTATAGCATCAACCAAAAACAAGTAATTTGAATAATATTATAGAGATACTAGATAAAGAGAAAACAACATAAAGTCAGTATAAACGCTATTGGAATAGAGGGTAAACATCTTAGTATGAATAAGCTTAATTCTGACCTGCAAAGACAAACTGTATGTCTCTATATGGTCCCTGAGCACCATAAATATTTTAGGAATATCATGGGACATAAATTTCACAAACACACTGCAGAAAATAGTATGAATATTGCAACAATACAGGAGAGTTAACAACATACAGTAAGTCGATATTTCCGCTGAATAAATATTTATGTAGCCAAGAGTAAGACAAACATCATATAAACTCACTATTGAGTTAAATGCATCAAAAACGAACTGGAAGAATATTCTAGAAATGTTATTGTACTTCCATAAGAGATGAGAAATAGATATTAAAGTGTCATCAGATGAATAAAAACGCACTATGATGAACCACAGGAACATTAACAAGCAAAATAAACCTTTAAACAAACAGATCAGATGAAGATTTAACCCCCTAAAGTCATTTTAAATATCACATTTGCACTGCCGAAATACTGTAGAGACTAGACATCACACTATCCACCACTACAGTAACATTAAAGAAGCTGGTTGTAGCCCAGGCTCATTCCAAAATACTGTGGAAATTTGAGTGTAGTCTGGTTGGTGTGAAGTGTCAACGCGTAAAATAGCCTGTTAGCACGCAGAGGTAATTCTGATCAGCATTAAAAATTAACTGACTGTCACACTTAAATCAACAGGGCTAAAAAAGAAGCAAATGTGGAGTATAATTCCCAGCTAAACTTACCGGAGTGAGCGGCTCCAGCGGTGCGGACGCTCTGGACAGAACCTCTGTTAGAAAATGTTAAAATTTACAGCAAAACAACATTTAAGACGACTCCCGTTTCACTGGTTCGCATCCACAGGCAGCGCGCGCTGAACAGCCGACGGACGGACACACTGTGAGCGCGTGCGAGTGCGTGAGCTGCAGAGAGAGAGAGAGAGAGAGATCAGCATGCGCATGCGTGATCACTCCGGTGGAAGAGAAAGTGCTTTTTCTCGTGCACGCCCACTTGCAAGGATACGTGAAAAGACACACACACACACACACACACACACAAAGTTAGTTAATTTGACATTAAGAGTTTAGCAAAGATGTGTGTGTGTGTGTGTGTGTGTGTGTGTGTGTGCGCGGTTCAGATAAGCTCTACCAGCCCCGCCCTTGGCAAAAAAACCTTAAACAGTCAAGCTTCCCTCCTCAACATGCTCCTCACACACAGACACACATTATGTTCCTCCTTTTAAACAAGCTAAACTCAAATTTCATCAATAAACAAGTAATGATCCATACAAACATGTCACATTAATTTAAAGACACCAAACTATTACAACAAGAGTTTACAGCTTAGCAGGTCTGGTCAGGCTACAACTTCTTTGAGCTAAATGCTAATGTCTACATGCTGTCATGATTATATGGCAAAGCTAACAAGTTTAGCCTAAAGAACCTAAGCCTCTCCCCTTTCGGTAAACCATGGGACCTAATATCGAGAAAAAATGTACGGTAGTCAACGACGAGAGGCAACAAATTTTTTGATCCTGTTTTAATTGTGCTCTGAATTACACACATGATGTTTGTCAATTTAAAATATAATTTTGAAAGTCAAGAAAGTTGCCGTTTGTCGTAAAACTATTTAAGTATAAGACTGGGAAAATACTTAATTACAAAGACTACAAACCCAAATGTCACGTATGTGACGTCATAACTGTTTTTCTCAATGGCTGAAGCTAACGTTACTGAAGCTAATGTCAAAGAGCTTCCATGTGTAGATGATGTGATGAAAGGACAAGGAGTCGTTGGATTAAACACATCAGGTGAGATACATCTGTGCATGGAACATAGCAACAGTGCAAGTCACCTAGCTAGTAGCAAGCAAGCAATAAACGTTAGCTTAGCATTACAGCGCTAACATGTTGGAGACGTATATTGTGCGAGACAAGAGATGTGGTTCATTGAGCGGTTTCACACAGAACTAAATGTGACTTTCTTCACTTACAAAATTATCTTTTAAATTGACAAATATCACGTGTGTGATTTGTGGCAGAATTCATATGGGATCAAAACATTAGTTGTCTCTCGCCGTTAAGGTCCCACGGGGCGGAAGGCGGGAACCTAGGCTCTCTATGCTAACATACTGACGTTAAGCAGGTATAATCTTAATCATGTAGGCTAATGCTTATAGCACTTTTGGTAACAAACCAAAGTTTAGGACACATTTGAATTTTGACCTAGTGATCACCAGGTGTCACCAAATTTACCGGCATTAGGATTAATCCTGCGGGAACCATGAATGTGTGTAGTACCATCTTCTATAAAAAAAACAGATGTCAAAACATGTAGCTATACCAGACCAGCAAAAGGGACAGGCGTCAAATTGGGACTAGGCTTTTAATTGAAGTTTTATGGTATTATAGCTCATTCTGAACTAAATTATGCAATCCATCCAATAACTGTTGAGATATTTCATACTGGATCAAAATGGAAGACCAACCTGAAATATTATCAGTAAGCAAAGACACCAAACAATACTTCAAAACATAAGGTACGGTTTTAAATAGAGTAGTATTAAAAAGCAAAATGTATCCTGGTGTGTGCTGCAAACAAACCTTGATTTAGTCTCAGCTGACCTCTGACCTTTAATATAGTTCCTCCTTCTCTTCTGTAAAAGGAGTTATACAGTCCACATACCAAGTTAATCAACACTTTTCTACACTGCGTTTGGGTCCAAAGATGAACCACTTAAAAAAGGACAGAGTTACGGAGGGAGTGAGAGAGTCTTTGTTGGGTGAAACTGCTCTCTGCTGTTGAAATGTTTGGGGAAATGAGCTCGGATGCATCAACACACACTCACTTGAAGACAAACAGTAGAATCAGGTTTGTGTGTTGGTGTTGCCTGGTGAATAATTGCCTCTCTTTAAAGTAATCAGAGCAACACAACCACAAACAGACCAGAGTCTTACTCTAAAATCTCTCGATTTAAAGACATACTAATCCAAACTGTGGTGTTAAGTCTGAACCACATTTACACCTGAAAAAAGACAACACCTACTTATCTTTCATGTTTTTATATTTTGTCTTGATGTTCTTTTATAAGAAAATTTTATAATAAAACGCAACTGAAAAAATAGTCTAAAAATTCAAATCATCTACATTGAACGTTTGCATCATGTACATTTTTCCTTGTTTTCTGTTGTAATAAAGATTCAGAAACACTATATTTTATAGCAGTCATATAGGAGTCATAATTTGTTTTTAAAAAATGTTCGTGGAAATAATTATGTAATTTGGTGCTAGTAATTGTGCCGTTTATAAGCATTTGTTGATTTTCCAAGGATTTTCCCAAAAAGAAATGGTGTAGAATATGAAATATAAGATGTCCATGAGGCACGTGCAGAGTAGATGTAATTATTCCTTTTGCTTATAGCATTAGTGATCATTTGTTTGATAAGAAGTGATGATCACAAAATAAACGTTCTTAGTTCAAAAGAAAAAAAAAATTTAAACTGGGGCTTACAACCACATCTCAGTCTTCCTCAGTAGATGGAGTTTAGCTACATTGTTTTATTGGCTATTTCCTTCCACGATGTGTTGAGAAAGGAGGTAAGAACCACATTGTTGTAAGTTCTTGAAAAAGCTAACAAGTGGACATTGAATTAAGATCTTCGCATTGTTACTGTTTCCAAGTTCAAAAATGCAGTCAAACAAACAAGAACTGAAAACAGTTTGTTACAGCATGTTGGGATTACAAAAAGCTTTTAATCTTTTTATCACCTGGAAATAACATTTTTTTAAAATCTAAATTTAGCTTACAGACTTTAGTTTACAGTCAAACCCTGTTTTATTTATTCTTGATCCAACAACACTGTAAAGTTCAAGCTCTATTTTTTGGCCTCTAGCATGTCTCAAGAACAGTTAATCCATTTTTATAATTGAGTGGAATTTCCCTTAAAGGCAAATTTTATTCTGGTGGTACAGGAAACAAAGTCATTAGCGGTGTACAGGTTTAAGGTTTTTGAGATGTTATTGCACAAAGCATTGCATAGTTGTTGTCAGGCCTGAGGTACAGTGACACAAACAAAAACACGTTCATACATTTTAACAAAACAATCTGAAAGGAGTCAATCCACGGAACATTTTATCACACATAACAAGACTCTGGGTAGAGTACAAGGACATTCAGGAGATGGACAAAATAACAGCAACATTTCACATTACAACACAATTCAAGTCAACACTGCCTTAAGAATTTAATCAAAACCAGACTGAAGGGTTGAGCTTCACAAATATCTGGCTGTTGCATTGAGTTGTGGCAATTTGTCTTTGTGTTTCTATTATTTTGTCCACCAAATTATAATCAATTTGAACAGGAGAGCATACAAACTTTGGGCTCTATCAGAAGAAAAACAAAAACATACACTAGGCAGCACATTTATTCAGTATTTTCAAATAAACTGAATATAATCTCTTTTTTACAACATAGTATTTTATGATAAGAAATTATTCAAAAACATTATTTTAGTGTGTAAAAAAGGAGTATATTGTTACATATCACATTGTTAATTCAGACAGACAAAAACATAAAACACCTAAACTTTGGCTACTGATTTGCTAAGATCAGCTTCAGCCAATGTTTCTTCTCCAACAAACAAAGCAAAATCATCAACATACAGCAAAATTTTTTGGCTTGTCTGAAATGATGAAATTATTATTATGCTGAACGTCTTGTCGCGTAAACCAAAGAAGGAAATGACCAGCAGCCAACCAGTTACTGGCTGTGCGGCAAACTAGCAAGTTAGCCGCACAGAAAAAAACCAAAACAAAGTTAGCCGCACAGGTAGGCATCGACAAGCCATCCATAAATTTCCTAAATGTGTAATCTGCTGGTTCTGTAATGTGAACAGAGACACTGTATCCCAGGAGCAGCGACAATGTAGCGTTTCATCAAAGAAACTTTGGCTACGGGTACAAAGCAACATCGTTGACGTATAACAACATTTTGTGGTTCATAGCAAAGTGTTGGTGTCAACATGCTGCTGAACATCTTATCATGTAAACCAGAGAAGGAAATGTCAGCAGCCAACTAGACAAGTGTAGTTAGCAGGCTAGCCAAACAGGTCCATTAACCATCTAAATCTTTCCTCAACGTGTAACCCGCTGGTGTAGCAATGTGAAGAGTAAAGCAGAGAAACTTTGGCTACGGGTGAAACATTGCCAGACAGACTGGCTACAACAAACCAGACATTCTTCACCAATGACAAGGCAACATTTTGGGGTTCATAGCAAAGTATTGGTCTCAACATGATGCTGAGCATCATAAGGAAATGACCAGCAAGGTGCAGCTGGAGCTAACTATGTAGCTGGAAAGTTAAGTTTATGGTCCAAACTCCTCCTCAGCGTGTAGCATGCTGATGCTGGGGTTTGATAGCATTTTAGAAAATCTGAACCCAGTTCTGAATCCACTCATCAAATATGAATCCTTTTGAATCCCTCATCAATCCTTTATTTTGGTTCTGCTGTCAACATTTGTAATAAAAGGTGACTAGAAGATTAAATTGAAATGTGCACATTTGTTGGCTCAAGAACAGATTACAGACTAGAGTGTCACTCCAATTTTTTTTTTTCACAACCTGTGAAACAGATGATATGGCATGTTGATTAAATATATCTGCCACATTAAAATAACACAGTCTACTTTCTTTTTTTCCCCACCAGCTACTTGCTTCAAATTCCTGAGTTCTGATTAAATGGTAGCTTAGGTATTTTTCAACCTGGATCCTTTTTTCCCATGGTTTTTATGACTAATTGGAACAACATTTGTTGTATTGAGAAAGTATTGAGAAAGCGTGCTGCAGCAAAACAGGACTGTGGTTACCTCAAGTGCTTGGTTTGCCACTGACAGGCTCAAATTGTTATTGTAAGTGACAGTTTTATGTAAAGGATCCCTGCAGACATAAACTATTTAAAAAAAGTAAGATCGTTTTTGTTTAACCAGAAACAGTCACTATATCAGTCTCATCAAAACCACCATATTCCCTTAATAAAAGGTGTAGGTCTCTGTAGGGATCCTTTCCACAATGTTGTCAGACACTTTTAATAACAATCTGAGCCTGTCTGTGGCAAAAACAATCACTTTACAGGACGTACTTTGACGGGGTACAATTGCAGGCTTGTTCCACTGCAGCGCACTCACTCAATGGACCATTTGAAAAGATTTCCCAGTTATTAACAGACACAAAAACATGGGAAAATAGGGTCCAGGTTACAAAATGCCAAAGTTATTCTAAAAGTTGACAGGCATAAATGACTAATATGAAACTTAACCAGGAGATTCCGATGAATGAAATGAATATGATAAGATCAGCTTTTCGTTTCTCTAGAGAAGACTCACCACACTGTTGGTCTTATTGAACTAGAAAAACAGTCCACTTTTGCAGTTGTGGAGTGCAGATGCTAAAACGTGCTGCTTTTAAATAATCTTGGCCAAGATCAAACACCGGCTTGCAGAGAACAGCCAAGTTTAATTCTAGTAAATAACTTCTGGCATTAACGCTAATTAGCTACAGCTGAATATGATCTGCTGGAGGCAATGTTTATCATTTTACCCGGCAAAAGGTCATCAGTCATCAGTACCGGCTAAAATATGAGAAGCTCACAGAATGTTTTTATTGCTAATAAAAAAAGAACAAAACACATTAGATTCAATAAGAGTCCTGGCATTTTATCAACATGGACGCAGATCCGAAGCAGAACTGTCTATAGGAAGCCAGCAGGTGCAGAGTTGTGGAATCGTATAGACAGTGAAGCAGTTTTCCTGCAGTGGTGTTGAGGCACATTTAGTCGCTGTGAGTTTCTGACTGCAGTGGCTCAGGATTTTTTTAAAGTTCAAAGAAAAGCTTAGTGCCTCACAGAGGATTAGATGGATTTACCCCCCAACTCTCTGAGACAGAGGCAAGAAATTAGCTCCAAAGTCACAAGTACTATAGGTCTATGATTGTATGTATAGAAAGAAAGATCATTCTTAAGACCCCCCCCTTTGTTCTTAATATCATTTCAAGAGTTCAAAAAAATGAACATCCTTTTGAAAACACTCCAAATATCACTTGTTGTGCAGTTCCACAACAGTTTAAGAGTCGGAAAGTGATGAAATTCCCCCTTTTCTAAGCCTTTCCAGGCCTGCAGGAGGTATATCAGGACCCAGGAAACCCATTCAAAATCCAAAATAATTAATTTCCCTCTAAACTATCTAACTGCCTCTTTTTGTAGCGAAGCTGGAAATATATCCTAAACCCACAAACTCCCAATTCCACTCTGGTATAAAACTATCCCAAATCCATCCAAACATTAAAAAATCCCAAAACAATCCCTCCCTAACTTTCCCCACAATGGTGTCCATTTATCCCAAAACATCTTTCCGAACATATTTCTGGCCATTTTTTTTTGGTGGTTGTTGTGTCAACTTTCCTCCAGCCAGGAGGGGGCATCTACGCTGGGGTTGTTGAGGAGTTCGCCAGCCTGCTGGATGTTTTGCTGGAGGAAGCTGTGACACGATAAACTGTGAGCAGCAACGGCGCTGTGGAGCAGCCACAGCTGGTTATGGAGGACTTTGACCTGCAGACAGAGAGCGTAAATGAGAGATTTGTCAAACGAATGTTAATCCTTTCTTCATTAATATTAAGTATCCACCACTTTCTGCCAGGTATAATATATCATTGACTTTCTTTTTTTTTTTTTTCTTTTTTTTTTACAAATGCTCTTTATTGATTCTCACTTACGGTTATAAGGCGGAGCACCATTTAACCACCTCACATACTGATTGATCACTTATTCTACTGTCCTGAATCTGAATCTTTTGTTTTGTTTTTTAGAGGCGCCAGTGTATATGGACTAGAAAGACGTGGGCAATATGGCATGTCCATTTTGCAGAGAGAATTGGAGGTGAGCTAGCTAATTTTACTGTGTAGATTGTTCAGTTCATAGCTAGCGTTGTGTTGTCATTGCACTTTCAGATGCCGTTCACTATTTTGTGCAGGCGCTCTGGCGAAAAAAAAAAAGCACTGATCATGGGGAATCAACTCGTGGCTCTGCTTCAACTGTGTGACAGCTTGACAACGGCCGACCAAGATTTCTGACATGTCAGAAATTCATCTGACCGTCTGTGAGCAGGTGATCAGCCCTCCCTGTACGCAGCACGGCAAACGACGTCAGACGAAGCTGAAATTCCGCCCTACTTGTGCGGCTCAAAAACTGAACCGAAACTGTCTGTGTACAGTGTATGGCCAGCTTAATAAAAAAGGAATAAAATGCTCAGAACATGGTTTTAAAAAATGTTTATCTTTGACTTATTTGGAAATATTAGGATATAAATAGTGGGATGACGATTAAAGATGTCAAAAACATGCGTTTTTCAAGTAAATGGAGACAGAACCTGCTGTAACTAAGTCACCAGATTCCACCAATATGTCGTCATCTTCATCTATTTCTGTTAGTTCAGACACATCAGCAACATGTGGAAAGATGGTCCATGTAACACTAGAACTCTCCAGGATTCATGGAGGATGACTTGCTGACCATTTCCAGGTTTACCAGAAATCTCGGCTCCCTCTCACCTTGTTCTCCTCCAGCAGCTTCACCTTGATGGACAGGTCATCTCTGATCCTCTGGTACTTCTCCCTCTGGTTCTGGAAGTCTTTCTGGGCCTGCTCCAGTTTGGGCAGAGTGATGGCGTCCCGGGGCCCCAGGTTCAGCTCCTCCAGGTCGACTCGGTACGCATCGTACTCGATCCTGGGAGTTGGAGAAGTTTACATGGTCATCTAAAGAAGAGGTCTCAAAAATTGTTTCATTTTGTGGACCGTTTTTGTTTTGATAATATTCTTGTGGTCCAGTAGAGGTGGGATGTCACAACGAATTAAATAACAAATTACTGTCCAGCTTTTATCGTTTTCTTGCGGCCTGGTAGCAGTTATTCAGTGGTTACGTCTATTACGATTTCCTAAATTTCCCAGAATAGCTTCCAATGTCGTCTCTATTGCCATGTTCATTTCTATTGGGGTGAATGACAGAAATGGAAAACACTCCCATGTTTATGACATGCACAACCTCCTTTGTGTACTTCAGCTTGTGATTTCCCTACATTTCCCAGAATGCCCTTCTGGGTCGTCCATTATTTAAACCCAAACCTTCCTCTCAGTCTCTGCTGTATTACTGTTGAAACACTTTCTGATGTTAAACAAATTTGAGCTGCTGAATATATCTAGATATATGACATGTAGACCCTGGTGTGGCTGGAAGCAGCACGTTCAGGCTCACAGGAAACAGCAAATGTGTTTTCCACCCACCTGGCAGCCTCATACTGCTTGGCGTTGATCATAGTGTCCTCGATGGTTTTGTTGATCAGAGTGTTCATGTCGGATGTGAAGGCGTTAATGGCCGCCGCCAGAGTCTCACCGCTCTTAGACAGAAACTTCTGAGCCTCTGCATTTACACCAAAGTCCACCTGACAAAGAGACAAAGAGAGAACACCATGATTGACCACCTCATGCGAAATAACTTCACCCAAGGTCTTCAAATGTCCTGATCAGAAATACTGATGAGTGTAGTTCGTAATCTAGAGCAGTCCGATAAGCAGTTTGTTCAGGCTGCTTGTGCTAAGATGCTACAAGCTAACATTAAATTTCAAAGCTTTTTCAAAATTAAAGCTAAACAATATGAAAAAAGGTATAATTGAAAATTGTCTTTTCACATATTTTTTGTAACAGTTTTCAAAATTAAGTTGTGAAACTGAGTGCACAGACTTACAGATTTTACAGCCAGATGTTAAATATAGGACTGACTGGACAGGATGGACTGTTGTCTTGTTTGGTTGCTTAGCTTACATACTCATTTACTTTTTAAACATTATATTTCCACTTCTAGTGGTACAAGATAGTATGAAGACTGGGGCTGAAACTCGATTAACTCGATTACTAAAATGGCATTTACTGTTTCGTACAGACGATTATTACTGTCGCACAACACGTTTACGCTTTGCGCAAGGGAAGATGAAGTGATTTGATGGGATGGGTTGCAAAATAGCGAAAGAGAGAGAAAATAGCGAGCAACTAAGAAGAGACAGTCCAGTGACAAATACAGAAAGTGTCCAAACTATGGGATCATTTCAAGCTAAAAGAAAACAAAACTCTATAACTTCTAGTCTGTGTGCTGTGAAACACAACTAGCCTACCACAACGACAGTGTTTCAGCATCTGAGCAGAAAGCACCCGGTCTATGCATCGAGACCACGGAGCGGACCCGAAACAAGGTAACGTTAACATTAGCATTGAACGTAAATCATGATTGCTAGTTGAGATAAAGGCTAGCAAAGGTAAGGCACAATTCTTAGTTGTAAATGTATAAACATGTTTGTTTTTTTTGTTCTCCGACTGGTTAGTCCGTGAGTTTGGGTCGTACAGTGATATGAGTTACACAGCTGATCCTGTTACTGAGGGTAACAAGCAAAAGTATTTGCTTGGCTGAGGTTGCTGGAGTGTAAATTTAGGAATGACCGGCTAATGTTGCCTGAACTCTGATAGCATCCAGGCCCTGCTTCAACAAAGAGGGGGAATACTACAGAGTGCATGTGCTAGTCATGAACAGGGATTTTGTTTATGTAACCTTTAGTCAGCTAGTGGCCTTGGAGGTAATACTTGGTCACTAATGTAGCTAGCTGGACATGCAAAAATTTTCAGCTAACATTACAGCGGCTAAATCCATTCCTCACACTCTCCCTCATATATATTTTTTTCCAAACTCGTTGAAAGCTGTGCAATTGTTACAGTTGCTAAACTGCGATTGGACGATTTCTGTTTGGGGGAGAGGTTAGAGAACAGACATTTGTAATTGTAGTAGTAGTAGTAGTAGTATTGTAGTATTTGTGTCGTACAGTGTTAAAAGTAATAAATGTACTTGCAGTAGCAGCAGTAGTACAACAAAAAAATTTTTAGACTCACATGCAGCACTGGTGTTTTGAGGCTGAGCTCGGCAAAGGCGTCCCCCAAGGTCTTCTGGGTAACTGTGAACTGAGTGAGCTGATTGGCCAGTGTCTGAGCCAGCTTGGTCATGTTATCGTAGCGTTGTCGGTCGTCTTTGAGCAGTTCGAGGCGAGGCTCCAGGTCCAGGTCCACCGTACGGGATCCACGGCCGAGCTTCTCTGATAGAGCCTGCCTGGTACACTGCAGGGAGACAGTATTGCTCAGACTGATTGAACATCTTTTACCAATGAACAGAAACAAAAAGTCCTGTTGGATTCCTCTCACCTTGTAGGCGCTGATGCTCCACTTGCGGACTCTTTGCAGCTTCTCACTGGCTGGGTTCTTGTTGTTGCCTTGAATCACCACAGGTCCTCTTCCTGGTGTCTGGGGTGACACTGGAAGGTCTGGAGGTGGGGGGGTCAAAGGTCAATGGAGAGTAGGGATGAAACGGTATGAAAATTTCATTTCCCGATTATAGTGACCAAAATAATCACGGTTATCAGCAGTATTGTAAAAATGTGGAGAAAATAATTCAAATGTACTGAAAAATCAGCTTATAATTGTTCAGTTATCCTTGCAATTAAAATGTGTGCGGTAATAATAACCGTCGGGAATTTTACTATGGTTTATTAAACCGGCAATCGTTTCATCCCTAACGGAGAGCTACCATGACAAGTGCAATACCTGACATATTGTGCAGTATTCTCTGCTTCAATACTCTGGTTACTCTTGTATCCAAAAGTAGTAGTGGTATGGATGGAAATGGTGGACCACACATATTATTTGAATGTTTACACAGTGTGTTCAGTTGTTTGTGTAGTATTAGTTTAAGCAGACTGTGTTTGTCTTTTGCTGTGAGATCAGATCACATTTTATGACCAATTTATGCAGAAGTGCATGTAATTCCAAAGGGTTAACATACTGTACTTTTTCCTGCAACTGTAAATAACCATTTTACAATACATGTTAGAAACCAAAACAGCGTAAACACACACCTTTATAATGTTTCTACTCCTTCACTTGTTTACCTTTGTCCTGCCCTGTTTCCATGTTGACCTCTGCCATGGCCTCAGCTGGACAGGAAGTGACACCGTTGTCTGCGTGGTTGCAGTTACTGTTCGCGTCCTGTTAAAAAGGAGAGAGAGAAGTGTTTCTTTCCACAGCACTACGGCCACATGGACAGAAAAACTATACTGCTATGTTTTGGTGTCATTTACAGTCCCTGCTTCTATCCTCTGCTCTCTCGAGGGAGGGCAGGGTTCAGTGCCTCCACGCGAGCGCGTGCACACACACACACATTAATTCAAATTAATTAAATTTATTGAACATTTGTTATGCTGTTAGTGAGGAATATTATATTGCAATAATTATCATTGTTGTCCTAGTCAAGCAGTCAACATGTGTAAACAAGGAGGAGTGTTGCCTCCGTCAGACCCACTAATTATGGAGTGTTTGAGCAGCATTTGGAGGCTAAGAAATTGTCAGTAGTCAAGGAATAACGCATTTAATCAGGGACAATTCACATCAAATCATGTTTTGCAACAATGCCTTTATTGTGAATTGTCCCCTTTTAAATAGCATTACGGTATTTTAATATCCTGTTGTAATACATGTATTGTGAAATGCCCATAAATAATTGCACATGCATTTGACTAGTATAATAATAATTATTAAGGCATATTTGCATGATCCATCAAGTTCATTTATATTGATTCAGTTAGTAATATTTTCTTATTGAACTGCTGAAATTGTATTAATCCACCACATGATTACGCACACCTTCTGATGAAAGAAATTTGCATAAATTGTAAAATACAGTGTTCAGAAATCACACAGAATCTGGATATGACATTATATTAGTTGCTGCTCTTTTAAACTTTTGCTGCTTGTCAATTGTCTATTTTGGACTGGTTCTGACTGTACATGGGTCCCTTTCAGACCAGGTTTCTTTAATAGGAAGTACATTTATGCACACCAAAATCTTGGACCTGTGAAGCCCTCTGACGCACCTCTGACCTCTCTATGGAGCTCAACTTGCCCCCCCACCCCCCCACTCAACTGCTGCTGCCGGAAGCACTTTAACTTAAATATTTAAGATTTCTAGCTGCATCTTTCCAAGCTGGAATTTCAAATTTCAAAAACAGTTCTTGAATGCAGCGTCAACAGGAGCATCACCAGTAAGCTACCGTAACGAGGTCAAAGGCCAGAAGTTAAAGCACCGTGACAATCCTCAGAAGTATCACCGTGGGAACCGGAGCTTATGGGGGCCAATCAGAACCAAGATCAAAAGGTTGTGAGGTTGCCACGGAGATGATAGTTCCCTGTTGTTATTGGCGGGCAGGGAAAATGGTCAGAGGTCACTGCTATAACACTCAAGACAGGAAATAGTCACCTGATATAGATGAAAGGTAAAGACACACGAACAGTAAATGGCTGTCGTCTACAGTTAAGACAGGTTACAGACAAAAAACATCAACACTGGAAGTTAACATGTGTGTGTGTCTACCTTCTTGTATTTCCCACATAGTGAGGACCGGAGCTTTAGGTTTAGGTTAGGGTCGGCATTTTAGTTTTGATTGTTAGGGTAACAAGGTCCAGGGAACGCGTTATGTCAATGAGGGTCCTCAAAACTATAGAAGTACAAGGATGTGTGTAACAACATTATATTCCCCCTCCGTCACTCCTCCTCCATGGTTTAATTTGTTTCCAGGAAGTGATGTTCAGGGAATGTTGTGCAGTTTTGCAGGGTTTTTTTTTCCCAGAAAACACACACACACATACACACACCTGTGGAGGGCTCACCGGGCTGGAGGAATTTGGCTCAAAGTTGTTGTGTCGCATTGAAGAGACAGCGAGGCATGTACTGACGCAAAGAGAGTTTTACACTCACACACACACACACAGTATCCACCTTTGCTCTTTCCAAAGGTTAGAGAAGCTGGTGTGTGACAGGAAGGTTGCTGGTTTCTCCAATGAGCTCTTAAAAAAAAGGGAACATTTGCTTTAAAAACAGATTTATTTTGCATCAGTGGATCTGTTAATCAGTTCACTCAGACGAAACCAAACTTCAAGAGAGATTTTGAAAGCCTGAAGATATGGTTTACACCAAAATTAAGGGCTTAAAAGGGAAAGGTGGAAGTAGCAACAACCACGTCTCAGTGTAACAGACCTGGCAGTCAATTAAACATGCCAGAGACGTGCAGAGCCAAATCTTAAGGATCTGTTTCCGGACCGATCCAGGCAATTTGGATCGGTGGCAACAGTTCATTGAAAACAAACTAAAAATGTACCATTCAACACCTAGTGGCCATTAGAGGAACTGCAACTTGAGATACAATCATAGCAAACGATGAAACCAGAAAAATTACATCTCAACGTTTTAAAAACTGCTCTAAAACTACAGATCTTCACACAGGTGAGTCACCTGCTACCAGCTCCTGTTACCTGCCGTCACTCGATTACTATTAACCACAACAACGGCCGCCCTATCAGACGTACAAACACTCGCTGTCACTCTTTATCACCCCAGTTTGCTTTTGTTGTCGTCACAACTGCTGATAACATTGTAGAATCTGTTAGGCAGCCGCTGCACATTGTTCCTTTTCTTTTATTTAACTGGTTGCATAACGTGTGTGGAGTATCTGTAAAGAATAAATGCATCAACCACACGTCGGTTTTAAATGTGCTTAATAGGCTGTTGACACACTCAGTCAGAGGAAAAATGAAGTTAAGATGCTTCACTGCTTAGCCAGGGTTAGCTGCAGCCTGCAACTGTGTGTATGTATGAATGCACTTGTGCTAGAGATGTGCGGATGGATATTTCTGATCCCAGTTTCTTGCTCTAGGATCGATTCTCATGCAACAGTATCAATATCTAAAACACAGTAATCTGGAGTGTGTGCATTTTATCGTAAGTAACTGTCACCAGGATGGTCAAATTAGACCCGGTTAACTACTTCTCCTTCCAAAGTCTCTGGAGTCAGTGTTTCCTGGGGCTGTAACGGTTTTGAAACCGAGACCGAAATCGCGACACAAAAGTCCCCGGTCTCGTGTCGCAGATCGGACAGGCAGAACCGCGACACACCCGTTCAGTGGACTGTATATTAAGTAGCGGTGTATATCGAATTAGTATTGAAAGCAGGTTGTTTAGGTAATTTTCCACCTTATTTTAGTGTTTATTTACTACTTGAATCTATTCCTCTCCCCACACTCTCACACACCTAGCCGGCATCTCTGGTCTCTCACGCCTCTTTCTGTCTCTCTCCTTGTATGTGTCTCGGCTGACTTTCTCCATCAGCAAGTCGCCGTGTTTAATTAATTCACCCATGATTCAGTTTTCAAGAACGCCACATGTAGACTGAAAGCGAAAGTAACGTTAGTGAGTGACATCTGCAGTGGTGCGTTCACTGTCGCTCCGTAATATTCTTTTGTTATCCTTATACAACTTGCATTTGATTATTACATATTTCTACATCTATTTATGTCAGCTGTATGTCTGTCTGCGTGTAGCACCTTAACACCAAGGCAAATTCCTTGTTATGTTATACTGTTAACATGTTTAATCGGTTATTAAATAGATCTTGTATATAAAAAAAACTAAACCAAACTGTAATCACAGATAAAACTTACATTTAAAACAAAACATAACAGACTCAAACATGACGTCCTGCTGACAGCCATTCATTAAAAAAAATGTACACAAAGCAGCGGATACAAGTCGCCTCTATCCTGCTATCCAGAGGTTGCCGCTTGATTAAGATTGAAGAATTAACACTGGACAACCAATCCTCACGTTACTACAACTCTGGATTGGACAACGGTGCGCGCCAAAAGCTGCAAAGCTACTGCATAATTCTGGCTTTCAGCAGCTTTTAAATGTTGTGATTTAGCTGAACAGAGAAGATAATACAGAGGTTTTTATGGCGTCTCACCGTAGGAGTCGTCTCCATCTCTGTGGCGCCGGACGCCAGGCTGACGTCCCCTCTGTGCTCCTCCATCATCTTGCTCCGCCCACTTCAGTTCCTCCAACTTCCTCATTTAGACAAAACAGAAAAACATCAATCTGCAACGTTTCTTGTTCCTCTGAGGTTACGGTCCTGACTTATGAGGCTGCTTCTAAGCATTAAAAAGGATTAATATGATGATGAATTAACATTAAAAACTTCTTTTAGATGTTTCTAGCTACTTATTTTACCTCACTCATTTGCTATATTGTCACGTTATGTTTAACACTTCAAACAGCTGGAACTCTTGTATCAATGTTCAGATTTATGTTGTTGTATCAGAAAATGCGGTAAAAAATCTAAATATCCAACATGTACAATGATGATTATCACTGCTGTATATTCTTAGTTACAGTTATCTGTTGGGGTTAGTGCCTTGTTTCATATTTAACCTGTTTAAAGGAGTTTACTTATATTTAAATATGCTGGAGAGCTGCCTGCTGCTTAACCCTCCTAGATTTTGGGTTAATTTGTGTGTTGACCTGATGATGATGATGATAACGTTTGGTTTCAAAAAGAAAATCCTTCAACATGTTTGAAATTGTGTTTGTTTTTTTTACATTTATCTGATGCTTTTATCCAAAGCGACTTACAATTGCTATATACATGTCAGAGGTCGCACGCCTCTGGAGCAACGAAGGGTTAAGTGTCTTGCTCAGGGACTCAATGGTGGATGGGTCACAGTGGGGGATTGAACCCGGGTCTCTCACACCAAATGCATGTGTCTTATCCATTGCGCCATTGCCCCACAGTAATGTCCTTGATAACAGAAATTATTTTTCTTTCCAACTGTTACAGATAACATAAATCTGTACTTAGAAATAATATCAAGGCATTAAAACAGCAAAATGGTCAACCAGTGAGATTTTATAGTAATTTGCATATATTTCCATACTCGCGTAACAGGTATTCTGGATGTGTAAGAGGGGTTGGGAGGGAGGTTATGTTTTATTTAAAAGGACTATTTAAGTAGTCAACAAAGAAACAAAGTACCACACAAACATAAACCTGGGTAACAACTTTAAATATAATCATTGTCTGGAGGTTTATATTGCAAGGATAAAAGACGTAAGTAAAGTTAAGGATAACAGGAGTGTTTAGGAAGAGCTCAGTGTGTTGTTTCAGTGGAGTGTAACAACAGTGTGGTTCCACCTGGTGGTGGAAAGGCAGAAGCACAACACTCTGCAGCAGGGATCCTTTTACCCGGACTCTTTAAACATGGAGCAAGCATTTCTGGCTAAAACGCTGTTATCAGTTTTTTCTCATGCAGCTAATTTGGCTCTTTGAAAGCAGTTTGAGGATTTATTTGTTTACTCTGGATGATCTTGAATAATAGCACGCTCTTATTTTGATATCAGAATCAGAGATAGTTGCTCACTTTGCACATCAAGGCATTAAAGGAATCAAAATAACAATAGAAGAAAGTTGGTAAGTAGAAATATAAAGAAAATATACAAATATAAATTTATAAATATAAAAATATAAACAAGAGTGTGGAAAAATGGTTAGGGTTAGGGCTTCCAAATCCTGGAGGGATTTTTGAATGATTCAACTATAAGTCTAAAGATAAAAAAAACAACACATCTACCACAATTTCATCGCGCAAAAAAAAACACCTAAAAACATTCAATCTTTTAGAAAAGCAGCCGCGAAATTCAGATATTTTAGACCACAACAATCACTAAACAGGCCTGCGAAATCCTGGAGGCACAGAAAATGCGTACTGATAGTGTTGAGGTGAAATCAAAATCCTGAAAAATGACAGTATTGTACAGAGAATAGACAATATTGCACATTAAGTAAAAGCAAAAATAAGTTTGAGTTTAAACCGTGATCAGTGTTGATTGGCTGAGTGCTGATCATGTGATTGCAGGTACATGCGCAGCAGTCCCTTTGTTCTGCATTGTGCACCACAATGTTTCCATCATCACTGTTAAACATTAGATTATTATTTACCAGTGAACGCTGGCAGAGTACGAGTGACGCTGCAAACATGTTGCTCTTAACTAATTGATAATTGCCCCTAGGGGGATTAATAAAGCTGTGTTAATTGTCCTGCTCCTCTAAGTTTCCGTCTGCTTCATGTTTGCTTCTTTTTCTTGTTTCTAATCTTACATGTTGTGTGTTTTAAAGTTGTTTTAATGGCTCATTTTAACATCTGGCAGATGGACAACAGTTCTGTGGAAGAACAGTGATGTTATCAACATGCATTATCCCTGAAAATAAAGACACCATCTAACAGCACACACTGGCAGCTGTAAATGTTAACCTCCCTTCCTTCGCCATGGGACCTAAATATGTATACTTTTTGCTACTGTTCAAATTGTGCCCTGAATTACACAATGGTTTTCAATGTAAAAGATAATTTTGTTATTCAGGAAAGCCACGGTTTGTTGCAAAATCTTGTTTGTGACAGAGGTCAGAGCTCTTTTATACTGCGTTACCCGTAGATAAAGTTTAGATGAGGTGTTTGTACTTTTCACTTACTGTTAATAAAGTTTTATGGGAAAAAAACTTACATATTACTTATGACAGGAAAGTGGTAGTAACCCTGTGGCAGACAACTAATTTCTTTTGAAAGTCGCAGTTCTTCGTAAAACATTAACGTAACATTTACGTTCTGCTCAGTGAACAACATCTCTTTTGTCGCACAACATACATCACCTACATGTTAGCGCTGTAATGCTAAGCTAACATTTATCTCTTGGTTGCTACTAAGCTAGGTAACTATGTTCTGTTTTTCACCTGATGTGTACGACAAACTGCAACTTTCTTGACTTGCAAAAGTAACTTTTAAAGAGGTGATATTATGCTAATTTTCAGGTTCAAAATCTTAATTAGGGGTTGTACCAGAACAGGTTTACATGGTTTTATTTTTTGTCATATTGTACATTACAGCAGCTCCTCTTTTCACCCTGTGTTGAAGGCTTCGGAGTGATACATCTTGTCTCCAAATGATCTTTGTTGGGAGTTGCACATGTGCAGTTCCTAGTTAAGGACAACTAGCCAATCAGAAGCAGAGAAGGGCGGGTCAGTGAGAAGCAAACACGGCTTCAGTTCAGCTGTATATCCCCTTACCAGCTTAGCAACATGGACTGGAGCAAGAGTTTCAGAGTGGTCAGTTATTTACCTGTAACAAAAGTATTTTTCATCCATAAAGTTTCAACTGAGCTCTGTCTCTACATCACAGTAACAAGTTTATGTCCACTGACTGCCTGGAGGGTAGCTAGTGTTTGGAAGGGAGAGGAGAGCTCAGTGTTTTTCCACCAATGTTTGAGGGCATGTCGGAGTAGCCGCTTGGCGAGTGTTATATGACGCGCATTTAGCTTTCATCACTGTGACTGGGATGAAAGGGAAACAAATGAGCTGTTTTCAGGCAGTTCAGAGCAGAGCTTTCTGTGGGAGATGGGAACTCCCTTTGGGCTGGACTTTGGGCTTTGCAAACCTGTTACATGCACAAAAAAGGAGTATAACTCAATAAAGGAGAGGGAAAAAGGCAAACAGCACAATACCACCTCTTTAAATTGACAAACATCATCTGTGTTATTCAGGGCACAATACCCCCTATAAAGTCCAACACAACAAAACATCAGTCACCAAAAGTCACTGTCATCAGGAATATTGTAGACTTTGAGTTTATTCTTGGATTAATGTCAAGATGTGAACTTTACCACTTGTCATAAGTAATAAAGTATTTTTCCCTTACAACTTTAAGTTAAGTGCAAAGTACAAACACGTCATCTAAACTTTATCCACTGGTAAAAGGGTATAAAACAGTGAGCTGGCCTCTGTCACAAGACACCACCCATGTAAATTATACAGGCACATCTAGAACTTGTTTTCTGCCACATTAAAAAAAGTGTTTGACCCCTAATTTCTGCACATGACAACATGATTGGAACTACTTTCACACAATATTAAAATGTGGTTTTCTCCACTTCTGCTTGTCAAAAGGAAGATAGTAACTTTCACTTCTGCATGGAACAACTTGAGGAAACTGTATACATACAGCTCAGTCTGTTCGGGCTTAGCTTGGAAACAGGAAGGTCGCCGGATCGAGTTCCCGAGCGCCGTGCGATGGTAGCCCCCTCTCACTGACATCTCTCCGTGTGTTGCTATGGGTTTGTGCATGTGTGTTTAATGCTAACAATAATAACAGAGTGAAATGTAGAAAACACTGAATTTCCCATTGTGGGAGTAATAAAGTATATCTTGATACCACGTGACAAAGTGATGCTGCACCTGAAAGCTGGCGTCACACCTGCTACCCGTGATTTTAGAGCTGCAGAGATTATTCAATTAATAATAATCAACAACTATTTTGATAATTGAATAACTGGTTTGAGTAAAGAAAAAAAGCCAAACTTTTCTGATTCCGGCTTCTTAAATGTGAATATTTTTCAGTTTCTTTACTCCTCTATGATTGTGAACTGAATATCTTAAGGTTGTGAATCAAACAAGACATTTGAGGACGTCAAGAGGGCTTCAGGAAACACTGATTGAAACGTTTCATGGGTTTTTTAATGGACGATATTTAGAGAGCAGGACATATTAATGCTGATATTAGAACAAAGAAAAGTCATGTATAATCCTATTATGTCTGCAGAGTACAATCTAACATACATCAGCCGACGTGTTGTTTTAGATGGAAGCTTTATAATGAATGAAACAGAAACACAGATTTGGTTCTGCTGTAGATTTCAGAGCGAGTCTGGTGTTTAAGCGGGGTACAGTTTGTCAGAAGTGACGTAATTAAGCTGCATTCTCTACCGTATAACAATATACATTTAACACTGGTAGATGTGTCTGCAGACTTTATACATTTAACTTGCTCGTTACCTCAAAATACCAGATATCGTCCCGATTAACCTAATCGATTGACAGTTTAAATTTCTATCACTACTAACAACTAGCCTAATCGAGAAAATACTCAACGGATCTGTTTCTGTTCTAATGATTTGGATTTTGAAGAGCAGTTCAATTAGCTTGATTATTTTACGTTTGTAATATGCAGTCTCTATAATGTAAAATATCAATATTTATATCGTGATTATTTCAACCCAAATAACTGTCTTAACCATTAGGGGATTTGAGTGAAATTATCCTTTAATGAAAAGTGTAAAAGCAAATTATACTTACACCAACATAAATATAAATCTTAAAATAAAATGCAAAAAATAATAATGTAAAAAAATAAATATATAAATAATATAAAGATCTGGAATATAAATGTTAATTAATTCATTTAATATAATTTAATGGCCTAAATTTGAGTTAATAATTAAAAATATGGAATAAAATATTACAGATAATCTATAACAGAAAAATGTGATTTTAATTAAATATAAAAAAATCAATACTGAGGAGACTTATAAACTGATCAATTAAAGACAGATTTCAATAATAATAATATACATTAATCATAATTTAATACACGCAATATTACACAGTTGCCAGTTTATTAGGTACACCTGGCTAAAATTAGTATGTTGATGGTGTTTATGATATTCTGTCATTCAGTGAAGGTAAATAATAGTACAATAATACAAAATAATAGAAACACCTCAGTATTACAAACTACAGCAAAGCTTCCAGAAATGACCATAAAGTGCAAATGTTGTATTTGTTGTTGTTTTTAAGCTAACGTTACCGAAGAGGTTGTGTTACCTTATTTACCAGGTAAACAATCAACTGTTTCGACGCATAAAGTCAGTAAACTGTGTTTTTAAGTAACAAATCACCAGTTTCCGCAAAATAAACTGTCCCGTTAACGAGTCAACAGCAAAACAAACGCCCAAAGGTGAGTTTTACCTTCACAATTTTAAAAACAAACCCCTTCTTCTGCTTCTTCTTCTTCTAAACGTGAACTTTCTTCCTTCTTCGTCGCCGTTTTTCGGTTAAATCCACACATTTAAAGGTTCCGAGCTGAAAAACTAAACCAAACTCTGTTTAAAAAGTTACGAAGTTAAAGCGAGGAAAAAAAGTCAGACACACCCGGAAGTGTTTGACAGCCGTTTCTTTCCAGAGAGGGCGCTCGATCTGTCGCTCTTGTGTCTTCCGGAGGGGCTGTGATGTGAACTGGGCCAGACAGGAAACCAACCTGACTCTTGTTCCGAGTTTATTAATGATGATTTAAAGGCTTCATTTGTTGAATATGTACCGTTAATAATGAAAAACAAGTGTACATCTTTGATCTTACAGCTTTCTCAAGGTTTCAAGGTTTTAAGGTTCAAAATTCAGCTTATTGTCCCCTCTGTAAAAAACTGTAAAAACTATTAGTGAGTGTATGTTTTTGATGTTTTAATGACTTTCTGTTATTTTGAGCAGCTAAAGCTGTAGAAAAATAAAATTTAGTATTTACCAAAAAAAACTAACTGGAATGTGCCAGGTTTTTTGACCAGTGTTGACTTAGTGTTACAAATTTTTTAATAAAATAAAGTTAGCACTTAAGAAGCATAAAATTAATTAAAGTTTGTTTCTTTTCCCTGTAAGAAAGACTCACACAGAAAAAAATCTGATTTCTTGAGTGTTTTTGTTTGGCAGAATTTAAAGCAAAATAAGTTATGTTTGCACCCAATACTTGTACTGAACACGAAAGCCTCCAGAGGCCACTAGTGTACAACTTCAGACTTTGTTCTTCTTACTTAAAGTTTCTAATAAGCCTTTGCTGCTTAAATCTATTTGTAACATGTATATTTATAGTATTGGTCAAATACCATAAGTGTTCTGGATCTAAACATCTATTTTCTCACAGTAAAGGAATAATATTACCACATTAGAACTGTCTTATATTAGCAAAAAGTCTTTCAAAATATTATGTATCTCCAGCTCTTTGTGACCTGCTGTGACCTTTTTTCTGTTGGAGTCAGAATCAGAATAAATTATATGTTTTTGTGACAAATTAGGTTTGTAAATAATTTCATAATAGCACAGTTGGATCGTAGAGTAAAGCGAGGGGAAACAAATGTGACCATGTGCATATGCATCTGTTAGACCACTGGGCCTCCAGGCGAAAGCCAAAATAATGCAAACACAGAACTAGGAGTAAATACAAAGACATTAACTAAACGCAGACAGAACAGGTACTAAGTGAGCTAAACAGAACATGCAAATAAACAATGGAGTAAACAAGGCTAAACAGAGGAAACACAAGACAAGGAACAAAACCCCAAAACAGGAAACATGGAATCAACTGTTACAGAACAGGGCAGGGAACAGAGACAGCACCAGCCAGGAAACAGGACTACACTAAACATGGAACAGATCAGAAATAAGGAAGATTCCAAAACACTGAACGCAAACAAACAGATCATGGCCACATGACCAATAACATCAGGCAAAGGAAGCACACTAAGGCCCCATCTACACTGCTGCGTTTTTGAGACCTTTTGCCACGTTTGCACCGTCCACACTACAACGGCGAAACAAAGACCTAAAACGGAGAAGTTTGGAAACGCTGCTGACCCCGTTTTAGTGAAGACGGGCAAAAACGGAGGATTTTAGAAACGATGACGCCGACGCTCACGCGTGGCTCTCTGATTGGGTCTCATAACTCATGTAAAGCAGACACACGGTGCTACTGACAGAGTTTTTGACTTGGTATTTTTATTAAAATATTCTGTACCGTGCAAATAACACTTATCTGCCTACGCTTGTACTGTGCATGCCGCCGTTTACTTTGCGACGACTCCCAGTCTGTTTTCCACTACCACAGTGTTACATTCAGTAACAGTCCCAGCTCGTTATTGGTACATGCAACAAAAAAAAATCTGGTCTGATTCTTCGTCTGTGTTTCTTTATTCTTTCGCCAGATCTTCTGTAACTACAGAATAGACCATCTGCTTCATGTTTACACCGGCACGCACATGCCCAGTGTACCCGAACGGACAACAGATATGCGTTTTCAGTCGTTTTAATGTAGACGGGGATCAACTTTAAAACGCTGGTGTGGACAGAGATCGTATTCATTTCAACTCTCCGCTTGTACCCTATCACAGAAGTGTGGATGGGGCCTAAGACAGCAGTCAGACAGGATTGTGACAATTTTCATTTTCAATTAAAATAAAATTTACATCTAAAAAAGTGTTTCATATTCAAAAAAAAAAAGAGAAAACAAATGTCTCACCACCCACAGATAAGATAGATGGGGGGTGCGGGTAGACAAAGATGGTCAGCAGGTTTTCTGCTAAACATAAGGCAGTTTCCTGTCAAACAGGAGGTTAACACATTGAAACTTCAAACCACAGCAGAATGGGGGGAAACAATGACAGAGGTGTTGCTTTGTTCCTGCTGCCGTTTTATTTACTATAACCTATCACCTAGAACGCTGGAGAGAAAGTTTATAGACTGTGGACACATGTTACGCTCAACACCCTGTGGGGCCTGTTTAAGCTGTTAAAAGTGACATAAATAAGCGTACAGAAAGATGTCAGTGGACTAAATTTGTTTGATTTTTTTGTGTGTGTGATAACGCTGTTACGCTTCGATGACACAATGCAGAAAAAAAGGAAATGGTCATGATAACATAATAACAATATTTCATCTCTTCCCAGGAGAGTGATCAAAGGCTCACATTTGGGGCGAGTTCTCAAAACGTTTTGCACCGGGTTGCAACATTTTCGGATTGAACAAAACGTTGCGCAGCGTTCTTCAACGGGCTTCGAGGTATGTTTTCTCCCATTTTGTGGGCGTGTCTCAAGGGTTACCCAATCAGCTGCGACAAGTTTGTAAACACAACAGTGTTAAAAAGGCAGGAAAATTCAGTGCGCTTGTGTACACAGCAGGGTGTTCAGGGAACCACCATTTCTGTTGAAAACAACGTTTTGCTGTGTTTTGTCTCCGCTGAACTCATCCTTGGCCTCATGACTGTCATTCAGACTTGGCCTCAGGTGTATCCAAAGACAGTTACAATATTTAAAAATTGTAACAGGATTAAGTTTACAATCTGTGCTTCCATGGGAGCTGCCGTTGTTGTGTGACGTCATTCGGCTGCTACTCGTGAAGTCGGGGTACATATTTTTTCTCCGAGTTCACAAGTTGGAAATCTGATTCAAGTGGCCTTCCATGGTACTTTTTCTAGTTGGAGGTTGGAAATTTTCCAGTTCCTAGTTGCCTGGAATGCAGCATGAATACCTCATGTCCTCCACCTGGTCTTGGTCCCGCCCTGCCTGTTACTTGGTGTTTATGTTTGCTTGTTCTGTTCATTCTCTGTTGGGTCATTGTAGCTGCTATTTGCTCTGTCTCCCATGTTTAGTGTGTTGGTTCCAATTCTGTGTTCCTGCCTCTAAGTCTGCCTGCTTGCCCTCCAGGATCTAACCCTGTTTCTTTGGAGACTTGTGACTTGTTTGTTTGGAGACTTTGTTTCTTTAAGGTGAAGTCCAAACAGAATACTTCACCTCTGTCTTTGTGATTTGTGTGGACTCAGCTATTCTTAGTAAGGCTGCTCACTTTTTGATGAATAAAGTTCAAGAACTGAACCTGCCTGTTCCAGTGTCTGCATTTTGGGCCCTACCAACCTGTTTGTGCCTGAGCACACGGTATACCGTGAAGTGAATTGTGAAGATTGGTATGCACGATCTAAGCAGCTTAGAAGTAGCTCAAGCAGGTAGTTGACCCGTTGGGCCTGTTGGCAAGAGGTTTCACACATCCAAAGAACTTCTATAAAAACCAGACCAGGCTTCTAATTGAGACCTGCGTTTATTTGTCAAAACATGTAGCCCCACCTGGGGCCTGTAAAAGGGAGTGGCGTCTAATTAGGACTAGACTTTTATTTTAAGTTTGACTGTATGTGTTAATTAGCAAACATTTGCTTTCAACCTGTCCTCCCAGGAAAACAGCTAGATCAATTATTCAGCAGCATATTACGACGCATATTTACGTTTGTGATGGCAATTCAAATAAATAGCTCAGGCAAACACTTGTCTTTCTGTGAATTTTTATTCAAGTCTTCTGCAGAAGGACTCACTGCAACACACATACACCGTATACATGTATGCTCGAATGAATGAGGACAGCTGAGTGAGCCTGTTATTTAGCCAGCTTTACAGAGAGACAGGTTGTCCCCAAAGTCTGGATAACAAAGAGAACAGAGATATTTGGACTGTTACGTTTACACAGATTCAGTGCCACATCACACATGAGTCCAGGGTTACATGCAATATGTTTGGAATTCCCATTACACATTTTTAGTTAGGCTGCGACTTAGAGGCAGAAGAAGTCAGGGGACGTAGTATAAATGGCGAGAAAGTGGATGTGTCAGAGGTGGTGGATGTGTCAAGTAAATGTCTGGCTGGGACCCAGCTTAGTTTTATTGTATATGTAATTAAAATCAATGTTAACTAATTAACTGACCACTTGATCACCACAAATAGGCATATGCTGACAAGCATGTTGACCTCGTAACTTTATGCAGCAGAAAGGGTCCTTTGTGTTGCTGTGGTCTCCACGTGTTTATGTCATGTGATGTAGGTCAGGCCACGCTCATATGGGTCGTATTGTGAGTCATTGGCTATGTGGTCATTTAGGTTGGAGGACTTGTGGCCACTTAGCTATTACGCCAATCTTAAATGAAACCTTGTGACAGAGAGCATTGGAAAATCCCTGACACAACATTTTACTCAGTTTAACTTATTTCTCTTTTAAGTTAATTCTTTTAATCTTGTTGTTTTTCACACCTTGGGCGCCTGTACTTCCTGTCAAAACAGTAAGCGCTTCAACCCCCGACCAGCGACCAGCCACCCAAAAGCCTCAGTTAGTTTCAGACTTTTTTATAACAGGTGTGAAACAACAAAGACATTCAGTTGTTTATTTTCCATGTCAGCAAAACACAAACTCAGACATAAACTTAAAAAAAAACTAAAACAGAATAAACTGAATCACAGGGAATCAGGTCAAACATAAATATAATGTTCAGAAAGACAACTGCAAGTACCGTCTACAGAATGACAGTATAAATAAAAATGAAATTAAACAGCAGAAACTGGAATGTTTTCTTCTTTATGCTGAGTCAGATGTGAAGATGCTCCTCCCTCTTAGATGTCAATGGAGTCTATGCAGCAATTTCTATTATGACATCATTAGACATTCGCCTTGCTTTACTGGCATGTTGCGCTGTAAAAAACGTTCAAAAACAGAAAATGGGCTTAAAAGGGACATTCTTGTAATTTCTGTTTTGACACATTATGCTTTTTCGTCTTTTACCTTGTCGTCTACAACTTTTTGTTAGTCTAGTTTAACTCTAGTTTCTCTAAAGGACATAGTAATTTTTCTCATGTCTGATGATCTATAAATTATTAATTTGATATTTGGGGAAATGGCTAGCCTGGCTCTGTCCAAAAGTAACCAACTCTGCCTACAAACATCTCTCAAACTTGGGGGCCACCAAACCCTTTTTTACTGGGGCACAGCACAACAATTTTGGGGCACATGCAGAATAATGGTCAAGAAGCCTTGGTGTTGCTTTTTAACACCCTTGTACTCTTTTTGTTGTTTTTGCAAGTGTAGGGCAGAAACAAGTTTGCAAAAATAAATACGCAATGTCCGGTTCGACTTTCAAAATAAATCTACTGGTTAACATAGTGAAACGTTGCAATTTGGTTAGGTTCAGGAGAACTTCAGGGTTTGGGTTAAAATAACTACGTCACTTAACTGTGTGTAACATATGGACATGCTTATGAGGTTCACCAAAAACATCCATTTTTTGATTGTTAGATCTTTTATGTTTAGGATTTTATTCCACAGCCTGTATTCTTTACAAGTATTTGTGTGTACATGTGGTCGCGTGGCGATGTAGGTATGTGTGCATGCTCTGGTAAAAGCCCTTTCTGGACCAGTAACTTCTTGAGTTTTTTTGTTAGCATGAAAGTTGCCCAAGTTAAAAGTTGCCCAACAGCATTTTGTGGATTTAAAATGTGATTTTCAGACTTCTTTATTTCCTTTACCTTCTGGTTTGGTAAATGCAACATAGCCTCCTACAAAGTAGATGTGGCTCAGCTGTATTTTTTTAGTCGTACATCTCTTGGAACTAAAACACCAGATTCAGCAATCGGACCTTGAGCTTTTATTCTCACCTTTGACTCTGTCTCTGTATATGAGTCCCAGTATGATGGTGGACAGAAGGTAAGGAGTTCCCACCACCAGGTGACGCACCAGTGGCAGCTGGAAAGCTGGAGTATCCTGGCCTGCAGGCGGCGCTGCAGCAAGAGAGACTTAAGTGAAAGAGTTCATTGCTGGTTTGCTAATTCACAGCCTGTCTAAGTCAGTCTGAGCCGACATGATCATTCTTCTGGAGTTGTGTTTATGTCACTTGATTTAAGTCCAATATTCTCTCTCTTTTAGCACTCTTTTTGGTCTTCACCACCTCTTGAGGGAAATATCTGGCTCTAAGCTGCTAAATGCTCGTCACTTACTGTTTGCTGATGAGCAGTTAGTATACGGTGGGCTTTTAAAGCTTTATGAGAGCACTGATAGTAAACCAGAACAGCAAAGTTGCAGTCGGGCAATGAGCTAAAACTTACTATAAAGCAGAGGGGAGCTGCAGATTCAGGTGATAACTCTCTGTAGGTTCATCACTACCCTTTTTTATATTATCACATTTAATAAAAAAAATCTCAGTCATAGCTGCTTTAAGATCCTTGTTTCTACAGAACAACGTGGACACTTTATAGTAAAGTACACTGATGATGTGGTTCTTTTCAATACAGACAACGCTGAATATTTGAAAGCTGCTGTTGTCACCAGAAACCTTCCTCACCTCTGACAACCAGCCAGCTCTCTGGTGATATTTCAGACCGGTTACATTTGTAGAGCCCTTCATCAGACCTGGAAACACTGTAGAGGGTCAAGTTTCCTGTGGCGCTCATCCCGATGTGGAGGCCATCTTTATAGAAATCAGCTGAGGGGTCGTAATCAGGCGTGATTTTACTTCTGCAGCTCAGAGTGACATCTTCTCCCTCCATCACAGGATGGACTGGACTCTCCAGGATCACAGAGCCAGCTGAGTGAGACAAGCAGAGAGACACTATACATCACACATCATGAGCTGATCCTGTGTTTGTATAGAGAGCCTAAGTCCCTCCCCTTCCAGCAGACCACCATGGGACCTTACTTTGGGAAAAATATGTATGGTAGTTAATGGCAAGAGACAACAAATTTTTGATCCCGTTTCAATTGTGCTCTGAATTACACATACGATGATGGTCAAATTAAAGTATACATTTCAAAGTCAAGAAAGTTGCAGTTAGATGTAAAACTGTTGAAGTATAATACATAATTACAAAGACCACAAACCCAAAACTCGCATTTGTGACTTTTCAATGACTGAAGCTAACATCAAAAAACTTACATGACTGGATGATGTGATAAAAGGATCAGGAGTCGTTGGATTAAACACATTAGGTGAGATATATTTCTGCGTGGAACATAGCTAAGTTATCTAATTAGCAGAAACCTAGCAATAAACGTAAAATAGCATTACTACTTATTGTACGAGAGGAGACATGTAGTTCATTGAACAGGTTTTATCAATTTGAACTATTCAAACAGGATCAAAAAATAAGTTGTCTCCTGTCATTGACTACCGTACATATTTTATCTGTACATATTATATATTTCCGTACATAGGTCCCATAGGCCGGAAGCGAGTGACTTAGACTCTCTATTCAAATCTGATGGATCAGTCACTGTTATACTTTTTATCATTCAGGGCAGTAGTAACTTTCCTACCTGTGTAAAACCTTCAAATTAAGTAGACTTTTTAGTCTAGTGGTTCCCATGGCAATAAACGCACCAAGGTTGCAAATATATTTTCAAAGCTGGAATTTTATTATTTTTTAATGAGCATTGGGTACAGTTTGCTAAACAGGTAGGCCCACACAAAAAGGAAAAGTAAACATGACAGATGTTGAACTTATTTTAACTCAAATCTATTTAAATTCCAAGATACTGGGTATGATGAGCACAAGATTAAAGACATTCTTGGTGCCATATTGTAACACTCACTATACTCATGAAACTGAGAAATTGTGTGTATTATGACTGCAACTACATATTATTTAATTTGTGATTAATCTGTGGATTCTTTTTGCCTTTAAAATATCCGACAGTAGTTAAAAACGTCTCACATCAGCTCAGGAAAACATTATAAAATGTATTGTTTTGTCCAACCAACAGTCCCAAACCCAAAATATCTCCCGAAAATCTTCACATTTGAAGAGCTGTAACTAAAGACTGTTTAACATTTTTGCTTGATAAATTACTCTATGACAAATAATTGATTATCAAAATTGTTTTCCATTGAATTTCTGTCTATTAATTTGAAAGTAAATGACCGTGACTGACAAATTGTTTTATCAGTGCCAGGGTTGACCTATAATCAAACAGCAATGCCGATCAGTATTTTAAGGTGCCTGACTAAGTTATAGTCTACCAGTGACGGTGATGTTGACAGGGTCACTGGTTTCTCCCAGTCCAGTTTTACACCAGTACTGTCCGGTATCTGTGGTAGGGAAGGCTGCAATGATGGAGCAGGAGGATGGATATTGATGCACCTGCAGGGGAACAGACCAGAGGGAATTCTGGGTTTCTTTTGGCATGCATTCTTGCAACAAAAAACCCCATATGTATCAAGTAGACTAGGTTTTTCCACACAAACCTCTCTGTCCTCTGTCATCTTCATAACGCTCCATTTAGTCGTCTGCTCCTCTTCCTCACAGCTCACAGAGAAATGATCAAATTTAAAGAACTGGGATCTCTCAGGTGTGACTGTCAGAGAAACTGTAGGAGGGATGGAAGGATTAAGGAAGTAATTACTTGCAATGAGATTAAATTTCCCACACAATTTAACATGTATTGACGTCATCATACCTTTAGCAGAACCAGAATCCAGACAATTCAGCACTAAATCAGAGAGAGGAAAATACAGGCAGTATAAATCTGTGCTTTACATGTATACATAAATAAATATGTACCAGTGGCCTATTTTTCCTCCACTTCTATCCTTTTGTTAATATGATGATAAAACTAAATGGTGGGGAGCAAAGTTCAGAATGGTCTAATAAAAACTGCATTTAAAAGGATGCAAAAGACAACAAGCTAACAAGGATCTGACGTGTATCTGAACTCACTGACATTAAGAAGAGGCACAAATCATTCAGTGATGAAATGTGGAAAAACAAACACAGCCGTTAAAAAGTAACTACAGTAAAAAAATAAAACAATGAATACCTTTATTGAAAAAGGAAAACAATAGACGTTACTCACAGAGAAGCAGAGAGAGAGCAGCCACCTCCATCCTGACCTGCAACAGACTGAGAGAGAGAGAAAGAGAGAGAGAGCAAAAGAGAAAGAGGTGGAAGCCCTGCAACCTGTGCAGAGAGAGAGTACTGGACTTACACTTACAAGTACAATTTGGAGGTATGTTATGTGAGGATTTCCAGTTTATGCAAGCAGTCATCAGCTTCACCTTTACCAGGTGATGAACACATCAATTCATCACTATTAAAATCCAATAATATAATACGCCTAATTGAAGTACATTTTGATGTTAATACTTTTGTACATGTACAAACAGACAGACAGACAGACAGACAGACAGACAGACAAGTAGTTATTCATCATTTCCACTTTTCCCTCCCCAATTATATCTCCTACTTTTATGTTAAAGTAATTAAATACTGGTGATTACTGGTCCTTTTCAGGGTTCCCAAACATACAGACACATGTAAATGCTCTAAAGTTTCACAGAATATGCAACACTTTGTGTCCCAAACTAATAATTAATCTGAAGGTTTGCTTTGTTTGGTACAGTACGTTATTGGTGGTTTGTTTTTTCGCCTTTCTCGCGACACCTTGTGGTTCAACGTGAGCACGGCAGCCGAGAGGACAGGCAGCTCTCGCGATACTTGTTCCCTCCAGGATTTCCAGTCAAAACGAACCTGACAGCGGTCGGAAAAGTTGCTTTTGATCCCAGAAACCTGCTTTTTGTGCTGGTAAGATGCAGATATACTTTTATTCGGGTTCAAATGTTAGATTCTGTACACTTTATGTCATATAAAGCTGATCTATCAAGTTTAAGGGTACTCATTTGAAGGTTTTCCCTGTGTCAACAAACCAACGTTACCGGTTGGGAGGTTAACTTAACGTTGGAAGATAAAACCAGCTGTTAGGCTAATAAAAACTTTAACGTTAACTTTACGGTGTTTAATTACTTTTATTTAGGTTTAAATTAAGCTAGTTGTTTGATACTGTATCTTATTAACTTGTTTGACTTTATTTAATGTTCATATGTTTGTTTTGTAGCTTCGTATTTAAATTTGTCAGCCATTAGAAACCATCACCAGCTTTTTATTTTGAAACGATTCAATATTTCAATAATTTTTGAATAAACACAGAATATATGAGATGATAGTGACCAAATATCGAAGTACGTGTCATTTTCCACATGTCCATAATACTGTGATATATTTAAGTTATACTTTTCTGTGTATTTGTGTTGACAGTGATGAAGATCAGACCCTGATGATGAAGATGGAGAAGGGGAGAGCAGACAGTTGATGTGTTCTGAGGAGGAGGAAGACGATGAGGATGAACCACAGCCAGCTGTTGTTTCTGTCCAGAGAAGAAACATCTGGAAACTTCCAGAAAGAAGGGACACTGCGAGTCGGACGGCAGGAGAGAGGTCAGCCGGGTTCTGTTAAACATCTCTTCTCTTTTGATCTTCTGAGTTCTCTTGTTCTCTTTTCTGTTCTCCTCTGGTCTCTTACGTTCTGTTTCGTTCTACTTTGTACTCGCTTTTGTTCTTTTGTGTTCTTTTGTGTTCTCTTATGTTCTTTTTCATTCTTGTTCTTTTCGATTTTCCTCTTTTTTTTCGTTCTGTTCTGTTCTATTATCTTGTGTTCTCCTGTGTTCTCTCTGACCCCTCCCTCTCAGTGGTCTGAGGACAGCTGTCTTGCTCCTTGGCAGTCGTCTCCGTCTATTTCCGTCCCCCTGACTCAGTCTGACTTTACTTCCTGCACACGTCTGTGTGTCCAACAGCTTCTGGGTGTGGTTCCACATTTTAACAGAATATAAAGCTGCATCTCTCTCAGCAGTATAGATGTTCTCTTAGATGTCTTCCTTTTTGTTCTGCGCTCTAACAACCCTCCTCTGCCTCAGCGCTCACTGACAGGTTTTGTCGGCTGAGAGGAAACCTACTGTTCGTCCTGAAGACACAGGTGAGAGAGACAGACAGAGCATGTTCTGTATTCTAGTTCTTTAATCTGGACGTTAGAGAAATATGTATGTGTGTGTCTGCAGGGCGGTAAGCTAGAGGAGGTGCTGCTGTTGGAGAGATGTGAGGTCATGAAGCTTCCAGACCATGACAGACGACTGGCCGTCAGTAAGTAACACTCATCTTTTTACATATAGATAGCCTAAGGCCCCGTCCACACTACTCAGTTTTAGTTTAAAAACAGAGTTTTAAAACGAATACGATCTCCGTCCACACCAGCGTTTTAGCTGCGTATCAGAGTTGATCTAAACGGCCCGTTCACGTACACAGGGCATGTGCGTGCCGGTGTAAACATGAAGCAGATGGTCTATTCTGTAGTTACAGAAGATTTTGCAAAAGAATAAAGTAATGCAGAAGAAGAATCAGACCTTTTTTTTTTTTTTTGCATGGACCATGAAGGAGCTGGGACTGTTACTTAAAGTTACTTGAAAGCGGCTGTGGCGGCGCAAACAGACTGGGAATCGTTGCAAAGTAAACGCGACATGCAGAGTAAAGTGTAGGCTGTTAAGTGTTATTTGCTCTATACAAAATATTTTAATAAAAATACTAAATCAAGCATCCTGTTTCTGCTTTGCATGACTTATAAGACCCAATCAGAGAGCCCAACGTAAGTGTCTGCGTCATGGTTTCTTAAGTCCTCCGTTTTTGACTGTCCGGGCTAACTCTCCAGAGTTGTTTTAGGTCTTCATTTTCGCCGTTTTAGTCTGGACGGGAGGTGCAAACGTAGCAAAAGGTCTCCATTTTAAAACAAAAACGTAGTAGTGTGGATGGGGTCCCTACCTTCAACTTCAGCCCCATGGGACCTTATTTCGGAAGAAAATATGATTGATGTTTGGTATTTGTAGTTGCTAGATGTTTGGCAATTTAAAACATTATTTTGTGAGTAAAGAAAAGTTTTACGTAAAACAGTAAAGTAACATTTAGTTTTGTGTGAAACCGCTGAATGATCTACATCTTACGTCTCGCACAATACATGTCACCAACATGTTAGCGCTGTAATGCTAAGCTAACATTCATTGCTTGGTTGCTACTAGCTAGGTAACGTAGCTATGTTCCACGCACAAATGTATCTCACCTGATGTGTTTAATCCAACAACTCCTGGTCCTTTCATCACATCATCTACACATGGAAGATCTTTGACGTCCCATTGTGGTCCACGGGAAGTGGAGGGACCTTGGCTCTCTATACAGCCATGTTAGATTATTGTCACAGCCGCTAAGTGAAAGCAGTGAAAAATATATGTGTGTGTGTTTAGGCTTTGAGAGTGGCGACCGTCCCGTGTTCCTAGAGTCCAGTAGCACCGCAGAGTGCGCGTCGTGGCTCGTCCTCCTGAGAGACGCCAACACTGAGACGCTGAGGCGACGCATCGCACAGCTCTGCACGCTCATCAGCACGCACACCGCCACCACTCTGCACACGCAAGAACACAGTGCACACTTCACCGGGGGCGGCGATGCTGGAGGTGCAGGTGAGCATGCCTGTGTTTAATATTTAGAAACATATTACTGTTGAAGTACCCATACGCATTAATGTAACGTAGTAATTGCAGGAATGTTGAGATTTTCATGGTACGATAGCAAGGTTTCAGTGTATTACACAGTTATTATTATTGTCAGTTACAATGACACTTAAATTAATTAAAACAAAAGTGAATTCTTTATTACAATGTCAGAAAATATTATTTTTTAAAGTGTCCCTTTTGAAAATAAATAAAAATCTTTGCAGGTCAGATATGATAACCGTCAATAGTCATACAGTGGTATACCGTTTCTTGGTCATACATTGGGTGCCAGTCGTGGGTTTCCTGACAAAAGTTGTTCTGTCGCACAGGATGTACATAATGCTCCAGTGTCACACATACAACCTCAAACAAACATGATCCATTATGTTTGAGAAAAACACAAACAGAAATCAGTTTTGGTTTCTATCAAGCAAATGTATCACCAGGAAACATAAATAAAACCGGGCGTGGTCCACCGAAACATAAACAAAGTACTCTGTCCTCTGTGGATATTTACACTTATGTTTCTTTTCTCAGTCCAACAAAAAGTGTTCAGCAAGAGCTCACCGAAACACAGCTGAACAAGGTAGATCCGTTCAAAACGTGTGAATAAAGCGTTTCATTCAGTTTGTATGTCGTGTCCATTTATAACGTCTTGTTCCTGCCATGGTGGCGTCTGTAAATTTGTAACGTTGGGACCGAAGGTTTTAATCTGGCCCGACTGTGCTCATCTATTACAGGTAAACTTGCTTTCCGGAGAACTGAACTTCCCTTCCAATTACTCAGATCCCTGGCACTGTCGCTCTGTTGGCAAAAGCCAACCTCACCTAAATCAACCTTGCAGCCGTTGCTGCAGTTGCGTTCACGGCTCCGATAGAACATAGTTTTTCTCAGTAAGGACAGATGATGGGACGTCAGATTGTCACACCGTGAAACCGATGTGACGCTGCGGCAATTCACATCTATAAGAGACTTTACAAAAACATCATTCTGTGTTTACCTGCAGATCCTAACTTCAAATATTTACTGAAAACATTAGTGCTTTCATTGAAAGACTTGTCGTTTAGTTTGATGTGATTGATGAGGAGGAGGCGACAAATACCACCCGACAGGCAAACTAAAGGTTCAGTCTGTGGTGTCTTCAATGTGTCATGATGTAATGTTGTTTCTTGGCCACAAGGTGGAGTGGAAGCTGCTGCTAAAGTGTCTCCGCTGCACCTGACTGTAGGTATGTGACACACACACAGAGCACAGAATTACTGCTTTCATTTTATATTCTGTTAAATAGCGTGTTTCTTCATATATTTATATCATAGTTTTATACACAGACACGTTACAATATCACCATCCTCTCTCTCTCTCTCTCTCTCTCTCTCTCTCTCTCTCTCTCTCTCTCTCTCTCTCTCTCTCAGAGTGTCGAATTGTGGTTTCCGTGGCAGCCAGAGTCCAGCTACAAGTTTGTGTGATCGACACTCACACTCACACAGTCAGGAAGCACTGCTGCTGTCAGATAGTGGAGGTACACACCCACGCACACACACACATGCGCACACACAAACAGGAGGTATTGAAATTTAAAAGTGTGTGTGTGTGTGTGTGTTTCAGGGACTGGATGACAGTGTGTTTCTAACATCAGTGTGTTTCTGTGGTGACTACCCACTCTACCATCACAGCAGGATCAAACTCACCGTTTCCCATGCAGAGGAGCCGACAGCACATGCCACTGTGAGTGTATGTGTGTGTAGTTGTGTCTGAAAAATTGTGTGTATAAGAGGATTAGTGCAAAGGATGTGCAAATGTGCAACACACACACACACACACACACTCTCTGAATTCGGTTAATCTCGCTCAGTCACTCACACACACACGAGAGAGAGAGAGAGAGTGAGAGTAAAACGAGGGCAGTCACAGCGGGAAAGTGAGATTTTAGATAAACAGATTTTTTCCGTTTTCGGCTGTTTTCTGATTCTCTGTTTCTGACAAACTCAACCCTGACCAGTCCGCTGGGCGCTTCAGTAATCTGCATATTTCCCATGATGCTGGTGTGTTTGTAATCCTGTCGGCCATGACGAAAAAGGAGGAGGAGGAGGAGGAGGGGGAAAAAAAGGTGATGGAGGGAGCAGGGAGATACTCGGCCGGTGTGTTTTAGTGTGTTCTTACGAAGGCGAGGACAGAAACAGGATTTTCAGATCGTTTTTTTGGATTATTATATCCGGATGCCTCCTTTTCCTGTTTTAGTGGATGCTCTCGCTCTTCTTCATCTCTCTTTTTCTTTATGTCTGTAAATCCATCATGTAGCAGGAAGAGAACAAGAGAGATCGTTTTTTAGCTGCTGCTCTGTCGGTCTTCTGACTCTTTGGTGCAAAAGATAGTAAACTTTAATTTCAGTGGTGCGTTCAGGTGCAGGTGGAAAGGTTAAGTGTTGCATTCAGTGTTGGAGGTATTGTGTTATTCTGTAGCTACTCTGAGTAATCAGATTACTTCTTGTTGTAAACTTCACTCTCAACCTGTGTTTGAATGAACGTCACTTTGGACTGACATGTAACTGAGAGTCTGATCTAATCTGTGTTTTTATCCTTCGATCACATAGTTCCAGATTTAAATCCAAATATTGACCATTTTAGGCTGTTACATAGTCAGAGTTGTTGTTCGGCAGCTTGTGTTTAGATTTAATGTCTTTGGGGAAATATATTTCTTAAAACAAGTTCTAGTAGACTGAAGAATGTAAAACAATGCCCAGCCCTGTTCATCGTCCTTCTTTCAAGTATTTATTTAGGTGACACATTTAAGGAGAAAATTTATTTTACATGACAAACATAAAAAGCGGGTCAAAGGTGAGAGGCCATAGCACCTGAAACAGTAGAAGTAGCTTTACAGAGATAGATTTAAACAATAAAAGAGTTGACAGAAAGATTTCTTCAAGTGGATGTTCTTGAATTTCAAAGCACAGCTGCACTTTGTGGGATGATTGTTTACTTTTCTGTGTGCATTCTTGCACACATAACATTTTAAAAGCTGTTTAGCACTTTAGTAGCTTAACAGATGTCTTTGATAGTATACCAACTTACTAGCTTTGGTTCTGTTTTACCTCTATTACTATTTTTTATGACATTTTTGCTTTGTTTCTCACTACAATATCTTACAAAAAGCACTTTGCATTGCAAATCTTTGCTTAAAGGCTGCTGTATAAGAAGAAGAAAGAGCCTATTTTGATTTTGCTAGGGTTAGCTTTGGTGTGCAGCAGAGTGTGAGCCTCGAACTATTAAGTTAAGTTGTTATTTTTATGGGGGGGGAAGAAGTTGACATCAGCAGGTTATTAAAGTCTGCAGCTAATGTAAGAAAACAGGAAATACCACAGAGCAGGAAGTAAACAGGAAGAAAGAGGTTGCTTTTCATTTTTATCTTAAAACTGCGGGGATGCAGAGAGCGATGACGGCGTGCACCAAATGTTTCTCTCCACCGGGAGAGAACAGCTCCTCTGCTGGACAGGTAGGGAAGAGCGCACACACACACACACACACACACACACACACACAGTAAATGAGTCTGTCAGTGTAGTTTGTATATCTCTGTGCTGTGTGTGTGTCTTGGTTTGATGGGATTAGCATGTAATCTTAAAAGCCTTTTGTTGTGCTGAAGGACTCAATGAGACAGATTAGCTGTGTGTGTGTGTGTGTGTGTGTGTGTGTTGTTGTTGCCTACACATTCAGCTGCAAACGAGGAAATGTGGTAACGCTTTGCGTGTATGTGGAGTTAACGTCTCAATATCCTGTTTGTGTCCTTCTTTCTTCCTCTCTGCTAGTTGTTCTGGTTTTTAGGATCATGAATGCTGAATGAGTGCAGGCAGGAGAACATTAGTGGTTAGACAATTAGTCGATCAATAGATCAGCAGGAAATTAATTACATCATTTGATAATTGACTAAACCTTCATCAAGCAAAATGCTGAAGAAGTTACTTGTTCGGAGAATACAAGACATTTGAGGATAACATCGTGAGTCCTGTGACATTTTCTAAACTAATTGGTGGATTGAAAAATACAGTCAAGAAATGAATTGTGAAAATGAGTTTTTTTGTAACAAACTGGTTTAATCAGCAGTTAACTGAGCAGAAAATGTATCGAAATGTTATTCTGGTAAATAACAAAAAAAGTCTCCAGCTCCTTGAATGTGAGGAGGATTTTTTACTTGTTTTTTGTTTTATATCATAAATTCAATATCTTTTTCCTTTTGGACTGTTGGTCACACAATTTACTAATTTATTAATTGAAAAAAGAAAGTACTTGATAAAAGAAAAGTAATGAAAGCTTAGTTTCAGCTTTAACTGTTTTCACTTCATCTCTGTTCAAACCAACTTGCTGCAGATATATATTAAGCATCAACATGGACTTAATACATTTTTAATGGATATTTATCATTTGGTGTCGCGCCAGCAGCTCTACTACACAACTTTTCTCCCATCCTAGGATCCTGTAGTAGTGTAATATCTTACAATCTATATGAGCGATGGAAGAGTGTGTTTCCTGCCACCTTACGGTGTCAAAGTTGACAGATAATGTTGCCAGTTTCAGATCCAAACTCATGGAGAAAAATAAGTGCTTTCTGGAGCTTTCAACAGTCGCTTTGGCCCAAGCTAAGCGCTTAACTGCTATGAGCCTCCTCAACCAAGGGTCCCGACATACAGCACCCACATCCCGCCCGGCTGACTGCACCAAGTCTGGCTTTTATAATGAACGCAAATGGAAAAAAGACAAACTCTAGGTCTCATACGAAATACCTTTACCAAAGTGCTGTTAAGTCGGCTAAGGTTCAATATTATGCTGGACTAATTTACAATAATGCCCATAGACCTAATATACCGTTCAAAACTATCAAACCCTTCCTAACTCTGGCCGCTGCTGCTACCTCTGCTCCTTCTACTGAAAACTGTGAGGAGTTTAGGAACTTTTTTATTGACAAAATTACTACTCTCAGACTCAGACCCCCTAGAGACCAAGCATTTTACCACCTGTGCCATCTTCCCAGCTGCTGGAGGTGATCATGCATATGAATCCAACCTACTGTCCCGTAGACATTATTCCGTCATGCCTATTCAAGGAAGTTTTTGACACAATTCGCCCTCTTATTCGGCGACAATTAACAATTCCTTAACCAAGGGCATTGTCCGCTCCAGTTTTAAACATGCAATTATGCAAACCCTTTTAAAGAAACCCAGCCTAGACTCTAGTGATCCCAACAACTATAGGCTCATCTCCAAGCTACCATTTTCTTTAGAAAAAGTTGTCCTCCAGGTCTCCTGAACACATTTAACATCTCTGACAAATTCCAGTCCGGTTTTAGAGCACTTCATAGTACTGAATCTGCCCTGCTAAAGGTGCTCCAGCTTCCTGCCACTGTCCAAAGACATGTAGTGACCCTAAATTGTCCTTAGGTGTGAGTGTGAGTGTGTGCACTAGTGTTTATTGTGTATTTTGATACACAGTGGTATATACTCTTTGTTCTTTTGTTTGTTCATACTTGCATTTGTGTGCATTGTGTTCTTGGAAAGCACTTTGGGTCAACTCCAGTTGTTTTTAAATGTGCTATATAAATAAAGCTCACTGACAATTTGACAACATTAGGTGTTAACGCCGATGTGCAGCGACCATTTTCTCGATAGTCTCCTTGTTGTCCTTGATTGGGGTTGCAGTAGCTCAGTCTGTGGGGACTTGGTGTGGGTACAGGAGGGTCGCCAACACGTCCAACACGGACCAGTCATATGGAGTGTGGACTGGTAGCTGGAGAGGTACCAGTTCACCTCCTGGGTACCAGTTCACCTCTTGGGCACTGCCCAGCATGGTTATTTTCTTTTATATTCTCAATTAATTTGCCAATTATTTTCTCAATTAATCTTTTCTGTAAAATATCAGAAAATAAAGACAAATATGCATTCAAAGTTTTCCAGAGACCAAGTTGGCATCTTCAAATGACTTGTGTTCCAAAGCCCAAAGATATTTATTTTCTTATCACAAACCAGCTGATATTCACATTTGAGAAACTCTCCAGGAGATCAGTGGTTGGATACAGACAGACGATCATAGTTTATCAAATGATCTTAAATACTCCGTTAGTATCATGTGACAGTGATTAAACAGAACAGAGACAAGAATGAAAGATCAGTGAAATATCAAAGAAAAGAGAACAAGTTTCATTTGACTTCAGTTTGATGTGTGTGTGTGTGTGTGTGTGTGTGTGTGTGTGTGTGTGTGTGTGTGTGTGTGTGTGTTTTGGGTGATTTGAGTGCTTTTCACTCGTCAAAGTAATCCTCTGAGCTTTCTGATTATATCCATAGCAACAGAGTGATTTTAATGGCATTGCTGTGGGAGCTCTTGGTGCGTGGCCGTGACCTTGGTGGTGATGATTTTATGTGTGTCGGACAGAATGGGCCATTTATTAAGTGATATCACAGTACATTAGGAAGAAGCTTAAACCATGTGTGACGGCCCTTTATGTAACCCGGATACATGCTGCGTATAATTAAGGGCTGTTGGGGAAATGTTTTTTAGGGAATTGGTGTACTGTGACATGTGACTGTTTGCTTAACGGTGTTGTCTGTGAAGGTTCTCAGGTCATAGTTATCGAGGTTAACATCAAGGGCAACTGGACTTGGTTGAAGATACTAGAAGATGTTTCGTCGCTCTTCCATTACATTACCTTTATTCATTTAGCTGACACTTATCCAAAGCGACTTACAATTGCTATTTATGTCAGAGGTCGCACGCCTCTGGAGCAACTAGGGGTTAAGTGTCTTGCTCAGGGACACATTGGTGGACGTGTCACAGTGGGGAGTTGAACCCGGGTCTCTCACACCAAAGGCATGCGTCATCCAAGAGAATTCTTCAGCTGTGACTCACTGGTAGGGAAAGTATTTAACCTCAGTGGAGTCATTTGTTAAGATGATCGATACCTCTTGGTTTTATTTAGTGCTCCTGGAAAACAACAGTCGTCGCGGTCGTTGGAGACAACCGAGGCCAAGTCAGAACAACGATTGTAGGCATGGATCGTTTCTGGACCTGGCTGTAAGACTACTTTAGACCACCAGGTGCACCTTTTAGACAGAGAGAATAGATGGTTTCAAAGAGGTGTCAAGGAAGCCATTTACACCCAAGTTGAGAAGCCGTCACTTAACAGGAGATAAACCATCACGTAACAGGAGAGGAGGTCTGCAACACCACTTATCCCCCATTTACAATGCTAGCAAATGATCACTTTTGGCCTCAGGTGAAGACGCCAACAATGGTTGTTCAGACTTAGCCTCGGTTAGCTCTAATGACCATAATGACTGTCGTTACAACATCCAGGAGCAGTAACGAACAAAGTCCAGCTGCCCATGATTTTAACCGTCCTTGCTTAAAGGTGTTATTCTTCTACTCTGTACTGACAAAGGTAAAGCTAGAGAACAAGGTTTGGCTCAGCCCCACAAATTATTATGAGCAGTTATAAACCTATAAAAGTTATGATGGGGAACTTTAACCAGTAGAAACCAATCTTCACAAAAGGGAAGAAGTTAAGGCTAGGTGAAAACTCCTGTAAACAGAATAAATTTTAGAATATGAATGAAAACGTACAGTAGTTGGGACGAGTCTCTGTACACACGGAGGCAGGCGATACATTAATGTACAGCTAGTGTCACTGTAACGAGTATAAATGTCATGCTGTGTTTATTCATGATGGAATTTATAGAGGTGTTAAAGTAAATGGCTCATTATTTCTTTTTCAGATATCTCATACAATACTGCCAGATTATCAATATACGCTTAACTAGTTTATTAGGTACACCTAGACAAAACTAATGCAGTCCTGCAATAAATCCTGAGGGTTGTAATGTTCAGTCTTTGTTGAAACATGTTTCAGACGTGATGATTCAACAGAAATGTAAAACGCTTCACCTTCTGTGCTGCTGAACAGAGCGATTGTTTCCAGCAGCTAATGGAAAACAGCCCATGAACTGGATTACTGCTGGATTAGAGCAGTAAAATGTACAGAAGGTGCCAGAACAGACTTTTGAATCATTGAAATGTCAGCTTAATGAAACATAAAACAAATCTCTCCTTCTCTGTCTGTCTCTCTCTCAGAGGAGCTTTCTGGGTTTCACCTCCTTCTCCATCAGAGACCTGCTCAAGTCCAAGGAGCCTCACGTCTCCCTGAGCCTCAGGTAAACAGCCTCACCTGTCAGAGATCGTTGTACGATACCGTTATGAGCCATGTGTTCCTTTTAAATTCACACCTTACCTCCTCTAGCTCCTATTGTTGTGTCACATTGTCTCCATTCTCTGGATTTCATTCATTTAACCTCAAAAGAACTTCACTGACGTGTAGGAGTTGTTACCTGAATGGCAGTTGCTTGGATACCTGTAACCAGATGAGGAAGTGAGTGGCGAATGTGCTACTCCACCTCCACAGAGAGAAGAAAAATAAATGGTCTTCCTGTTTTTTGTGTCACGCCGTCTTCAGAGACAGTGGCAGAGCGTGCACGGCCCAGAGCAAGAGAGATTTTAAGAGAGTGAGACGAGGCTGAAACAGAGGGAGAGAAAGAGCGAGAGACATGGAGTAAACAGTAGGTGTGTCTCTGCTGGCATGTCCAGGTGTGTCTGATTTATAATACGTACTGGAACAGGCTGGCAGAGTTACAGCGTCTTGTACTGCTGCTAAATGTTTATCAGTTAGAGAGGTTAGTTAGCTTTGAGCTTCTGCTGAACGCTTTAAATGGTTTGTCTTTCTAATTATTTTTGATAACAACAAATAACCAAGCTAGCTCAGCCAGATATCTTATTATCTCTTTGGTATGACTCTGATTTGTCTTTCTAGGCTCCTTTTTTAAAGAACTTGTTACTTTGCTGATCTAGTTATCTTGTCTCAAGCTCCTATCCTCTTTCTGTTAATTACTGTACCTTGTTATCCTGTTTCTAATTAGCTTCATCTTGGAAGTTAGCTTTTCTTTCACAAAGTTGCACAAGCTACCTAGTTTGTCTTGTTAGTAATGCTTTTCAGTGGTTTGTGTTCATATTCGTATTTTTTAAGCCAGCTGCATCTTGAAGTGTGCTAGCTTTTTGTAGTAGTTATAGTTACCTCTGGTTATCTCTTCCCTAGTTAAGCCAACTAGCTATCTTAGTTTCTGTAATTATTCTTTCTGGCTATATAGACTAGTTAGCTTGGTTACTAGTTATTTGTCCAAAAAAATATTTTTCTGAAAAGAGGGGTTGTTTTTAAAAAGAAATGGGTTATCCTTGTATATTAAATATATTTATCCTAGAAAAGTTTCCTATCCCTTCCCTATCTTCCTCATGCGTTGTGTAAAAGTATGTTTCAAAGAATGACGCACCTTCAGTTTATTCCAACCTGCCAAAAATGAGCTGAGAGATGCACAGAGAGAGGAAGTGTTAGATTAATTAACACTTTGACAGGAGAGAATTTGTTGTCCTTCTAAAGCTAAACGTCTTCCTTAGTACTCGCACATTTTTGTGTTTCCAAACATCAAAAGTCTTTTTCCTTCTTCCGTCCACTCTTTTAATCAGGACAATGGATGGTGTGAACGAGGTCGGGGAGGTGAAGGTGTCCCGGCTGCAGATGGAGGGAGAGAGTGAGGATAAAACCCCTCCTGAACACAAGGTAGAGGAGAAGAGAGGAAGGAAATGCTGCATCTCTGTACTTCCTTTCACCCGACTCTCCTCTGTCTGCCACAGAGGTGTCACTTTGACATTTTTCTCTGAGGTTTCTGTTGACGTGTATCAGTTGGTTACTTTCTCACGACCCCGTAGACGCATTTCCTTCCTTTACCTACTTTAAGCCGTCTCCCTCTCGCTGCAGTGTCCTGCGCTGTGTGACAGCCTTCATAGCTCCGTGCACGAGAAAGAAAACAGTCCAATGATGAGAGCTGGTGAGACACACGCAGTATTTTTCAGTTCAGAGTGATGAATACATGTTTCTATGCATTTATATAACTTGTCCTTCCTTACCCCGTGTATGTGTGTGTGCAGTGCTGTGTGCTCAGGTGTGTAAGGTGTACAGGTTTCAGACGGAGGATCAAAGATGGCTGCTGGTCAGGGAACAGATGTCAGAGACGCCGCTTTCTTTCTCTTTACCCAAACAGCTACTGAGCATGCTCATAAACGAGCACACAAGCAGGTGTGTGTATTTTCCTCCTATGTGAAGGCAGTATTCACATCATGTATCTTTAGCACACTCGCTGTGTCCAGTGTGTTTGGAATACACTGACATGGCAAAGGATCAGCAGTGTAGTTAATGTTAGCGTTGATAGCCATCGTTGCAGAGCAGAAACTCAAACTGCATCAATAGGAAATCCAAGCAGGAAGGTCAAATACTGTATTTAAGAATGTTTAATATTATAATAATAGGTTGTTTTGTAATGAGCCGTGATCTAAGAGGTGTTGGATCAACAACTTGGAAAGTCTTGGAAAGTAACGTAATCACTCTGTGTTTCTCTGATAAATACTACAATGTAAAAATAATATTTTTACAGACTAAGTTTTGGCGAAAAGTTTGATTGTCGTGACAGTTTGTGGTCGGCATGCTCACCGCTGCGTAGTGGCTGCCTCGCTGTAGGCAAACTGATGTGATGCTTTATGTGAATTTCTATCTTAAATAGTCCATGTAAGATGGTTTGTAAAGTTAAAGATTAAATGCTGTCACGATGATCACAGAACATTATTTATAGCCTACTGGAGACAAAAGCAAAATATATCGGTCTAATAACATTTTATTCTCAGCAAACGGGATGTAAATGTTTAATTCAAGACTTCGAGGCACAGTGTCAGAGGTGTTTTTGACTGGGGGCAGTGTGTTTCACTCCAGCTTGAATGTCGTACAGGTAGACTAATACCAGCCCCTTGGTCTTGTCCGTGTTGAGTACAAGATTGGAAGTTGCCTGTATGGCGTTCCAGTACAGACAGGAAACTGTCCAACTTCACCACTTTCCAGGCGACGTTCATCTCAAACACGCGTGTATCTATCTCTCTCTCAGGGTCCAGGAAGTGAAGGAGCTCGGCGACCTTTCACCCCACTGGGATGGGGTCCGCCATGATGTCATCAACCACTGTAACCACCTGATTGGCTGTTATCAGGAGACGCTTACCGAGCTCGACAAACTCTCAGGTGAAGTCAGTTACAGGGCAGATAGTTGTTATGACATATTGGGACGTTGTTTTCTTGCTTGCTGATGTTCTTGCTGAGAGTTGGATGAGAAGCTTGATATGGTGAATATGAAGCTGGAGCCAGGAGCCGGTTAGATTAGCTTAGCATAACGACTGAAAGCAGAGGGAAACAGCTAGCCGGGCTCTGTCCACCAGACAGCACCTTTAAAGCTTACTACTTTTTGAATCCACCCTGTTGCATTGTGGGAAAAGGATTCCTGCGCTGGTAATATAGCCAGCGCGTTTAGCTGATGTATTTTTTTTCTTCGTCTTTCAAACAGCCTCGTCCTGTTTCAAGTCGAGCAGCAGCAAGTCAGAGAAACACCTTCGGTTTATTCCAACCAACCTGCACTCACAGAGGATGGAGGTCACCAGTCCCGACAGCACAGGTACATTCAGGAGCCGCTTCACTTTATTTCTTCTTCTGCTTTTTCTCGTCGGGTAGCAGTAACTCAGTCCTGGCTTGGAAACCGGTGGGTCGCCGGTCTAGCTCAGACCAGAGATACGGAGCGTGGACTGGTTGCTGGAGAGGTCGTGTTTTTGTGTATAATAACAATTTTAACAGAGTGAAAAAAGTGTCTTCTTCGTCTTTCCTTTTCTTCTGTGCAATTTAAATCTCTCTCTCTCTCTCTCTCTCTCTCTCTCTCTCTCTCTCTCTCTCTCTCTCTCTCTCTCTCTCTCTCTCTGTGTGGTATGAGTTTATAACATTTGGTGCACCAGCTGATCACCACCAGGCCTTCAAACATGGAGGACTGAAGAGACTGCTGAGCAAACGCACAAACCACAGTGGCAGGTGTGTGTAGGACAACGCCTCACCTCCAGGTTTCAGAAATGTTCCTCTTCACTCGGCTGTCCTCGTCACTCCATTCATCTCTTGATATTGCTTCCTGTGGCTTAAACTCTATAATCTCTGTCAGGATTAGTGACGCTGCATTTGTAGATTAGAACACAAGCACGTTGCAGTTTGTTGAATTATTTGGACTCGTCAGGATCTTCAGTGAGAATCACCTGTAGCCCTAGTTTTAGGGATGGGAGGCTTGTTGGACATTCAAAATAAATTAATGGAAACCAGTGGCTTTGGAAAAATACATACATAAATATTAAACACATCAGGTCGCTGTGTTGCAACATAGAGTTTACATAGTAAATGGGCTGAAACATAAAAAAAAACTTGCATGGGGCGGCTGTGGCTCAGGAGGTAGAGCGGGTTGGCCGTTAATCGGAAGGTCGGCGGTTCAATCCCTGGCTCCCCCTAGTTGCGTGTCGAAGTGTCCTTGGGCAAGATACTGAATTACCGAATACCGAATTGCCCCTGGCGGCTATTCCGCCAGTGTATGAGTGAATGTTAGTTTCCGTCACACACTGAGCACTTAGGCTCAGTGTATGAATGTGTGTGACTGGTGAATGCAGATGTAGTGTAAAAGCGCTTTGAGTGGTCGAAAAGACTAGAAAGGCGCTATACAAGTACGGAGCATTTACATTTACTTTTTACTCTTCCTGACGTTATCTTTCTTTCTCTCTCTCTCTCTCCAGCTCTGTCTCTTACTCCCAGGATGAAAGCTGCAGAGCCAGGGAGCTGCTGGCCAGCGTGGCCCAGCTGCAGCCTCTGGTCTTCGGGCTCGCTGAGGAGCTGCTGTCCGTCTCTCTGGAGCTGAACGCCGCCCGGCTGCAGCAGGTCCTGGACAGTCTGACTCAGCAGGTGAGGAGCGGAAGAGAAACGTGGCGTATTTTGGACGGACAGAAATCTGACGCAAAGTCTTGTTTTGTCGCGTTCCTTCCTTCTCGCTCAGACAGACCTGTTTGTTCACGCGCTGAAAGACGAGCTGGTGAAAAGCGCCCTGCTGGCGATCCACACCCAGCGCTCAACCGACTGCACCAGCAGTCACGTCCACAGCAACGGGTTGCTCTGTGACAAAACGCCAGCCAATCAGGAGGGACAGACCTCGCTACGTGGTGCGGAGTACGACGAGGAGGAATGGGCAAGTTGGAGTGTGTTTGTGAGATGTTTATTTCTTTATGATAGTTTTGTTCTTGTTTTTATATGTGTGTTTGTGTGTGTTTGTGTAGGACAGGGCGTGGGCGAACGTTGCCATGATCCTCAGCTGCATCATCGCAATGGGCGACCGGCTGCAGGGGCGGGAGGACCGCCCTCAGGAGGTGACATCATCAGAGCAGCAGGACGCCACAGGTGACACAAACTGTCAGAACACAGGTGGGACTTTATTTCATGTTTCTGCTGCTGACGTTTATTTATGATATAAAGTATAAATTTGACAATATTTGGAATCGGCTTACTTGAATTAATCGTGTGTTGCTGTACGAGGAAAGATCAAATTGACCTTCACTTGTTGCTTTATTGTTCCCTTATGATGGAATCAGTATATTCAGTTGTGGATAGATCACCTCATCAGCAGCTGACTGTATTTCTACCAAACCTTCTCCTCTGGGATTTTCTTAAATGACACTGATTAGATGATTTAAAAGGGCCAGAGCAACTTTGGTTTATTGATTATAGTTGAACTTGTCTGTGTCCTCCAGCTTCTTCCTCCTCCTCCTCCTCCTCCTCTGCGTCGTCCTGGCAGGAGCAGCTGCTCCCCCTGGTGGTCACTCTCAGGGATTGTGTGCGTGAGGCGGTGGGGAAGGCTCGAGACGCCATGACCTTCGTGGTCCTGCAGGGGGCGGTGGCCAGGACTGTCGCTCAGGGATCTTCACAGCTCGTCCAGAGACGCCACGCTGTCTTCAGCCAGGCGGTGAGAGAACGCGAGACATAAATGAATCAGTCTGACGTTATTCTGCTCTTATGATGAAAATATTTAGAAGCTCTAATCATGTAGACATCTGACAGTTTGAACAAAAAGTTCAATCAAGTGTTGGTCTTGATTGACAGGTGTATCAATAAGCTCATGCTCCTGGCGTGTGGGTGATGTCACAGATCCACCCCCATCTGGAGACCTTTCACACTTGGATAGATGCAAAAAGTTGTGAAAAAACTGCTTTGTAAAAGTCCTGTAATTTCCTGTTTACTTCCTGTTCTCTTCCTGTTTACTTCCTGTTCACTTCCTGTTCACTTCCTGTCTCTCTGTCAGCTCTCAGCAGTGGTGTGTGGTTTCATGTTGAAGCTGTACGGAGGTCTTGAAGACCCTGAGTTCCTGCATCAACTTCACTCTGTCGGTGTCCTGGCTCAGTTTGAAGGGCTGCTCAGCACCTACGGTACACACACACACACACGCACACACACACACACTAACCTACCATACACACTGTGTGTTGACGTACATGGTGTGTGTGTGTGTGTGTGTGTGTGTGTGTGTCAGGTGATGAGGTGGGGATGCTGGAGGACATGGAGGTGGGTGTGGCAGACCTGAGTGGAGTTACGTTCACCATCACTGAGGCTAAAACAGAACAACCGGACGACCTGCTGCCGACGCTCAGCGGAGGATGGTGGGTGGGACACACACACACATACACACATGCACGCACACACAGAGCCCGCTAAGCACCGTGTGTGTTCGTCTCCTTTCAGGGGCAGTTTGGTCGTCGAGGTCCCGTTGCCTCCGGAGACATTTGGGTCGTTGCCACGGGAGCTGAAAGAGGGGCGTTTGATACGACTTCATCCAGTTCTCTTTAACATTGGAATCAACCAGCAGCAGAGTCTGGCTGAGCGGTAACACACACACACACACACACACACACACACACACACACACACACACAGATCAGTTGAGTATTAGTATTGATCAGAATCCCCAATAATTGACTAACTGTAGATTTAATATTTTTGTGTATCTAAAGTAAAAAAAAGGACGGCCTTGTAGCTCAGGCAGCTGTAGGTGTTGGTGTCCCTGTTGAACGAATGAGTGAATTCTTATAATGATTGTTTCAGGTTTGGTGACAGCTCGCTGCAGGAGAGAGTGAACCAGCAGAGCTGTGAGCGTCTCAAAACTTACTGTAACACGCTGAGAGACCGACAGCCCGACACGGGTAAGACTCTCTGAGACAGCAGATTTGTTACCTTATTGTCTTCATGAGAAACCAGCACAGTGAGCTCCTCTGATGCAGGAAGCCAGAGTATAAACAGACAACAGGAACTGTAGTCACCATCTGACAGACGCTACAAACACACTGAACCTGTCGCTCTGTCTCTCAGCTGGTCTCCAGTCCCTGCCAGACCTGCTGTCCTCTCTGGATCACAGTGTGGAAACCAGGAAGAGGAAGAACGTGGAGGTCCTGTGGATCGCTGCTGCGGTAAGACGCTCTGCGAGTCTGCAGCTCGCAGCTCTGTGAGGCGCTGAAGCTCACTGTAAAGAAAACCAAACTGTGATCTGAAGCAGTTGTGAAATAAATGTAATAATTGGCCAGAGGGTGGTGTCACAATAAAAAAGTCACAAGTAATTTTCAAATAATGGGAAAATCTTTGCTGCCAGTAAAAACTGATCAGATCACATCTTTCCACTTGAAAAACTCAAAGAAAAGCCCAGTTTTAAATAAATTGTGTATAAAATAGAGTCACAAACTCCATGAATGTTGGTCCTCTGTTGGGTGTGAACCTCGTGGTGGCACTAAAGGAAAAGTCAGAGGATCTGATGTCTGAGAGTTTGTGAACTCAGTTAGGAAGCTGCTTCCTTCTTTGGTGTGTGAGTTTTAAGTCCTTTAAGCGGCTCTAACGAATCTTTATAAAAAAACAATGTGACAGCATGAAGGGTGTCATGATGAACCCACTGCTGAATCTGTAGCTTCACAGTGAGTCTCAGCTCGCTGTTTAGGTTTTGCATTTGCCCTAGTCTTCATTCATATTTTTCAAAGAATCATAAACAAAGAAAATTTAAATAAATGATGTCGCATCCGTTCTTAAAGGGTTTATGTTGTGTTGCCCCCTCAGTGACCAAGAAAATCAATTGTTGCAGGTTTAAATGTCTTCAAATAAACTGTGTGTGTGTGTGTGTGTGTGTGTGTGTGTGTGTGTGTGTGTGTGTGTGTGTGTGTGTGTGTGCGCGCGCGCGCGCTCAGGTGTGTCGAACGGTGAACGGCGTGCGTCTGACGAGCTGTAAGAGCGCGAAGGACCGCACGGCGATGTCGGTGACGCTGGAGCAGTGTGCGCTACTGAGAGAGCGACACACACTCAGCCAGCAGCACTTCAGCACCGCACTCGACTGCATGAGGAGGTTCGTTTTCGCCCATCTCCTTCCTCCTTTGGTTTCCTTTGCCTCTTTTCCTTTCCTCTGTATTTTTATGTCACACAACATTTTCAGTTTAACCTTTCTGTTTGTATTTCTTCTTTTCTTTTATTCTCACATCTTATTTCCACGTTTTCTCTTCATCACCTTCATCTTCCTTTCTTACGGGATCATCATCCTCCATTGTTCTCCATTTCTCTTTTTCTTCATCACACACTCACACACTAACACACACACACACACACACACACACACACACATGTCCTCCAGGTCCCGTCTGTCCTGGGGGCAGATGCTGGGCTGTTATGCCCAGCTCACTGTCTGTGGGTTAGACACCGGGGAGCGTCCCTCCGGTCTCCAGAGCTCCTGGCTCCCGCAGTGTTTGGCCCCTAAAGCTCCCAGACGACACCTGTACCCGGTGGCCTTCCTCCTGGTGACCTCTCACCTGCTGGTTCTGTGGCTCATCCTCAGCCTGGTTATAATGCTGGCCAAATACTAGTAGACCAGCGCAGACTGGGAACACTGGGAACACAAAGTGGACCACATGGATGAAACTGAAGGCTGTTTTAAAAAAGGAACATTTTCACATTCTCCTAAATCTTTATTACTTTCAAACTCTGTAAATCAGATTCCAGTCACCTGTTAGATAGACTTTATCGATCCAACACTGGAAAAATTCACTTGCTCCAGCAGCTCCAGACACAACAGATAGAAAAATATACATATACATATCAGATTAAAAATAGAATGGAAAAATACTAAATCGCTAAATTTCATGCTTCAAAGCTTTGAGTTTGCTGTAAGCAGAAATCAGCAGACAACAACGTAAAAAATTCAGCAGCGCCATTATCAGAAGACAATTATTAAATATTAATTATAACGATAAATATAGTAAGTGGTTGAAAAAAAACAAGAGTCACAGAAATATACATTTTACAATAAATATGAGAAATATATCTGTTTTTAAAATGAAAAGAGCTGTAAAGACTCGGGGGCAGCTGGCGGAGTGACACCTACTGAAATAAAATCATAAAAGTTCAGAAATATCCCAGTAAACTGAAGATGATGATGATGATGATATGGTTTGTTTCAGCTCAGTTTCTGTAGCATAACTAAACTCTAAATGGATTCAGATTAAGGTTATTAGTAGTGTTTTTCCCGGTGCGACAGGTCCGGATAAATAAAAAATTTAGTTTGTTAAAAAAAGAGGTCATATTATGCTTTTTGGCCTTTCCCTCCCCTTTATTGAGTTATATACCTCTTTTTGTGCGTGTTGGTGGGAGACACCTGTTTTTGTCAGTGCGAGGGGAAATTTCCTCTGTATCATCTTGCACAGTTAAAACTTCACATATGAAAGATCAATGTGTTACAGATTAATAACTCACCACTCATATATACAGCTGAACCGAAGCCGTGTTTGCTTCTCTCTGACCCGCCCTACTCTGCTTCTAATTGGCTAGTAGTCCTTAACTAGGAATTGCGCATGTACAACTCCCAACAAATTGAAATGAGATGCTTCACTCTGGAAACGGAGCGTTCAACACACAGGGTGAAAAGAGGAGCTGCAGCAATGTGCAGTACCACAGAAATATGGTGTTTTTTCAAAAGCATGTAAACCTGTTCCGCTACAGCCCCTAAATAAAATGATGAGCCTGAAAATGAGCATAATAAATCACTCGTACGTGACGCTTCAGAACGAATCTGTTCCTGCAAGTGGTTCCCGCATGAGACCCAATATTGTTGTTTCTTTACTGTTCTGGAAAATGTTTATTTATTCACGCTTTTATTGTTATAATTTAATTTATTGTGCTTGTCTGTGTTTTAGCTGTCATTTTTGGATTAAACAAAATGTTTTGAATGAAGTGCCAGGTGACAGAATGAAGGAGCTGTGTGTGTGTGTGTGTGTGTGTGTGTGTGTGTGTGTGTGTGTGTGTGTGTGTGTGTGTGTGTGTGTGTGTGTGTGTGTGTGTGTGTGTGTGTGTGTGTGTGTGTGTGTGTAGACATCCATACATCACTGTTAATCCGTGTGTTTCTGCGATGTGTGTGTGTGCACAGAGATGGTTGCAGGATGGAGAACGTGCAGAAGAATGTGGGCTGCAGGAAGTTCGCCTTCAGCGGCGTCCAGCTCCTCACCTTCCCCAAACTGTACAGACCTCCAGACGGCAGCTATGGATAAACACATTGACATTTTTATTATTTCTGTACAAATGTTTTTAATCATTAAGATGGTTTGTTTTATCATGTAAAGTGCGTGTTGTGTTGTATATTTATGTAAATTGTATTTTTATGTTGATATTGACCCTCTGTGCTGTTCACTGTGGCTGCAGGTGTTTGATTTACAAACATATTTCTGCAATAAATGAATACTTCATTTATTTCTGTCGAATTAATTAAACAAATGGATAAAGATGCTTAATGATGCAGGGCTGGATTAAACCTCTAGGGGGCCCCCACACAGACACACATCCCCCAATTTGTGCCACAGGGTTGTTGAGCATCAGTTAGCTTGTGATGATGTCTGATTAAACACACATCTGTTTAAAAATAGAGGTACAATATCTGCTGAAGTATTAAAACTACATTTTGACACGCGGTCGCTCTAGAAGACATCAAGGCTGGGTAGAAATGCAGGAGCCACATTAGGCACTATTTCAGATTTAATTGTGCACATTTGTAGTAAATCAGACGGGGGTCTGGGACCCCTTAAGCCGACTTAACACTAAAGGAGGAACTGAAATAAAGCAGTGACAGAATTGAATATTTATATAAGTTTATTTCGTCTTATCCAGAGTCAAAAAATACTGTAGTATACTAATACTAATATACTAGTAGTGAGTAGTTATTAGTGAGTAGTTTTATTTGGCCACCAAAATCAGAACACATTTGAAACAACTTGCATTTTAAATGACTTGATTTGTTATTCATGTTAATCAATTAATCAACTAATTGTCCCAGCTCTAATGTTATATCATAACCGATTGTGGGATTCATTCAGTCCAGTACATTTACCGGAGTTGAGGTACTTCATCTCTTCAGTATTTCCATTTTACTCTACTTTATACCTGTATTAAGTCAAATAGGTTATATAATATGTACTTTATACTCCACTACATTTATTAAAGAACTTTTGTTAATAGTTACAGATTTAGATTATTAATACCAAATATAAAATCAACTAATAAATGATGATACAGTATTAAGCTTAAGCTACAGAGCAAGATATAAAGTCATTAAAACTAGCTCAACTTTTACCAGTTGCAACATTAAAGTGAGTTGTGGTACTTTATTATGATTTTAATACTTATGCAATTTTACTTATGTAAAGCGTTTGGATATAGGACATATCTTTGTAACAGTATTTTTACACAGCGGTACTGTTATTTTATAGTATGTTGTTAGTAATATGCACAGTGAGGGTTTAGTAATGATGCGGTTTTTCCATTCATATTTGTGGGGAAAAAATATTTTTTTTAAAAAGTGCATTAAAATTAAAGTGAACTGTTTAATCCTGGACAATCAGATCCCGTGAATGTCCGGTGGATCGGTGTTTGGGTGTCCAGCAGCGGTTTGTCTGCCGAGCCGCTGGGTGGCGCTGCTCAGGATCACTGCGCACACAGCTGCGTCAAGTCAGACATAAATCACACCGGAAACGAGACGTGTTATCCTACAAAATACGGGCGAGAACGGTCCATGACTTGTGACATTTTAGTTATTAAAACGTCTTAAATAACATATTTTAACAGTTACGTAATACAACTATTACTCTGTGAGTGGTTAAAGATGTAAAGATGTAACAATACAAGCTTTTTACTATGAGTTCTACGGCTTTTATTTTAGATTAAACAACCGGAACTGGCGTTTCGCATTCGCGCCAGTTTAACCGTGGTCCGCTCAGGCCCAGTCAAAACAAAGCAGTGGAAGTGGCCTGTCGCGTTTAGCTTTAAACACTGAAAACAAACTGCGAAGCGTGGGGAAAAATCGCCGCCTGGTGTTTTCATTTGGCCGAGGTTTAATCGCCCCCGCGGTCAGTTTTGTCCACGGTGAAGCCTCCTCTTCCCCCCCAGAGGTGGGTGTTGTTTTGCTCTCGGTGGCGGTTGGAGATGTAAACGGCTAACGGGCGTCAGTTGCTCGGGAGAGGCTGAGCAAAGGTAACGTTAGAAGAGGAGCGGGGGTCGAAGTTAAAGACGGAGGCGGATTAAATAACCTCCTGGTCGGTAGCATGGTGGAGTAGGCGTCGAAGCTCTCGGGCTCCAGCGACGACGGTTCGCTCTCACCGGGGAGGTTCACCATGGCCCCGGGCTCTCTGGTGGCGGCCTGCCGCAGCCTGGCCCTTTCTACGTGGCTGCTCTCCTTCTGCTTCGTCCACCTGCTGTGCCTGGACTTCACCGTGGCCGAGCGGGAGGAGTGGTACACCGCCTTCGTCAACATCACCTACGTGGACCCGGCCACCTCGGAGCTGCGCACCGAGAAGACGGAGTGCGGGCGGTACGGGGAGCACTCCCCGAAGCGGGACGCCAAGGGGTTCGTGGTTCAGCCTGTGGCCCCGCACGACCGCCAGGCCTGCGACCCCAACACCCGGTTCGCGATTCCCGCACAGCCCGGGGCCTGGGTGGCGCTGATCGCACAGGGAAACTGCACCTACAAGGACAAGATCCGCCACGCAGCAGCCCTGAACGCCTCGGCCGTGGTCATCTTCAACGTGGGGTCTGCTAATGCTAACGAGACCATCACGATGCCTCATTCAGGTAATACACTGGTGTAACTTATTTTCATAAATGCGCCGTTAAACATGTTTTTAAATCAAGAAGTAGAGGTTTTATTGTTTAATATAAACTGTTTCCTAACGTGTGCTGTTATAACTATTGTGTCTTCGGTGCAGGATTATAAAGATAACTTTTTTAACTTGCTGAACTCCCTTAAGTCCAGCACACATTACACAGATCAATACCTCACTGTGTTTGTAAAAGTCCATATCACGTTATCAACAGAAAGCTGGTGTTTGATCACAGTGGAATTAGTTATCAACTTTAGGTTCCTCCTGAAACTCTTAAGGATGCAGCCAAACTCACTCAACAGCTGATTTTCTTAGTATTTTAGAAGTGGAGCTGAAACGATTAAGAGATTGAGTCAAGTTTATTTGTGCAGCACATTTCATGCAACAAGTGTAGAGTCAATGTGCTTTACAAAAAGATAACAAAAGTATACCACAACACTAATCCTGAATAGAAATTTGAGCTAGGAGAATATAATATGTACATAAAATATTAATAACAACAACAACAACAACAACAAGAAAGGAATCAAAAGCATAAAAACGTCAGAAATAAGCATCAACATAACAACAGGATAAGAAGTGAAAGCACATAAAATAGGAGGGTATTACAGTTAAAGGAAATAAGAAAACTAGCTGACCAAGCACTTCAGGTGTGACCATAGTATCATGAGAGAAGATATGTTTTAGTCTGCTTTTAAAAGAGTATTGTAACAGACTAATCTATTAATCAGGTTAATTGATTGAACAGGAAAGTTTTCTCTGCAGCTTTTCTGATAATTGATTAACAACTCATGTTTTTTAAAGATAAAATTCCAACTTATCCAACTGCTTTTCTCTGTTTTTTTTGTAAGTGTGAACTAATTATCTTTAGAATTTTGGCCTTTTAGTTGGACAAAACAAGACATTTGAAGATGACGCTCTGAAGGTTGATCAATTTCAACTGTAACTTTGGTAATAGTAAGATGCTTTTTGTTTAACCAGCTGCTGTGTCACTCTTGAGACTGCATTGACAAAAACAGTAATTTTCGCACTCTGGTCCACCACTGCCTCAATTGGTTAGTTTGCGTAATTGTGGTGTTTTTCAATCATTTAAAACAAACCACAACCACACAGGAACACAAACTAGTCAAGGGGAACTTTATTTGTCCCCAGTAAGAAACGGTAGGAACACACATGTACAACAATACATACACACGTACAACAATACACACACACAATACCAAAACACTGAATACATGTATATATTCTGTACCGCTGAAATCACCTTTTACTATGGGAGTTTAGCAGTGAAATGGCTGCAGGAGTGTTTGTATCTATTGGGTTTGACTTGTGGGATCTTTGAAGCGTGGGAACCAGAAGTCAGCTCGTTTTTGTCAAGGGAGTCTGGTGGTTTTGACGACAACAATACAGCGGGGGGGGCGGTTGTGATAGCATCAGAGTTATTTCTGTATTAAATGCCTCATTGATCTCTATCAGTGATGCACATTCTGCCTGTTTCATACACAATAATAAAAAGAGGCCGACTATAGCCACATCAGCTGATTTATAGAAAACACGCGCTTCTAATTCAGTCAGCGTGACGTCTGTCAGCAGTTGTGTTGCAGTGCTGTAGTAGCAGAGAGAGGGTCTTCCAGTCCAGACTTGTTTTTCTACCCTCTGTCAGTGCTGCTGGCTTAAATAACAGACTCACAGCTGTTTCTCTGTCGGCTAGAGGCTCCTTCAGGGGTCGCTAATAAAACGGGAGACACTGACTTTAAATCATTTTTCTCGTGGCGTTTGCTCATTTTGCAGTAGATCTGGCAGTTTCCCCCCTAACCCTGCTGAACTTTACTGCGAGTCTTTCTTGGAAACGTTAAATTATCTCCCTAAAAACAGAAAGATGGCGTGTTATTCAGATACTTTAGTTTACCGTGTTTTTACCCGCTGGGATCCAGATTAGGATTCTTTTTAATAATTCTGTGTCTTATTAAATTGTGATCCATGTCTGCAACTAGTGATTATTTTCTTGACTAGGCCTAATCGTCAGAAAATAGTGAAAAAGGTTGATTCCTCTTCAGATTCCTTGTTTTTAATCCGATAATCAGTGTAAAACCCAAAAATGCACCGTTTATTATCATATAAGACAAAGAAAAGCAGCAAAGCTTCACGTTTGAGTTACTGGAACCAACAAATGTTTTGAGTGGGTTTTTTTATTGATAAAAGCCTAAAACGATCGGAGCACTAACCCTATAAAAGTTTCCAGTGCCAAAGGTCTTCACTTTACTGGACTACCAGATAAAAGCAGCACATCCTCTCAGTCGAGAAGCTAAAAATATCAAACATTTGGCATTTTTGCATGAAAAACAACAGTAAAAAGTATTTAATCATTTTTTAAAATAGGTTTTTGGTATTTGTTATTTAAATATTTTTTGTACTGTGTAAATAACACTTATTCACTTGTACTGTTCTTTGTCTCTAGTAGTACTTTTTTCTTTTACTGAATCTCCTGCAACTGCGGAGTAGACCAGCTACTTCCTGTTTACACTGGCACGCACATGCCTACTGTTCATGAACGGCCACTGGATGGTTGATTTCAGCTGTTTTAATATAAACAGAGATCAATTCTGATACGCAGCTAAAACTCTGGTGTGGACGGAGAAGCTTGAAAAAGTGTGTGTGTGTGTGTGTGTGTGTGTGTGGACATTGATCCCAGGGGTGTATTTTTAGTCAGACACTGATCGATTTTGTGGTTGTGTTTCGGGGGTTGATGTGAGTTCAGTGCTGGCCAAACTGCACACACAGCAAGTTCATGAACTTCTGAGCACACACGCAAAGGTTACGACTCAGTTTCCACAGAACCGTTACGAGACGTGATGATACATGATATTGGCTTCGCAATAATTAGATTAAAAGATAATAGAACAGTTTCTTCTTTTATTTCGAAAATCTTCATTTGCGAAATAAAAGAGGGGGTAGATTTCTGAGCATTAAACACTTAATTTCCTGCGTTCTGCATCAATTTATGGTGGAAATGTTTTAATTTATGTAAAGGAAAACACAACAACCAGGCAGCAGGTGACAATTCAAAATATAAAACTCGAACAGAATATAATTCAGTGAGGTTCTCAGGTATTCTGTGTTGCTTTCAGATGTAATGTCATCCCTGCTGAGGCAACACACAAGCAGGCATGATTTGGTCTTCTCTCCTCTTTCACAGGGAGAGAACACAAAGCTGAAGTTACTTTTTTCTGGACAATGCACATTTCTTCCCCCTTTATATTTTAATTGCATGTTTTGTTATTGTGCAAATGAACCTTCCTCAAATCATTTCATTTGTTACTTAACATTTCTTGTTGCAAGCTGTTTTTCAGAACATTTTTAACAAATGATGCTTTCAAAAAGTGGTGGGGACGGGTCCCCGGTGTCCCCAGTGTAAATGACATCTGTGTGTTTAATATGTCGCCAAGAGCTTTTTAGGTTGTGAAGGAAAATTAAGCTTGTTAGGGGCGACAGACAGAGACTAAAATGAGTGCCTGCATGAAGATCCACTATAAGATAGAAAATTATTATTTTTTAAACTTGAACAGAACAACAATATAGAACTGCTGGAAATGCAGTATAATAGGTCTCCTTTAAGTAAAGGGTCTAAATACTTCTTCCACCGCTGCAGAATACCAGTCAGACAGTTCACATGTGAATGAATGAGGATCCTGATTCAGCTCCAGCAGCCGATCTGTCCCTGCCACTTTCTGTCAGTTACTGTGAAGGTTTTTCTACAAACTCTCCCATCAGATTTTACTTCCTTCAGCGTTTTCTCATAGTTCGTCACCAGCTTGTCAGCTTAAGCATCTCTGTGCTTGCGTGACTAATTTCTTTTAAACTTGTGTCGACATGGTGGAGCATTCACGGCTGCTCTGGGATCCATCTGTAACCGTTTGAGGAATTTGCTGCACATCTTCAAGTATTCAGAATCAGAATCAGTTTTATTGCCAGGTATCTGTACCCATACGAGGAATTTGACTCAGGATTGTACATTGCTCACGATGTGCTTACTTATACAATAATACCATAACACAATAATAAAATAAAATCAGATACAAACTACAGAATAGACAACACTGATATACACACTATGAACAAAACAATATAGACCTATATATTCAGTGCTGATACTGATATGGAAATTAAACTGTTGTAACTGCAGTTGTGTCTCACTGTGGAACTGAGCCGAGTGTTTGTGTCGACCTTTCGTGGGTTATTTGAGGGTGTGTTAGTCAGGCCTCAGTCACAAGGACAACTAAAATTGAATCAAAGCAGCCTGGAAGTAGCGCGCACACATTTTTCCTCCTCACACCTGCAGGGCTGAAGGAGTTGTGTTCATACTTGTCTTCTTCACAAATACAGATACTGTGTGTTGTGCAGCCTCAGAACCAAGCAGCTGTTGAACGCTGCTGAAGTGTCCTTGAGCAGTCACTCCCAGCTGCACACTTTGACCTCTGGTTACCTCTATGGAGGAGCACGGGATGTTTGAGACTCAGAAACCTCTGCTTCTGCTTTCGTCTTCCTGCTCTACACTCTAAATTTGTCACTTTCAGCAGCTCATTCTCAGAGACAAACCTGAGAGATATATATATATATTTTTATTTTTTTTAACAAAACGGTCTGAACCATTCACACCTGACTACTCTTCACTGGATAACAACTGGTCATTACTTTGTCTGCTGAACAGGTCGTCCAGGTTTCAGTTCATCCAAACATGTTTACACAAGAGATTCAACGGATCAACAACTAGGGCTGCAGCTGACGATTATTTTAGTGATGCAGTATTCTACGGATTATTTCATCGAGCAATTGCATAAGAAATACTTTTGCTTGGCGCCCCCTGGTACCGGGATCAGCTGTGTAACACACATCACTGTAACGTTACAACCCAACCTCACAGACTAACCAGTCGGAGAATATATTATACATTTACAGCTAAGAATTGTGCCTTACCTTTATTATCCTTCAGCTCAACTAGCAGTCATGATATACGTTAACGCTTCGTCCCAATTGGTCACGTAGACAAAAAAACGTGAAATCAGTGTTACTGAAGTTACCCTTTAAGATTGTGCTACAAGATTTGATAATTTCTATTTTTTGTTATCCATAAAGCAGGGTTGCTTTTGGGATGACAATGTTAGTCGGTCCACATTGAAATATCACAACCACTATTGGATGGATTGTCGTGAAATTTTCATGTTCCCCAGAGGACGAACCCTACCGACTTTGGTGATGCGTTGAGTTCTCATCTAGCGCCACCATGGGGTTCACATTTGTGGTTTGGCATCAAATATCTCGACAAATATTAGATGGATTGTCTAAATTTGGTTCAGACAATCATGTCACCCTCAGGATGATTTGTAATAACTTTGGTGATCCTGAGACTTTTGATCTAGCGCCGCCATCTGATCAAAGGTTCAGGTCGTCAGTAAAGTTTTATGACCGACTAATGACAGTCCTTTCAGCCTCAGCTGTACTTGGTGTTTAGTGCTAATTAGCAAATGTTAGCCTGCGAACATGCTAAACTAAGATGGTGAACGGCTGTGAAGATTCAGTCAGCCAGGTCATAGTTATCCAAAGATGGCATATGATGCTAAACAATATCGAATATCATACCTACAAGCATTTAGCTCAGAGCTAACTGAGCTGCTAGCGTGGCTGGAGACTCGCATTTTAATTATATTTCACCACATAAAAAAACAAGCCATTTACTAGCAACACTTAAGTTTTAAATAAGCAAAAATAACAAAACCAACATAATGGAAAACCATTAAAAGATGTTAATAGGAACACGTTTTCCAGCTCATCAACAAGATTTGTCGCAGTAAATTAAGCTCCTCAAAATAACTATAAAACTGAAATATTAGTGGTATACATCAAGAACAATGAAAAGACAGAGAGTTAAGTCATGAAAACGTCAGCCACTGCCCTGAAATCGTGTTCAAGTGTCTCTGATGATAAGACGAAGAGGTTATTATCCTGCAGTCACTTATATAACCTTCATATCATACACTCAGATGAAGCCAGCCTGTACGACACGTCCTCCACCATGTCGGGGTATAGTGTTTATTTTTAGAGCGGCTGTCTCTGGTGGGCGGTGAGGAGCTGGTCGTCATAGTGATTGGGGGGGGGGTCATTGGTTTAATGAACTGGCGACAGAGTACAATCTGTTAGAGCTTATTTCTAAAAGGTGAAAGAGTCTGTTTGTTTAGTGTGTTTGCAAGAGAAATCTGAGGGGTGTCAAAATGATTGAAGATTTATTAAAGACAGGAAACATTTCTGCTTTTCAAATTGTGTATATTTTGTCAGACCTTCCCATGATATTGGCTTCTTTTCCTAGTTTTACATCTTATGATCTATAATCTGAGTAGTTTCTTTGCCTCACACTGATGGGAGGAAAATACATTTGCCAGTGATTCTCTTACTGTATATTACTACTGCAGCGATGAAATACATCCAGCTCACAATCATTTTAAGTACTTGAGTAAAAATACTGATTCTCCAGTTCAGGGAAATTTCGACACACAGTGATTAAGTTAATCAATGTCACAGCAATCCTTTTGAATTTAAATTCCAGTATTTTTCTGATTCGGCATCTGACAAATAGCGTCTGTTGTTGTTATCATCACTGTAATAATATCACAACACAGCAGTAAAGTGGGAATTAAGATGATAAAACACGCTGGGGGGGTAAGCCCCGTAGCATCCATTTTGAACACTAAAGACAGGTGGAGGATATTTAAGACAAAAGTCATAAGGAGGTGGTTTGGGTGGACGGAGCGCCAGAAGCTTGACCTCCACCAGTGTTTGTTGTTTCCCCAGTGAAAGATGCACGTAACATACTTTTTTTTTTAACCCAAACCATGATGTTTTCTGTAACCAGGTACTTTTGTTACCTAAACCTAATCAAATTGCGAAGTTTCTCATTAACAACGTGGTGTTTCACAACTGCAACGTTTTGCAATGTCAACAAGTACCTTTATTTTAAAAGTCTAACCGGACATTGCATATTTATTGTTGCTAACTTGACCATGGAGCGCTAAAGGATGTGTGAATAAAATGTTGGAGTTTTTGATATTTATTTTGGAGAAATTGTTAAATTGATTGAGTAATAAAACAAATCTTTGGAATAATCGATAAATTAGTAGGTTAGATTAACTGACAAAGAAATAATGTTCGATTAATCGACCGGTGCAGCCCTAACAGTAACTGTTCCCCCAAGTTGGTCTAAGGGAGTAACGCAGGAGGAGTCAATGTGTTCAGTACTGAGGCCAGTTTATACTTCTAACCTGTAAGTTCTGCCGTAGCCTTACGCACGCCCCACCAAAAATATAAAAACACATAGTGGCGACGCAGACCGCAAGAGCTTTGATTGGTCGGCTTGGTAGCACTATCCTTCTTCTTCTGCCTCAAGGGTCGTACAAACCATCTCCTCCGACGCCTTCTCTCGTTTTGTGTTAATTCACTTAAATAACTGCTGTTGAACATCAATGAGCTCCAACTCCAACATGATCCGCTCAGTTGCCATTGTTAGTTACAGCAGTCACACTAATGTACAGCGTGCGTCCCCTCCTCAGATACAGGTGAGGTGGTCGCCATCATGATCCCGGAGCCAAAAGGCCGCGAGGTGGCGTCACTGCTGGAGCGTAATGTGACGGTCACCATGACGATCACCATCGGGACGAGGAACCTGCAGAAGTACGTCAGCAGGACGTCGGTGGTGTTCGTGTCCATCTCCTTCATCGTGCTGATGATCATCTCCCTCGCCTGGCTCGTCTTCTACTACATCCAGAGGTTCAGATACGCCAACGCACGGGACAGGAACCAGGTACACGCGCACACACCAATAATTCTTATTTTAAATCTACCTGCTCTGCTCCAGCCTCGGACTTCTCATATCCCCACACTCCCTCAACTACACCTCGAGTCTCTTACTGCAAACTTGCTTTCCCCGCCTCTCCGTGTCTGCTGACTTTCTCTGTCAGCAGTATGTTTTATGAAGTCGCCGAAAAGACACATAACTCTTCTTCTTTCCGGATTTTTACACCCTGCGATCCGTTTTCACTGCAGCAGGTGCATGCGTGGTACTGAATGACAACTGCACCGGGTGTTCACTGTTGCTTTACCTGGTCCCTGCTTGTAAAATATCCACCATGTTTGCATCTTGTGATGTACCTGGACGGCTCGCTCAAATGAAGTCTATCTGTGGGAAACACTGTCTTTATGAGACGAAGCTCACATAAAGGTAATGTGGAGGTGTCCCAGTACTTTCTATATAGTGTATTAGGCAAGATACTGAACCACAAATTGCTCCCAGTGGCATCGCCATCGGTGCGGGAATGTGAACGATGTGTTAATTTCTGTTTCTGATGAGCAGTTGTTACCGTAGCTGCTGCTCATCTGTGTGTGAATGAGATGTAGTGTAAAGCGCTTGAGTGGTCGAGTAGAAAGGTGCAGAAAGTACAGACCATTTACAATTTAGCCTTGACCTTATTTTGGAATCTTTGCTTAATTATTTTAAATGTATTTGTGACAGAAGACACTGTTTTCTCACTTTTATTGGTGTCTGTCTCAGCAGATTGAGGCTAGTCAGACAGACAGATTGTCAAATATTCAGCTGGAGAAACACAATAATTTGAGCTTTCAGAGCAGTGGCCTTAACCATTTTAATTTCTACTACGTTGATTGAGGGGCCACATTTTTGCCACCAAAAACCTACACAGTTTGGGCCGTGTGATTTGGAAATGGTGCTTCAAGTCACTGCATGAACGTGGAGCAGGTTTAAAGGGTTGGATCTGCAGAGGACAAATAAAAAATCATCATTCCTCGGCTCATCTTGTATGGCTCATACCGGTCTACAGCTGCTGTTTCTGGCTAAACAACAAGGACCTTATTTCTGCAGGGATCATTTCCACAATGTTGTCAGACGCTTATATGAACAAGCTGAGCCTCTAAGTGGTAAAAACAAACACTTTAGTGGACGTACTTTGAAAGGGGCAGAATTGCCAGCAAGCCTTGTGCTGCAGCCCTGTTGTGACTGCAGCGCGCTCGCTCAATACTGGACCAACTTTAAAAGATGTTGTCCCAGTTAGTCACATTGACACAAAGACATGGGAGGGTTTGGTATAAATAACAAAGTAACCCTTTTAAATATTTTCTAAAAATATTTCTTTCTACTTTGACTCAACTATATTTCAGTACATTTTCTGCTACATTTATCTGACCCCTGATTAAGATTTTCAAGATATGCTTCAATGATCTAATGTAGCACTATAATAATAAGATAAAAAAATTTACATTGCCATTAAATCTCCATTCCCCAGGAGAAATCCGGTTTCTCTACTTCCTTTACCCCAAATACAGGAAACGGTGACGTTTACATGATGTGTCAGAGAATAAATTACTGGAGAAAGACAACAGTAACCTGGTTCCTTAAATACTGAATGAACAGCTGAAGTGATTAGAAACCGGTTCTGGACAGAATACCGTGTAATAATAAATGACCATGGAAGTGCTTTAATCCGAACGTCTCTTCCCCACAGCGTCGTCTTGGTGATGCGGCGAAGAAGGCCATCAGTAAACTGCAGGTTCGCACCATCAGGAAGGGCGACCAGGAGACGGAGGCCGACTTCGACAACTGCGCCGTCTGCATCGAGGGCTACAAGGCCAACGACGTGGTCCGCATTCTGCCCTGCAGGTAAACGCGCAGATACAGAGAGAACCAGAAACTGGGTTTTCACACACAGGATATGTGGCGTGATATTTTGGTGCTTTACGGTCGCAATAAACATAGTAAGAGAGAACCAGTTCTCACTCCCAAGACCCGCTGGCATCGGTTTGTAACGCACACGCTATAATTCAGTGCTGTTAGGCAAGATCTGTAGCGTCATTTATGAAAGCTAAAAGCAGCTGTATGGTAAATAACAAGTCAGTAAGGAGGTGGTTGAGGAGCCCAGATGACTGATGTCGTAGCTTACATAAGCTACATAAGTTATCGTTATTTAACTTATGGAAGTTAAGTCACATAAGGAACTAGATATTTTAACCCAAACCGTGATGTTTTCCTAAACCTAGGGACGAGGAGTCTGGGTGCATAAACTCAGCCAAAATTGCAACATTTCGCAACGTTAACCATTAGTTTTATTTTGAAAGTGTAACCAGACGTTGCATATTTATTGACGCTAACTTGACTGCGGAGCCCTACAATAAGACACAGAAGGGTGTTGAAAATGTGTTACAAGAGAAAAGAAACATGTGAAAAAGCCAAGAATGATTAAAGAGCCTTTCCACTGCAGGAACTTTCACAGGTGACAAAGAATAGTTAGTAGAAATTTTGCCTTCCTTTGGACCGGAGGACTTCAGTCAGGACGAATCTCTAATATCTAAATAAAAAAGATAGGATTTCCTCCTAAATGCACCTGAGATAAGATAGGATTGAGAGATTCAGACTGAGGATGTTTCTGTGGTGTTGCTTTCAGCTGCTGTGAATTCACCTTATTGAGTAAACATTAAACTTTCAAATGCAGTCACGCTGTGTAAAGTGTTCCATAAGCAAAGATATTAAAACAACCCCTAATGTATATTAACAAGAAATAGGGTTTATTGTCTGGTGTCCCTTTTTGTATTAGTGTACTTTATTTACTTTGCTCTTAATGGGCTTTAAAAAAATTACATTTTTTAATTTTATTTTCTGTGTTTCTTGTTCTTCACACTTGTGATGATGGAAGCTGTTTGGATGAAATTTAACTCGGGGCAATCGGTTTTCTTGTGATCAGGGTTGTGCAGAAAGACGAGGTTGTGACTACAGAGACGGATTGTTTTCCCCAAAGACAGACTCAGATTATGAAATGAGTTAGATGAGATAACAAATAGTACGAGTTTCTTTCTTTGTGTGACTGCAGAAAAGGAAGGCAGAATAACTGGCTCCACCGTTTCTCCTCTTTGCAGACATTTGTTCCATAAGAGCTGTGTGGATCCGTGGCTGTTGGATCATCGCACGTGCCCCATGTGCAAGATGAACATCCTCAAAGCCCTGGGCATCGCCGTAAGTCAAGGGACGGGCTTTAACACTGGATTTGTTTTAACCAGGAGAGGCGTTCGGCGAGGCAGCTGAGCGGGATGTGCAGCCTCAAAAACTGAGAATGTGTTTATAGAGTCAGTTAGTTAGAATCAAGACAATACAGACAAACCTGATGTATTTATTCCTGTCACAAATTGATTTACACTACCTGTCAAAATGTTAAAAACCTTTAAATGGTACAAAAGTAAGCCGCAAACTGCAAATGTAAAAAAAAAAAAAGAAAACACGTTTACGTCACCAGATCAGCGACATTTTCAGATATAAAATCAGCAATTAAGTTAAAGAGTTTTGTTCATAATTTAACTGTAGGATCAACCGATGACCAGCTTCTTTCACTTCCCTCATTAACTGTAGTTTTAGTTACTATATTGTATAAATAAAGCTTCTGAGGGTGAATTAACAGGCTGCAGAATAACCAAAGTAGTTAAAGACAAAGTTTAGATCAGCAAAACTGAGAAATTACTTAATTTCAGAGATAAACAGGTTTCAGGAATCAAGTAATCAGTTTACAACAAGTAATTCTGCAGCAATGGAAGTAAACGAAGCCTTGAAAGCTGAAGCAAAAACATAGTTGGAACAGCCTGTTAATACACCATCAGAAGCTTTATTTATGTAATCTTGTCATGAAAGAAGGAAACATACCAGCTTGTGATCGGCTGACCCAACAGTGAAACAATGAACAAAACTCCTTCATTTGTTAATTTTATTTTTTAAACAAACTGTAAATGTTTTGTTTACTTTGATCAGATATTTTCTCATTCAAATCATGTTTTTGTCATTAAGTTCTTGAGCTGTTGTTTTTGTTATACACTGATTTCAACAATGTTTTGATGTTAAACTATTAACGAACCACGTTTCCTGACGTGTTTTCTCTCTCTCTCTTCGCTCCAGCTGAACGCAGACTGCCTGGACGACCTGACGCTGGACTACGACCTGGCCCTAGGCGGCGTAGGTGGGGTGGGTGGCGTCGGGGCACTGGCCCTGGAGGCTGTGGTGTCCGGGGCCTCCAGTGACGGCACGCTGAGCGAAGGCGGCTCCTCTGTGGTGCTGGATCCCGGCGTGCGACGGGTGGGCCTCCCACAGGACTACCAGGACCCCGACACCCTGAGAGACAGCCCTGTGACGGCCACCACCGACACACACACAGGTAACACACACACAGGTAACACACACACACTGTATGTTCGGCTGAATCTCAGTCTCACGGGCTCAAAGCCTTTGAGGCAAATCCGTCCCTTCACTGTCTCGGCCGTGAAGAAAGCCTCAAACCCACAATTGTTTTAGCGTAGTAAAGGTAACGTGGTAAGTGGGATGCTGTCCCATTAAACCACTTCGGGCCCTCGCAGCCTCTCACACTTACCAGGTGACGACATCTAACTCTGAGGGATCAGGTTTTAGGGCCCTTGTTATTCAGTGACCAGGTGAGCGGTGTTATACTGACACCCTGTGGTGTTTCTGCTACATAACGTTCTGAAAGTCACATTGACGGCACATTCATCACTGCTGCTTTCTCCTGCTGCGTGAGACGGGTAGCAGTGAAGGAAGGAAGAGTTTGTCTCTCTGTTTCACTGAAGGAGAAACCAGGGAGGGAATGATCTTTATTTTCACGTTCTGCTACAGAGTCAGGTTAAAGATTCACCCTTTCAAAGGAGGAGCGTTAACTGGAGTTTAAGAACTACAAGAAATGGTAAGCTTTATTGTAAAATAGATTATTATTTTCACTAGCTCATTTTATGTTTTCATTGTGACTTCAGAGCCACAATAATTTTTACTGTTTCACCACATGAAACACTGCTAATCTTCTAAAATCTAAAGCTTGTTAATTAGTTCCTCAGTAGGGCTGGACGATGTCACCTAAAATCGAAATCACAATTAATGATAATGAACATTTCTCCTCCATTATGATTACTGAACGATTATTTTGTTTTTGAATGTTGTTTTTTGTTGTTTCTTTGCTCTCATATTTTCCTGACAATGTTTGTCCATTATCTAAATGTTAATTAATAAGGTGAGGTTGACGTGCACATTACCAAGACATGGGTCCCCTATATTCAGTACATCCACTGCTGAATTATGACCACTGCTACTAAACTTTCACAGTTATTTAATATCAATGCAGAACAAATGATTTTCACCCGCACACTGTGTGAGCACAGTAAATCACGCTTTGCTAGCTTCATCTCCTCATTCATCAAAAGACGGTTACATGACAGATGCTGTTATAAGAGCAGCGGAGTCAGGCAAATAAAATCAAGCAATTTTAAATGATATAAAGTTTTTGACCAAAAGAAAATTGACAAAAGGCTGTTTTGTAAAGATACGTCTTGAGGAGTGATTTTAAAATACGTCACTGAATCTGTAAGCCTCAGGTTCTCGAGCAGGGCGTTCCAGAGCTGAGGGACCCTGACTGCAAATGCCGGTCCCCTATGGTCTTGAGCCGGGACTTAGGAACAGCTAACAGAGTCCTGCCTGAGGATCTGAGGCTGCATTCTGGCTCACAGGAGAGCATCAGCTCAGCAGTGTAGCTGGGAGCAGAGCCATGAAGAGCTCTAAAGGCAAAATCTTAAAATAAATTCTAAAACTTGCAGATAACCAGTAAAGGGAGGCCAGGAGAGGACTGATGTGATCTTGTCTTCTAGTGTTCGTTGAGCAGCTGAAGTCACGAGTTTTTGGTTTATAAATAAAAAGAGAAAAAAAAACAAAACAATCCTCTTAGAGCTGCCCTAAAAAGAAAAGTCACAGTAAACCGTTAGACTTGAGTCTAACCCCGCCCTCTCTTTCAGGTGAGCTACTGCCAATGGCGAGCAGCGCCTCGGCGGCATCCTTGGTCATCACGGTGGAAACGGGTCTCTCAGACGAGGAGGGGTCCATGGAACAGTCTCAGCTGGCGGACAAGTCCTGAGAGGAGCCTAACAGAGCCAGACCACAACCCGGGTCAAAACTGACTCCGCTCAGCTTTGGATTTGTCTGTGGACCTGAAGCTCCCGAAGAACGACCTGACTGAAACCAGATCTGAACCAAACCAACTTGCCTGCACCCCTAGGTGCACTCGAGCCCAGCTAAAAGCAGGATCTAGACTTTGCTTTGACGTAGTGGAATATAAACATGCGTGTTGGTTTTGATCAGGAAACTGACTGACCTGGTTTGGCTTTGTTTCCGGCCTCCTCTTGGACACTTGGTGAGGTTGAACCCAGGACCCGACCTGGGCCAACATGGATGTTACCCGGCGTGTTTACGTTGGTCTGACCCCCTCGGCTCTCCTCGGTTCGACCAGGCGTTTTTTCTAACGTTAAACTGGGATATAACTCCATCTGCCTGTCTGTCGTCGCTTCCTGCAGATGTCTTAATCAGCCCACATCTGTCTCAGTTCACGCTGTTGCTAGAAATAGACGAGGCTTCCTTTGGTCCTGCCCACCTTTCATTGTTCCTGACAGACTTTCAAATCTTGTGAAACTCGTCTCGTCGACATCTGTTTCCTCTTGGACTGTCGAAGGGCAGATGGGATTCAGACAGAGTCCTCCACAAGACACATTTATACTCGGAGAACACGAGGATGATCTGAAAGTCTCCTCGTTGCTCGTGTGAAACAGGGTAGAACCTGAGAAAGCCAGCTGCCAAAAGAAAAGGCGCTCCTCAAAGGTCAATATTCTCCTCCATCAGGAATGTAGATCTGCCTGTTTCTACTTCAGTAAGGATTGCTTTCATCTCGGGACCCTTGTGGAATATTCTGTTACCTGGTTTTTCCAGGTAGAGATCTAGAAACTGTGTCTGTGCTGCGTGTCCTGGTCTGGATTCGTACTCTCTGGTTTATTTTTAGCTCATTTTGATTTGCCAGGTGCTGCTTCTTGATGTGTGTGATGTCTGTAGTGATTAGCTGGAAGACTTCTACTTTGAAAGGACAGACCAGCTACACTGGCTTTTTTTTTTTTTTTTCCTTTTTCTATTGTTTCTGCTGAATCGGTGGACTCGTCGTGACAGTATTACAACTACACTTTAACTGCAGTATTAAATCGCAACTACACACAGTATTTTCTTTTCTCTTTTTTCCGGTTTGTGTAGTTCAAGGTTCCTTTATCTTTTCAGTACTCAGTATTTGCTTTGAATCATTTCTGTCCTTGGATTTAGTTCCAAACAGGGTTCTTATGTGTGTCTGGAAAATAGTGACAATTAGAAATGACTGTTTGCAGGGGTGTACACTATACTATAAGGTATAAGAAAGGTTGACTTTAGGTATAAAATTTGTGGAAAATCATGCAGCTTGGGTCTTAAAACAAACTATTTTTAAACTAACTTGTTTCTCTATAGATAAAAGCATCCGTAACGTTGGGCAGAGACTGCATGTTTTTATTCATCTTGTACATTTTGTTAAGTCACATTACATGTTTTAATTGCCCTTCCTGCTCGCCCCCAGTCGGTTTTGTCCAGCGACAGTTCCAGTAAAGTTTATACAAACCAGAAGACTTGAGGCTAATTTATATTTCTGTGTTTAATCTACGCCATAGTCTTGATGTGCCCCTCCCCCAAAACTCCACATCTGCCGCTGCCGCAAGAAGTGTGATTGGTCGGCTCTGTAGCGTTGCATTTCCGGCTTGTCCCGCTTCTTCAAGGGTCATGCATACCATCTCCTTCGACGCCTTGTCTCTTTTCTGCGTTTTAGTAATTTCACTAAAAGTAACTGCTGATCATCTCAGTTTCAGTCGCCATTGTTTGTAGTATCCTACACCAACGAAGAAGAAGAAGAAGAAGAAGAAGAAGCAGCTCAACACAGCAGAACATTAAAAAACAGATGGTATAATTGCAGAGTGCCGCAGACACCAACGCACAAGTATAAATACTCACGACGGGACATGGCTTACGCAGTCGGCAAGTTCATAGACTCGACGAAGAAGCATAGAAGTCCTAAACAATTTTAACATAAAGAGAGATAAGCAGCGATTTCTACTCTGAACAGGAAGTAAGAATATAGATAGTCTGGCCTTTCTGTTCTGTACAGTTTTAAGACTTCAGCTTTAGCCACAACAGTAATATTAAAACGAGTTGAAATGAGTCTGGGGTTACCAATTTAGGGTAAAAATCGTGCTTAATGGGTCCAGCGTCTGCCTGGTTTACAGGATAGAAATCAGTCTTCCATCGTGGGCGTCTCTCCTGAGTCGTAACGTTCGGTAAGTGTTCTCACGTGTCCTCCGTTAAAATGCCATGTAGGAACCCTGTCCATAGTGCTGCCTTGTTCTGTTCTACTGTTCGTCTGCCTGACCACACGTGTCCGTTACCGTGGCCTCATGCTGCCTTTTTTGAAAAAGCATATTTACCGTTTTAACCCTGACAATCAAGGATCTGACCTTTTACTTGCCAGTCAGGGATCTTTTCTCTGAGCAAACCTAAGAAAGATGTGAGCTGCCATTACCATTTCCAGACTTTAAATTAACGCTGAGCAAACTGAGCTGTGAGAGCCGGACAAAAAAGGCGCCCAAGTTACTGAGACGCAGAAACACATTCAGAGCTGTGGACAGACTGGGTTTAGCCATGACTCCTTCCCTGCTTCAGTGAGTGTAGTTAAGCTCAAAGCATGTAACTATAAAATGTATATTCTACAAGTTCTACCACACCACGTGACATTGCCAAACTGGCGTGCAGACTGCATAGGGCTGAGGTCGCATCGTGGCATTGCCGGCGCCACGAGCATCCTGACACTAAGAGAGATAAAGATTGTCGTCTATTTTGATACCAGAGGAGACGTTTATTTTTGTAACGACGTAGCAAAGACTGATTCCCTCCCCTCATGACCCACGGCCTGGTGGGTCTCAGTGCGACTGAGTATTGATCAGGTGGATGTAAATGTTGTTTATTTGTGTAAATGTACGCACAGAACGTAAAAAGGACCTTGACAATATGAACCTAAACTATTGTAAATCGGTCCGCAAACATTTGGGATCTGATTGTTTGTGTAACTTGCCGAAACCTGAGAATTGAACCCAAGTGAAGGAACTGGAGAACGAACGCTGTGCTGTTTCCCATCTCTCTCTTTTGGTACTAATGTCTGTTAACAGCATACAAATCACAACATTTGACTTCTGAAAGTGGACATAAAACAATATATTCAATGTGTTCAAGACTGTTTAATGGCCTTGCATGTACATAGCATTGTTTTTCAGATTAAAACAAAAGTGCTGGACATGCAAAGCAAAGCAAATCGTACACTTAGCCTTTAAAATATTCACATTGGTACCAAACTGTGAAGAGTTCGGCGCAGTACTCGAGAGCCGAGAAGCATTTTTAAGTTTCTTCTTCTTTAAGTTTCCTTATCTTTCCTCTCTACTTGCATTTCAGTTTCAGGACTGAGAAACAGCCAAGTTACTAAATATTTGACAAACACTAGTTGATTTAAACTGAACTGGTAAATTGGTGGCGAGCATTATTTGCTATAATATATGAAGATTGTGTGTATTTGTATGCCTTGTCTTGGCCAATTTCCAGTGAACAGTGTTTTAGTTAAAGTCACTTCCTTTTGTGTTTATAAGCTTTATTTTCAAGGGATTTAATTGAGTATAATGTTATTTTCACATTTGCACTGTTTCATTCTCTTTCTTTTTAAATGTGGCTGCAATTCTTCTGCTGCAGTAATGAAAGTGAACTGAACTCACCCCTCCAGAATCCATTTCTGTTGTTCTGTTAGTAGAGACTGAGGTTGCTGTGGCATGTCGGTCCTCCAAACGCTGTTTAGTTACCAGCAGAAATGTGTCCGTAACTACAAGTGTCAAAAACTGTCAAATGCAGAACGCTGTCATTGAATGTCTGGTCATATTCATAATTTCTGTACGTTCTCCTAATCAATGTTTCAGGCTGCTTTATTTTGACAAACCTTTAACAATTGAGAAGATTAAGTTATATGTCAAGACAAAGAATTTCTTTGGCATTGGTACTAAAACTCATGTATCATATCAGTTAGTGGCGAAACATTTCAAACAAATCTCAGTGTAGGCCAATGATGAACCTTTTGGGCAGGCGAGTTAAAGGTTAAGTTTCGGTATTTTTAAACCTGGGCCCTATTTTCTCACATTTCTGTGTTGAAATGAAAAGTACAAAACGTTTTGGAATCAGTTAGAACAATTGTTGAATGAATCACCAACTATTTTGATCGTCGATAGTCCTAATTTTAAAGAATGGCCTCCAAATGGTCTGATTTCAATCGATGATGAAAGTAATCGCTAGAATCCGTGCAGCCAGCAGCCGCAAACCTTACTGAGGTATTCCTTCGGGCCAACAGCGCCTGTCAAAATGGCAGAAAGTTGTGCTTTGTGCCACCGACAGGCTCGGGCTGTTATACGAAGTGTCTGACAACATCATGGAAAGGATCCCTACAAGTGACTCCTGGTGACACCCTTTTGTTTTTAACAAAGTCTCCTCAAGGACAATTCTCGCTCTGAAATCTCGTGAGAGGCGAGTTGTTGCAAGAAGACGAGGGAGAGGGGGAACTGCTCGCAAGACTTTATTCCCAAACATTAATGTTCCTAACTTACCTTTCCTCTGGCGTCCTCCTGCAACAACTCGCCTCTCACGAGATTTCAGAGCCAGAACTTTCCTTGAGCGAGACTTCAGTTTGTGGCTAAAAAATCAAAGAATCATGCGTAGATATTCTTTCCATGATGTTTTCAGACACATGGTGTAACAGTCTGAGCCTGTTGCGGCAAAAAAGTACATTTTGTTGACGCCATCTGGACAGGCAAAATTGCCCTGAAGGAATACGTTGCAGTCACTGCCGGCTGAAGCCATCTACTGCACAGATTTAAAAAAATACATAAATGACTCTTGATGTATTCCTGCTCTTCCTTCATAACTTTAAGCTGTTTTAACATGTTAGTTATCATGCAGGAAGTAATTAGAAGGCACGGTGACTGGAGCCTGTTCTCCTAGCGTTCTTTTGGAGAAGTTTATTGCTGTCATCTTCAGATGAAAGTGAAAGGAAACTGGGAAACCTTTTAACACTTGAACACGCCAGTTTTTTAAGATTGTCTTTACGAAGCTGAAAAACGGACACTAAAAGTAACGACCCAAGGTTTAGCCGTAGAGTCTTCGTTAGTAATAATCAATTTTCGTAAATTTCACGTGGGACCCTCGTGTCACTGCCTGTAATGTCGTCTGATTGGTTCTTTGTTTTTTTTCAGTGGCTGTTTTCCCTGGACGCTGTGTTGCTCGGCCTCTTTTGTTGATGCACTTTAATTCTGTTTCTCTAGACGAAGTCTCTTCTCGTCTCTCGCATTCCCTTCATACTTTGCATTTGCAATTTTACTTTTGTTTTCCCTTCTACTCTTTCCCCGCTCTCCACTCTCCTCTTTTCTCTGGTCATCTTTTCCGCTTCGGTTTTTGTTCCCTTTACAGTTTTTTTAAAATTCTTTTTCTTTTTGTATTTTCCCTAATCTTCCCTGAGGATTTCTGTGTTGGAACTGTCTAGGATTGTTTAGACTGTGTTGAAAATGTTGTGAATTGGATTGAGAGAGGGGGGAAAAAAGTTCATGCTCCATATTAAACTACAAATAGTTCATATTTGTAGATCCAATGCCATATATTTTGCCATACATTGTAATTTGTGTTGTAGTTTCTGATCCTAAAGCAGCGGAGCCCATAATCCCACTGGGATTATATGTTTTAATCCTAAATTTCTGTCATCTGGCTAAGAAAGGAGAACATACAAAGCTGACACACAGCCTGCTTATGGATAGATTTGAATACATTTCAGCAGTTGTGCTAGTGTTGCATTAGCATTTAATCACGGTTATAGAAGAGGAAATCAACGGCAAAGAAAAGAAAGTAAAAGAAGGAAAATAAAATTTCAGATCCTTCCAGAGAGACAATGCGTTAGTAGCCACGTTAACCCCTCTGCTACCATGATAACGGTGTTGTGTGTTTCTACAGTTGTTAATTGTTTTACAGAGCGTCTGTTTGTGTGGTTGTCCTGTGCACGCAAACACAAAAATACTACATACACGTGTAAATACAAGGTGGCATGACGCCATGTTGTTTCTGTGTTTCAGTTGTTGCACGTGTTCTGTTTCAGGACAGAAATTTAAATAAACTTTTATCGCAAGTTTCTGTTTTCCAGCATTGTGTTTGTGTCATCTTTAAAACAAACAAACAAAAAAAACACTATGAATCCGTGGCTATTTTTTGTTCCCAGATATCCATTCATCCATCGTCAACCGCTTATCCTGCGTACAGAGGGGCTGGAGCCAGTCCCAGCTGACATGGGCCAAAGGCAGGGTACACCCAGGACAGGTCGCCAGTCCATCGCAGCGTTCCCAGATATGCAAATTAAATATAAGCTGAACAGTCTACATTTGCTTGTGTGTGTATTTTGCTGCTTTTGTAGGTGAAAACAAATGTTTGGAGTGGTGATGGAGCAGTGGATAAGACACATGCCTTTGGTGTGAGAGACCCGGGTTCAATCACCATTGTGTCCCTGAGCAAGACACTTAACCCCTTGTTGCTCCAGAGGCGTGCGACCTCTGACATGTATAGCAACTGTAAGTCGCTTTGGATCAAAGGGTCAGCTAAATGAATAAATGTGAACGTAAATGTAAATTTGTTTACAAAAAATCTGTTTTTCACCAAAGAATACCACATTGATGCTCGTGCATTTTGTTTTTTTGTTTTTTTTATAATTCAAGGAAGATTTCAAGAGGTTTCAGTCATAAAAATGTTATTACAATAAAAAAAACAAATCAAATCATTTGATATTGATAATTAGCACAATAAATGTCAATTTCCGATTTAAAGGCTAATTAAACTACTCTTTATGGCCAGAACACAAACACTTCATGCCAAACAATGGATCACTTTTCAAATTTCAACAAATATTTGAGTTAAAATCTTTTTTGAAAACTTTAAATTGGAGGAAGGAAAAACAAGAACTGATGTATATTGTGGGCAGCAATTTAGTTGTAAAACTGAACCATGACTTTGGTTTGACACTAACTTACTACCTTTTTCTACACCAACAAAGAGGCAGTATCTTATAATTATAACTTAGTATCTAAGTTATTACTAGAACAGTATCATATACAAGATGTTTAACTTGTGATTACAAGAAAAGGAACTTGTAATTATTGGATGTTTTTTCAATATTTTTATTCTGTAAGTTAGTTAATTTAATTCATTGAATTTAATTCACTTGGGTAAGTTTAGCAGAGACTTGAAATATGATGACTTTAGACTTAAATTGACAAAATTTAAAAAAAAAGACTTGCAACTCGACTTTGACTTTAACACCAATGACTCGTGACTTAGAAGAGAGCCTTTTGACTTGAGACTTGAGTTACTTGTGACATGTAAAACAATGACTTGGTGCCACCTCTGGTTGTTAGTTCTTTGTTCCATGGTGGTTTATTGTTGCTTATGCTAACCACCCATTTTCTCTTCTTTTAAATCCAAATCAAACATAAAACATTTCCTGTGAAGAAAATGTCACTAATGAGAAAATGAAGACACAAAAAGACAGAGATAAATTACAGTGAACTTTTTACTGAACAACAAACACATTCATCTACTGACACGGCTGAATAGGCGCTAACACTACACACTGTATGTAAACTACAGGTACATCCACGAATGTCTTAACGCTGACAAATCAGAGGGAAAAAATACTTTTACTTTACTTTCTTGCTAACGTTAGCATGTTTAACTGCAATGTTAATGGTCACATAATCAAAACATTTCTTCATTCATTCTCCTGAAAGCAAATGAAGTTACACACTCCTCTGATTATCTTTGACAATTGATTTTTTTATTTTCACTGTCCATCTACGTCTATGGCTTGTATCACAATTTGAGCGGCACTTTGGTTCACATCCACTGCCTCCCTGAACTCAAATAAGACAGAAGACTGCTAACAAGGTTGGGAATGTCACATGTAAATACTTTGTCTAATGCCATAAAACATCAACTGAACGGTTAGACTTTCAAAATAAAATGAGTGGTTAACTTTGTGACAAGTCACAGTTTGGTCAGCTTTAGGCAACAAAACTACTTGGCTAGGTTAAGTAAAACGTTGTGGTTTGAGTTAAAATAAGTATGTTACTTACACGTGAGTAAAATTACGTAAGATAAGTAATTTAACTTAACTAAAAACAATCCAATGTTGGCTTTTGTTTCACACAGGAAACAAACACTGGTCTCCTGGGTGAATGTCCAGTTTCTGACCCACCACAACCAACTCCTTACTCTGACTTTGCTTTCATTTATTCTAGACCTACGTTGAGTGTTGAACTATGATGCTGAAGAGTCCCATGTACGTTGGCACCAGACACCAAAGGACATAACAAAGCCAATTCAGTGGGTCCAGATTTTAAATCGAGGACATGTAGATGGGCCAGACATTTTTTAGCAGCCTATTTAAAACCTTTATTTTGCTTTTGGTAATAACACATTTTTACTTGCGGAGCCCCTGAAGTCTCATAAGATGAATTTTTTTAACTTGTGCACACAGGATAGAAAATATAATCTCAAAGCTCCGTACATTCGAGTATTACACCAATATGCCGGCTCGCTGTGCTGTGTGAAAGGTACGGAGCTGGAAATGGGATTAGATTTGATCCACCTCTGAGACAGGAATTTTGGTAGTAACAGAGTCTGTCTGTGTAAAAATGCACATCTGGCATGTGTTACAAGTCACCTTCTTTTTCTCGGTCTAAGCCGGATCACTATGTGAAAGCACACATGGTTGCATGATTATGCCGCTGTACTTTGTTCAGTACGAATGAACGAATGCGGCATATTGGCGGATATATTTTCCACGATTTATTATCTCTGTATGAAAGCGGCTAAACTTCAGATTCCATGTCCTGTGAATCTCCTGGGAAAATTTGTCCGAAAAGTTAGGTGTTCGCACTCATTGCGAATTGAACACAGTGGTTTGGTGTTTGGAGATGAAGAAAAGATAAACCAGTCCAGGCAGGGTTAAACTGACAGTTTTCACTGTCAATTTTGCGTTTTAGGGTTGACAGACATTTTTCAGTAGATCGCTTCCCTTCTTGTGACAGTCAAGAGCCAGATAAGCTAGTGTGGTCAGAATTTACAAAGATATGATTGAGGGTGACGCTACATTCATAAACTTCCTGCCCGATCGGTGCTGCACATGTGTAACTCACAGAGATGAGAAGGAAGGGAGATGGCCGACACACATAGTGTATGTAGTTTATTAGTTTAGTCATGTATCAGATTTATGTATGCTGGGAGAGAGGAAGTCATAGCAAATGTACTTTGGGATGTTTGTCTTGTTGTTTGACTGTTGTGATGATGTGAGCAGAACAGAAACCACACAACAGCAGTCACAAATGCTTCATGGCTACTGTTAGATTTACTTGAGAAACTTTCAAGTTTAGCAACACGAGACATCAGCAGCTTCTGATGAAGGCGCAAAATAAAAATGGAGGCCTTTACGGGTCTTCAGGTAAATGTGGAAGCAGTCGTCTCTAAACCTGGAGCTGCTTTTATTGCTGGTCTGAAAGAGAGAAAGTGTTTTAAAAAGTGAGACACTGCAGTATTTTGTTACAGCCTCTATTTACCAGCAGTGTGCTGTAAATGGCTGATTTTGGAGCAAAGAAAAATGTTTTTAGTCGGTCAGAAAGGTTAGATTTTGCCTAATAATATTTTTCCTCATTCTGCAAATGTATCACCTTTTTACTACTACTGATAATTTAATGTGTATAATGCAGTAGTACAGTGATGTGAGGACTGTACCAAACTAAAAAACAGGTGTTTAAATAACGTCTTACCTGCAGACCTCATCGTGTGAAAGAGTTGGCGCTGGAGAGAAAATGGAGAACATCTTTCAGGTGTATGTTTTTTGTAAAAGGACGAGGATATTGCTGAACAACCAGACAGAGTTGACTCTTTTTTTTGGGGTGCTTTTGTCAGTTATCTGAATTTTTTACCTCCTGGTTTCTCTTCTGGGTTCAGCAAACTTGTGCCTCAACAGGAAAGCAGCCACAGCTTCAGCAACCTACTCACACAAATGCAGAAAAAACATTGTGTTCATATTTAAAGGGTAACTTGTTTCATAGAAGGCTAACAAACAGTAACATCTGAGCGGTTGGAAGCAGGCCATTTTTGCTTAATATCCATCATCAAAATGGTTGCTGATTATAAAATGGTTATTTTTATAGTTCAGCTCACTTGGCTCTGAGTGAAGTTGTAACTAAAACACCTCACGAACCTCTCTGATAGGGTAACTTTGGTATTTTTCAACCCTATTTGTGACTAATTGGGAACGTTCTGCAATCGATCCAGTAAAGTGCTTGTTTTTGCTTGACAGGCTCAGACTGTTACAAGTGTCTGTCGACATTATGGAAAGGGTCCTTACAGAGAGAGACCTTAAAAAAAAAAGAAGAAGAACAGAAACAGTCATAATAGCACGCTTGTCAAAGCCACCAGACTCCACTGACAAAAATAGTCACTTTACCTGCTGGTGCCTCAATCAGTTAGTTTGTGTTATTGTGTGACTTTGATGTTTTTAACCCTTTAAAACACAAACTACGTAGCGGTAGACCAGCAGCTCCTGCGGTCTGCAAAGTTAAATTCTGGTGGCTTTGACGAGAACGATATAGCGACTGTTTCTGGTTAAACAAAAAGGATCTTACTCTCTCTTTCAGGGATCTTTTCCAAAATGTTGTCAGACATAACAGCCTGAGCCTGTCAGTGGCAAAAAAAACAAGCTCTTTAGTGGATGTACTTTGACGAAGCGCAATTGCATGCTAAGATTAGGCATGCGTTGCAGCCTGAGCTCATTCAGTATTGGATTCATTTTAAGAAATTGTCACACAGACACTAAAACATGGCAAAATAGGGTCCAGGCTTAAAAATCCAGAAGTTAACCTTTAAGTTGTCATTATGCCAAATGGCCCTTTGATTATAGTATTAGTGACAACAATACCATATTTGTCTCTGAGATGAAGTGAAGCAGAAGTATAAAGTAGCAGAAAATGGAAAAACACAAGTAAAGTTGAAGTGTCTCAAGATTGTTTTGTAAGTACAGAACTTGAGTAAATGTACTTGGTTTACATTCCACCACTGATGAAGACAGACATATACAGTTGTCTTACTTTGTCTGGTTTGTCTTCCTGCACCGCGTGGCCACAAGGGGGCAGCACCTGCATCATGAATTTACCTGGAGACAAACAGCGAGACAGGTGCACAATCTGACTCCCACACACATATGTATCTTTGATGCTATTTTATCACAGACAACACACTCCTGGGCTGTCACTGACAGCGTGGTTGTTGACTGACAGGACCAGCTGTCTCTGGAGAAGAACTGCCGCCTCAAGGTGTGTGTGTGTCCTTAGAGACGTCTCTGCAGCAGTGAAGACGTCCTTCACCTTTTCCCTCACAGTTAGTGTAGAAACACAACATGAAAAGAATGTCTACTATTCCCAATATCACAGGGAAGAGCTGACATTTGTGTAGCATTAGTGTTTCTAAGACTACTTTTCCCGTCAGCTCTGTTAACTTTATTCCTCCCTCCTGTTTGCTGAGGGCCGACATATTGGGGGTGATAGTTTTAGTTTTGATAGAAGAACAACACTCCCCGTCATCAGTGACAAAAACATTTTTTTCTACTGTTGATCAGAGGTGGAAGAAGAACTTTCACTAAAAAGTACTGGTACCACACTGTTATTATACTCCACTACAAGTCCCGCATTTCAAAACCTCCTTATATAAGTAAAATAAAAGAACAGGAAAATGTTCCCTGTCAGTGTTTCACTATTTCTGATGTTTCTGGATTAATATTCCTGCTGCATTAATGTGTATGTTGCATTTTACTGCTGTAGATGTTTTGCATCCTGTTGGGTAGTTTAATCTACAGCAATGCATCATGGTCTATAAGATCATCATGTGTTTGTGTTGAGGAGTGTCACTGTCCTGTGAGAACCAGGTATCTCTAACTAGTCAATTTTTCATGCGCTCAGAGAAACAGCCCTGTTTTCAGCTTTGTGACGATGCTGACGTAGTTTATTTAGCTGAAGAAGGAGACTTTCTCAGGAGCACATTCAAAATCACTACATCAGGAGATACATGGTTTTCACTGGACAGGAAGGGTAAAAGTTGTAAACTAAAGGTGTCAGATAACTGTAGTGGAGTAAAAACTACAATATTTGTCCCTGAGATGTGGTGGACTAGAAGTATAGAGTTGAATAACATGGGAATATTCAAGTAAAGTTTGTACCTTACTTGAGTAAATGTACTTAGTCACATTCCACCTGTGGCTGTTACTAATTATTATAACCAGCGGCTGCCAGGTGTAACTGTTAGCTAACTGAATTAACTGACAAACTGACTGACCTGAAGATTAAATGTGGGACAACATTTGATCTGAAACTTGATCAAAATGGTGTTTTATAATGATGGAAACTGGGAAGTACCTCTAATTTGTACTTAGGTACAGTACTTGAGCAAAAGTACTTAGTTACATTCTACCACAGCTGATGGTTTTTTGGGTTTGATTTGTATCGGGTCCACAATGGTAACTACTGCCTCCAGTAAATAGTCATATTCTCTGAGTCCGACATGACAAAGGCTCCTGCCTTTTCCAACTTTTTATATGTTACCAAATTCACTGTCAGCAAACAAAGTGCTACAAGATTTCTCTGATCGTGTACAAAGTGTGCTTTACTACTTTCGTGTCTTTAAATATGATTGGTTCTTCTGCCTTTGAAACCACAAGTCTCAGGAAGTTTTTGAACCTTTGCAGGAACTATAATGTTCCTTTGTGGTATTTCTTTATGCGTTTTCAAGACCTGCGCCGACTGGCTAAATCATGTACAGGAACAGTGAGGGCAGCATATAAATGACTGTTTGTAGAATGTCAACTTATTAAACCAAAACTGAAGGATTACCATGGCTACTACTGCATTTGTTTGGTCAGCGTCTCACCTTGCATCTGGCCGATAGTCAGATCTCTGTCCAGACGGTCTATTCCTGGAATGACAAAAATAATTTGGAAGTAAATCTAAAATATATCTCCAAGGTACTTTCATACCGTAAAAAGGACTTATAGAGGTTTACACACCAGCCAATAGCAGGAGTTTGGGCAGGTTGCAAGCAAGAAAGAGGTTGGAGGTTCCTCTAAACCAGCCGTCCCAATACTTTTCTGACTTTGACAGGTCTATACGCCACTTGTACACACTCTGGCGTGCATACACACAGAAACACACAGTGATTGGTTAATATTCATAATAATATGAGCAATAGCAGGAAGAAAACAAGACATTTGTGTGTGCATGCATTTGAAATCCAGGAAATGAAAGAACAGTTTATTGAACAAATCAAGTTATACCGCATGTCTCCCTGTGTTAGGGGTAAGTGGTGAGCATTGGTAAATAAATGTAAGTCAATAGAATCATATGTCACATTAAGAATGATCAAGGTCATATATTTATCATTTTACAACACAAGGTTGTACAATGAAATGTTAGTTTGTAGTCCCTCCATGCTACACACACAGAACTTAACAGCTATTTAAATGTATATTACAATCGGGTAAAACAAATAAAAAAATACAGGCCAATACAGTTATTTATATTCATATATATACAGACACGTCTACAACCAGGAAATGATTATTATTATTATTTTTATTTTATTTTATTCATGTTGATGTGTAAGTTTAAATTTATGAGGAAAGGAGTTTGTGGTTAGGTTTCAATGTTTAGGGATGAAAGTCACCAGAAGTGCTGTTATAAATGTTGAGCGGTTGAACTAAATGTAAATCAATGGTGGGTCTGCGCAAGTAAGGCAACGCATCTGTGATTTAGAAATAAGGTTTGACTTGGCAAATTAATGTAGGTCAATGATGTCATTTTGCAATTGCAAATGACATGTGGATGAGTATTTGTGTTTGTGTTTGCTATATTAATAGTGGGGGTTAATGTGAAAATTAGGAGTTCCACAATAAAACGGCCTACAGTGTCAAACCTTGAAAAATAAGGGCTTTGGTAATGAATGTTATACATCACTGAAAGCATACAACGCACATTATAAGACACAGATTACCATGAAGTGTTAATAAAGGTGAAAGTAGGATACTGGTTAATAATAAATGTTACTTTACCATCAGTGTTTCTGTGCGGTCGTTTTCATACCTGGCCTTCGCTGAGGCTCACCTCTGAGGTGGCATTTTCTTTGTCATTGACGTAGCTCTGATCGTAGAATTCTTCGTTACGCTCAACGACCACGTCAGTCACTGGGCTGGCCTGCTCCTGAGTGTCAGCGTCTTCAACCTCACATCTAACAGACAGGAAGTGAGACGAAAGAGGAAGTTATCATCAAGTCAGGATGAGTTTAGTTTAGCACAGTCTTGTGGATAGAGACCCTAATGTGTAAAATACACTATATTGCCAAAAGTTTAAGGACGCCCACTCTTACATGCACATGAATTTTAATGACAATGCCTGTTTCCACAAAGTAGGGAGCATGAAATTGCCTAAAATGTCTTGGTATGCTGAAGCATTAGCAGTTCCTTTCACTGGAACTAAGCGGCCAAGCCCAACACCTGACTCTGCAGAAAGTTGGCGACTTCTGCGCACTGTGCGCCTCAGCATGAGCTGACCCTGCTCTGTGATTTTATGTGGCCTACCGCTTCGTGGCGGAGTTTCTGTTGTTCCCAATAGCTTCCACTAACAGTTGACCATGGAATATTTAGTAGTGAGGAAATTTCACAAATGGACTTATTGCACAAGAGGCAACCTATCACGGTGCCAAGCTCATATTCACTGAGCTCCTGAGAGTGACCCATTCTTTCACAAATGTTTGTAGAAACAGTCTGCATGCCCACGCTTGATTTTATACACCTGTGGCCATGGAAGTGACTGGAACACGTGAATTCAATTATTAAGAGCAATATTTTTGATTTTGGCAATACAGTGTACCATAGTTTCAACATAGTTTACTTAGATAAATACAGGGAAAAAAACTATTATCTGTTGTCTTCTTCCAATTAAGCCAGTCAATTTTGAGGTTGTGTCTCTAACTGACCAATCAGAGCCAGCCTACCTTTTGATCTGACCAACCATTGAGACTCTGGCAGATTCCAGGTTCCGGATTTGCCCGCTCTTGACGCTAAAAGGAGAACACGGCGGAAAAAAGTCAAATTAGTGCTCCAGTTTATTCACCATTGGGCCAGAGCTGACCTTTGTGAGTGCAGCCAATGGTTGTGCTGCGATTAAAGATGGAGGTCCAGTTAATAACGAGTGTTTCTGAATGTAGCTGTACAATAGGACATTATGATCTCAGCCTTGTTCAGGTTTGCGGGACACAAGTTTGAGTTGAGCCTGAGTTGTAGAATATCATTGAACACTTGGCAGGCTCTGACGTACCACAAGACTTCTTAAACCCATTTTACACTGAGTCACATGAAGCATTTGAGAGAGATTGTGGTGTATAACATACGTGTATCCGGCCATTACAGTTTAACATAATGCTCTGCAGCTGGTGAGAGGGACCGTGAACCCTTATGGGGAAGTAATGATTGATGGGTGCAGTGTTAGGGGAAGTAGAGATTAGGTATAAAGAGATTAGTGTGTATGAAGGGACTGTACCCTTCTGTGGTGTCTAATAGATGGTTACATTTATTCTACAGCACCGTGCCCTTATATGGTTTTTAGCAGAGACCTAAACATGTCCTATATAAGCTGTGTTTGATGTACAGAGAGACAGAGTGGTCATCGGGCTGGGTCACTCTCCAAGCTGCTGCAGAGCTTGTAATTGATGCTGAATTCTTTGATGTAATAAACTTTTATAACCAAGAACAGTGTCAAGCGGATTTCTTCTCAACACATCATCGCAGCATTATCGTTCGGACACCACAAGATTCAAATGTGATTGCTCAAACCACTGCACTTGGTGAATGAGTTGTGCGGGTGAGAAGGTGAAGGAGTGAGTGACAGCTTGTGAAACGATACAACTTTTGTCTAGCTCTTAGTTCATAACTGCGACTCTGTTTGTGTTAGTTTACAGATAGCAGTTAGCCAGCTAGCTGTTATTGTGTTAAAGCTGGGGTAGGCAACATTAGAAGAACTATCAAGAGAGAGCTGGATTTTGAAAGTATCCAACTGAAAAAATCCCAGCTCTCAAAAAATGCTTCTGAAATAAATTGCCTACCCAGTTTTTAACTGCTAAATTGCATACCATATTCTTCTGGTGGTGCTGCCAGTTAACAAAACAGTCCTAGGTGCATTACCACAACACTCTGGACTGATTGAGAGGGTATAATGTTTTATCTGTATTTTATTTCAAGTGTAAATTGGGCTTTAAATGCTCACCTCCACTCTATTGCGTGGTCCATGGACTTGAAGGACTTGGGTCTACCCTTCAGGAAGTTCTGTATGCTATGGAGTGCCTCCATTGCACTACCTACAGGAGGATAAGACTATTTGTGCATAACATATGACATAAAAATATCCCAAATAAAAAATCAAGGAAAAATAGTGTAAAACTGTGATTTTGTATCTTTGATTATTGCACCTTCCACAACGTCTATAGCCACCAGGCCCACAGTGGTTGGTACCAGCATGTTGCTGGCTGTATGCACTGCGATTGCTCCGCCAACGCCATGGCCAATCAGGACAATGGGGGGAGGAGTCTCACCGTAGCAGACTCCAATCACATTGGCTACGTCGCTGAAGGGGTGGAGCAAACAGTGATAGTAGCAGATAGTAACAGTGCTGGTCAATGGAGTGGCAATAGTAGAAGGCATAGCATTATTATTGCATTACCTGGACATAGTTTGAGTTGAGAAGTCGTCTGATTGGCGAACCAGGGTGGCACCTTGACAAAGAACAAATTGTCTCTCAACTCAAAGTGCCTTACAGTAATAATTAAGAAAACAGCAGAGTTATTAATAGAAGCTGAAAATATAAAAGCACTAAAACTTGAGACTGAACCACTGAAACCAGACTAATAATGCAAATTCTTTATTAACTCTCCTCACCTATTCAATGGCAGAGAAACTTGGATTCAACACTGATATTAACAACTCGTCGTCACATATGGACATAGACCTGTTGGCGTTATTTGCATCGCACTGGTAGAAGCTCTGTGGCTACATTACTACATATATATGATACAGCATATACGTTACTGCATATATACAATACAGCATATACGTTACTACATATATGTTCATTTATATACGTTACAGCATATACTTTACTATACGTTACTACATATACGTTACTACATATTGTATACCTATATATATGTGTGTGTGTGTGTGTATGTATATATATGTATATGTGTGTGTGTGTGTGTGTGTGTACCACAGTCGCTCTCGCGCATCAGTGGTATCAGTGGTGTTGGGAAGTAATACTGTAATATTACTTTTCCCAGTAAAGACTAATGTAACGGATTACTATTTCCTAAACAGTTAGTAATCGAAGTAACGCTGCGCTACTGAACGCACCATCCCTGATGTAAATGTGCGACCGCGCTGCAGGTCAGCGGACCTTATGTTGTTCAAGTCAGCTGTTAGCCAAAAAGCAAAAGGAAGACAGGAGAACAGGGAGACAGGTATTTTTGAAGTAATGTTATTGCCATTACTGTGTCACCGTCTAAGATGCAAAGAACATTGTCGTCCGTTGTAAACTTTGTGCGACCAGCAAAAAGCTTTCAACGCAAACAATTCTACATCTTTACTTAATTAAAACATCAGCTGAAGCAGCAACGTGAAACTCCGGCCGCTGCTGCCACTGATGCTTGGACTCGGCGGGAGAGAGTTGCGTTACCTCACCAAGTAAAATGTAGAGTAGCTAATATTACTTTTTTAAGGAGTATATGCTAAGTAACTAGTAAGTACCTGTATTATTTCTGAGAAACTTGCTCAACACTGAGTTGACAATAAGGATCGGATAAATTGGGTATGTTTTGATTATTGCTTGTTATAGGCTATCTAATGTTTATTTTGACTTTGTTGTTGATTGATCACTCATATAGCCTGTATACACTTTGCTGTATGAATGGTTGCTTTTTAAGTCTTTATGTCCTTATGTTAAAGGTTTTGGCACGTTATAAATTAATTTCTTGTGAATGGTTGTGACGGGGTTTACAAGGCCTTTTCATAAGGCTTTGATCCGCGGGGTCGCTTTGCACTCCTCACCAACAGGCAGGCAAACAAGCACTCCACGAGGTAACCTTGGCAACGGCCTCTGTGTAGCTGGAGCGATCCCGTGAAACTGTCGCGGTCGTTCTCGTCTCACGCCCACTGCCAGAGTTGAAATGTCAAACTTTTTCCTACAGTTTATCAACAGACAGACTGATCTGCTGTTTGATCCGAGTTTCCTGAATAATATAACTGTATCTTTAGGCCACCAGGTCTTAAAAAGGAGACAACCTTTGCTGCTGTCTCTTATTCATTAAAAATAATCCATTAACTTCTACTGAACTAATTTGAAAATTAGTAGTTATATTATTTATTTATAGACTCAGTTATTTCATGTTGCATGTTGCACATTTAGCTGTTGTATTATAGAGAGGTTGCGATGGAGCAGTGGATTAGACACTTAGCTAGAGCCGCCGCTGGCTTGATCACAGTATATTTTCCTGCTTTTTTGCCCTTTGCCAATCACATGCCTGGTTACTACATATACGTTACAGCATATATACAATACAGCACATACGTTACTATACGTTACTGCATATATGTTACTACATATACGTTACAGCATATATGTTACTACATATACGTTAATTTTGTATACGTTACTAAATATACGTTACAGCATATATGTTACTACATATACGTTACTACTTATACGTTACTATACGTTACTGCATATACGTTACTACATATACGTTACTACATATACATTACAGCATATACGTTACTAAATATACGATACTATACGTTACTGCATATATGTTACTACATATACGTTACAGCATATATGTTACTACATATACGTTACTACATATACGTTACAGCATATATGTTACTACATATACGTTACAGCATATATGTTACTACATATATGTTACTACATATACGTTACAGCATATACGTTACTACATATACGTTAATTTATATACGTTACTAAATATATGTTACAGCATATATGTTACTACATATACGTTACTACTTATACGTTACTATACGTTACTGCATATACGTTACTACATATACGTTAGTACATATACATTACAGCATGTACGTTACTAAATATACGATACTATACGTTACTGCATATACGTTACTTCATATGCATTACAGCATATACATTACTAAATATACGATACTATACGTTACTACATATACGTTACTACATATACATTACAGCATATACGTTACTAAATATACAATACTATACGTTACTGCATATACGTTACTTCATATGCATTACAGCATATACGTTACTACATATACATTACAGCATATACGTTACTACATATACGTTACTACATATACCTTACTATACGTTACTGCGTATACGTTACTACATATACATTAATTTATATATATTACAGCATATCCGTTACTACATATACATTAATTTATATATGTTACAGCATATACGTTACTACATATATGTCATAGCATATACCTTACTATACGTTACTGCATATACGTTACTACATATACATTACAGCATATACGTTACTGCCTATACGTTACTACATATACGTTACTACATATACATTAATTTATATATATTACAGCATAACCGTTACTGCATATCCGTTACTGCATATCTGTTACTACATATACATTAATTTATATATGTTACAGCATATACGTTACTACATATATGTCACAGCATATATACGATACAGCATATACGTTAATTCACATACGTTGCAGCATATACATTAATGCACATACGTTCATGCATATGTATTTCCCCCTAAGTTGTCTTGGAAGATGAAGTTTACTCAAGTCATAACCAAAACCTTTTTTATAAACATTATATTGCCTCACCATGACCCCTGAGGTCCATGGCAAGTACTCTGCAGGTCACTCTGCTGGTGATGGCTGTCTACAACACAGAACAAAACACAGAGAGACTGCTGATATTCAGGATGTAGCCAACATCGATCAATAGACCAATCAGTCCATTAAGTCCATTCAACCATCTGACTTTGCAGACAAATACTCACAGTGAAGACGGCCCAGGACAGGGCAGAGTGTCCTCCTCCATGCAGCAGAACCAGCAGTGGTCCATCACTTCCTGCTTTATAAATCCTGAAGATGTCCCTACTGTCGGCCAGCCCCACGCTCACATCCTCCATCTGATCGTAATACTCCCGCCAGGATACCGGCGAGTAGTCTAGCTTACCGCCAACCTCACTGGTCGACATATACACACACAGAAACACACACACACACTGTATACTACCTATACAAACTTGCTTCTTTCTGCAAACATTTCTCGATGGTGGAGCTACTGAAGACGTTTATTGGAGCACCAGTTAGTTAACTGGAAAAAGAGGAACTCAGGTATAAAGTATTATTAAATCCATGATAGTGACATCTTTTACCACTTATACCATTAGATTTATTATGTTGGAAGGTCAGCTTGCTCGCTAACCATGCTAGCTGAATGCCTGTATGGCTAGTATAAATGTGAAGTGTCAGCTAGGCTAATTAGCTAACTCATAACTATGAGTAGTTACTACATTTTCCCCCCTCTTAGTAGCAGAGCATGATGCTCTATAATTTTAGCTTGTTTCTAATTCTCTTTCCTAAACATCAGTCTACAGTTGCTTAGCTAGCAGAAGAGCACCACCATGATTCCCAACTGTCTCCATATAAACCAGAAACTAGCAGCTAAAAATGAACATAATGACATGTTATTTGCTAATTAATTGGAAGAAAGCAAACAATTTTAATTTGGATTTTTTCCCCAATACAAAACCAGAAGCAAATATATTAGCTAAAGTTCCTGTCCTAGTCCTAGCCACCCTAGCTTCCGTGCCTTCCTAGATTGGGGGTCATCCCTATGTTCCCAGGGTCCAATGAGCATGTGTGTTTCTTGATTGTAAGATATTGGTAAGGGCTATCTTCACAGTTCTTTCAATTGCAAACGAATGAAGGGAGATAGATCTTTTTTAAATGCACTTTCAATGGTATTTTAGCCACTGCGGAGATGTCATTGTCTAAAGTCAAGAAAACTATCTGTCCCACAACTTTGAGCGCAGGTTTCAAGGAGTATAACATCAATACTACAAGATGTAGATGGGTTATTTCAACATATTGATCCAGGAAAACATACATTGAACATTTGACCTAATGAAAAACATTGCTGAGAATATAAAACCCTTTGAATGGTCTCATTAAAGCGTCATATTTAGAGGCCATAGAGCTGGGGAACATAGGACCCTGGGAGCACTGTATGTTTGACAAGCAAAGTAGCACAACCTACTTCCAGCAATGGAGATGTGTCTTCAAATGGTTTGTGAATCAAACTGTCGAGCTAACTGCATTTTGAAGAAGTAACTTGAATTCGTTGTTTGCTTCCTTTGAGAAATAAACTAGCCAGGGCTAGAGGCAACATCTGGACACAGTGTTGACAACTTGTCCTTCAAAAAACAAGAAGGAAGATTAAAAGTCAACGTTCACCTTTTATTTAAGCTTTTTCTAAGTATAAATTGAGTCTCAGAGAAATCTTTGTGCAGTTACTCAGTTAAAGCCTCAACATTTTTAATTAAGTTCCATTTAAATGTTTTATTTGAGTTTCTGTTGTCACTAATCTGCCTGAACATGAGATATAAAAGTTTTCCAGTGTTTTGGAAAGGTGACTTACTGCTCTGTGTCTAAGTTCTCCTCCCACATGTTGCGTTTCAGCAGGAAGACGTCCAAATGACAGATGGTTATCTTCAATCTGGTGTATTTATGTTTGTGTGTCAGGTAATTAAGCTGATTTTCCGTAATAAGCACTATACAGAAAGAGCTGCTCCTCTTCCTGGATGCCGTATAGCACTTCCATCGACCAAATTACAAAGCTGACTGCTGGTAGAAACAACAGTAGGACAGTATAGGACAATAACTAGTCAGCTGCTGTTGTCAGGTAGCATCACTCTCGCAGTGTCCTATTGGCTGAGACAGCTGAAGTGGTCGTGGCAGGTAAGAAGATAGACAGCTGAGAATCCAAACTTCAGAGACTTCAGTTACGTCACTAATCTGCAGTCAGTAGTGAACTTAGGAGAAGTTTCTGGTAGTTGATGGTGCATCATATCTCTACCAGCCAAGTGAGACACAGAAAAACCTCACTTTCATTGAGATCTAATGCTCATTCTCTCATGCTTTTTACATTTGTAAGCCACAAACACAGGTGTAACTTTTTACGGTCAGTAATGGTTACATTCCATTCAGTGGAACCAAAGCCAGTATGCCTGTACACTGGCTCACATACAGTACATGGCTTTATATCTACATAAATCAAAAGGTTCCATCATAAACATTATAATTTACACCTTTTTTGTGCTACTGTTTTTCTATACAAGACGAGCTATAAACCAAAAGCTAGCACAAAAGACAAGCTCGACCATCATGAAATACACAAGTGTCTGCTGTTAATCACCTGATTGCTTGTTTGGAATATAAACATCGGAGTGTTAAAAGAAACAGAAATCTCTTAACACCATCAAAACCTGTCTTTAAAGTATTCCAGTGAAAGAAAGATAATTGCGGTCCAAAATTAAGAGGAAAACTGTGCTCTGGGTTTTCAGTGGCACTTGTTAGTTGGCTAAAGCCCTGGATATACTTGATTTTAACTACGCGTTCGTGTATGCAAGATGGCTGCCACGTATATACTGCATTGGAGCGTAGGTTGTGCATGTTCCCAGGAATTAACACTTTGCTTCCGAAAGATGCAATTCAGCACATGAACGTGGGGGTAGTATGTCGATCTGACGGGCAGGTCAGCAGCATCTATTGTTCCACATACCAGGCCAGGTGGTGGAGGTATGCAGTTGGTTTGCCAACTGCCATTAAATGCAAAAGAAGAAGTTCTGCAGCAGATTTTAGAAAAGGGGATTTATGGCGGGATGTTTACAGTAAAACTCCTGGAGCTAGTCCGCAATTACTGAGATCGTTATGATGTCTCATTAAAATCACAACCAGCTCGAGGTTCACTATGTTTGGTTTGTTTACAATGTGCAAATTTGGAAGTTGTCAAGGAAGATAATCCGGTGTTGGCGAGGGATGATCCGGTCCTGGTTTGCCCCTTAGTGGATTCAGGTTTAATCCACCAGGTACACTCAAAGTATGCAGGCAAGTATGTGAACAAAGTTGTTTGCGTCACAACGCCTGTCTGTGCCTATGCATTGTTAAAAAACAAGTATATCCAGGGCTTAACATTCAAGCAGTCCTCCAACTGTTTCCAACAAAAGTACCCGAGAATTTTAGTCCCAGGATCTACTTTTCAAGAAACTAGAAGGTTCCTTCAGCCCACTGTTGTGGGCATCAAAAGACCTGCGAAGATGACAAATAAAAAATGACAATAAAATAGTGTTTTATTTTCCATAATGTGTTTTTACAAGCAGCGCATCACATCCACACACTGGCGCACAGCATTTGGCAATAACAATAGGCTATATGAAACTATGCACTCCTATTTGCTTGACTGACACATTGAAAAGGGCATCAATGTTTTATGACTGACTGTCTAGTTAAAATCTATGTTCATTGTAGGTCTGAACAAAAGCCCCACACACACCTTTCTTCATTTATTGGAAAGATTTTTCTTTCTTTTAATTCTCCCATCAACTTTTATTATGGAGACAATTAAAGTCAGAGATTCGGAGACTCTGTCAGCAAGAAACACGTTTTACATAATTTATTGTCATTTCTATTCAGTCAGGCAGATCATTCCTGTGTTTAGTCCAAATAGATGACAATAAAAGGAGCTGGACAAGTTACTAAACTGCACTAAAGTCTCTAATGAAGCAAGCAAAGGAAAATCAAGCCTGCACATCCAGCCATCTCACCTACTGCATGTATGTATGTATGTATCTGATGTCAAATAAAATGTATGCAGTAGTGTTAAAGGATATGAGAAGAGGAACTAAACGGAAAGCCTATAACTGAGCGTCGACTTTGATTTGAGTTACATTTCAATTTCCCTTAAACATTTAGCCTAATAAATCCCAAGAAGTTCTGGGTTATCCAATAACAAATTCACGATCAGAATCAGTAAATATAAATGTAGATAATGTAGCCTAAGCATTGTGCCAGTAGAAATGATCCGGTGGCTCTAAGCATGACATACAGTAATCTATATTTAGGCTATTCATGTGTTTGTTAAAGAGGTGGTATTATGCTTTTTGGCTTTTTCCCTCTCCTTTATTTAGTTATATATCTTTTTTGTGCATGTAACAGGTTTGCAAAGTGAAAAAGCCCAAAGTCCAGCCCAAAGGGAGTTCCCGTCTCCCACAGAAAGCTCTGCTCTGAACCGCTTGAAAACAGCTCGTTTGTAGTCCAGCCCCTCACTTCCTTTACTTGTGACGTCACAATGAAAACGTGTCATGAAGCTTGCCAAGCAGCTAGCAGGAGTCAGGCACGCCCTCAAACCAAGCTAGTATGAACGGAGGCCCTTTGGCTCGACTCGCCTTTGTTTGGGTTTCCATTGTAGAAATGTTGTACCTGTATCCTGAACCTGAAGCGGCTTTGATTTGGATCACACTACCTTGTTTCTTACGGCCCGCCCTTCTCTGCTTCTGATTGGCTAGTAGTCCTTACCTGGGAACTGCGCATGTGCAACTCCCAACATAGATTTTGTACAAGTAAGATGCATCACTCTGTAGCGGAGCGAACAACACACAGCGTGAAAAGAGGAGCTGCAGCAATGTGCAGTATGAGAAAAATATGGTGTTTTTTGAAAATTAAACCATGTAAACCTGTTCTGGTACAACCCCTAATTAAGATTTTGAACCTGAAAATGAGCATAACACCACCACTTTAAATAGGTAGGCTAACAGCTACAGAGAGAATCATGCTGCTCTGCAGTAAGAACTGTGAGACTTTATAACTACAGTGCACCAGCTGTTTCAAACCCAGCCTCCAGTATTTAGAACACGCCCACTTATTTGCATACACGCCCCAAATCTAAATCCTAAATGCCCAATCCTAAATAACAAATGCTCAATCCTAAATACCAAATGCCAAATCCTAAATACCAAATGCCCAGTCTTAAATGGCCAAATGCATTTTTGAGTTAGACTTTTAGATTTAATTCTGATCCAATAATCTCTCCATAGAAGGGATGAGCAGTAGAAGCAAAACACCCAACATGCTCAAGTTAAAACGAGTAGCCTCTACTCAAACATTCAACGTACTTTCCCAAAAATACCAGCACTTTGGGAAAGTACTACCCCCCGAGTACAGATTTTTTTGGGGGTCAAATAAAGACCTCGGAACTCAATTTTGACCTTCCCTGCAATGGAAATGCAGTGTTCCTCCAAAGGTTCCTAGTTTCGTAGTTGTTCCGGCGGTGGAAATGTAAATAAGGGTCGTATAGGGTCGTTTTTCTGGGGAGGACAAGCTACTAACATTTGTCCAATGTTGGACATTTTGACTCGTCATATTAGGAAAAGCAGGAGTAAATAATAACATTTGTGATGAACATACATTGATAATTGCTGCATTTCATTTAGGAGTGCCAGCCATCTTTAAAGTTACTAGTTACATCTGTGCTTTTCCAGCTACGACATGTCAAAATTTCCCCTATGAGAAAGGTTTACTGTTATCATCCAGTTTGATGAGTTGTTGAGTTTCTGAATGAGGTTTTGAATGGAATCTAAAAACAGTCATCTGACATGTCAAAGCAGGAAAAGCACAGTAACTAATAACTAACTAAAGGATTAAATAAAATTTTAACACCCATTTATCATGGCGCTGACCTGCTTGGATGTTCAGTAAACCATGTCATTGTTTTATAACACCCAAAACATCTAATCAAACGACCATCAATTTATCAAAAAAAAATGTTTTTGTTCTGATTCTTCTTTCTTTCTTTCTTTCTTTCTTCTTTTTCTCCGCTAAAAGTGTTTGGGCAGCAAAAACTGCTGGAAAGAAACTCACCAAGATTGGCATGTAGGTTGCAAATTCCACTCACTACTCAGGTAAGAAAAAGTGGCCCTCATAGACCTCATGGTGTCTCACATAAATGCCCGTAAATCAAAATTGGCTTAAGCTATTGTAACCAAACTTGACGCATCTGTTCAGATGCTCGGCTCAAGCTTTGATGAGCAGTCCTGGGATATTATGTTACACTTGCAAAAAGTTTATACCTCGTAATTCGCTGGATGGATTTGTACGGAATTCGGTTTGTACGACCTCGGGTCACTACTCAGTAGATGTATAAAATGCACAAAGTGGGTGTGGCTTATTACAAGAAATGTAAATTTCTAGACATTTCTCATTCCTAACTTCAAAAAATCTAAGAAAATCATCCGTACGTCTTAGAGAGCTGATATGTGACTAACGTTTACCTCACTGCAACCTGTGGTCAATTTAGAAGTCAGTCACACTGTATTTTTCAGAATATGCTAAGTCAATTAACATCTCTCCACAAGTCTTTCTTCAAATACTACCAAACTCCATAGAGTCGTTCTCCAGATGGCTGATATCAAGTGTTTCAAAGTGTTTTCAGATCGGTCAAACGGTGAGTCTGCAGTGATATTCAGTATCTTGCTGTAACTTGTACAGTATGAACAACATTTTCTTTTTAACTCAGTTTTGGATCAAATGCCACCAAAATAATTCACAACAAACCCAGAAAGATGCGTGATTTTTATCAGAATTTTCTCACCAACATTATGACAGTTATAAGCTTTTCAAGTTTAAACTGATGTCACTACCTTGACTTGGGAGAAGGTTTGTGAAAATAGCCTCTCACCAGTAGCTTAGTCAGTAAGTCACCTACACTGGCGATCTGAAGTGCCAGGGTTCAAATCCCCAGGTGACTGAGCCAGACTTGCTGACAATAAGGGGTGTTCAGATCATAGTTGGTTTAAGTTCTCTATATTATTTGGATCCCTTGACAATTTCTTCTGATTTTTCTCTGCCTAAAAGTGTTTGTGCAGCTTAAACTTTAAATCTTTGAAACACAAAATGTCGCAGGTGGGTCGAACATTTCACCAGTAGTCAGGTACATATAGTGACACTCAAGGTGATGCCGTAAAAATCAAGTTTGCATTTCTTTCATCACTTTAATCTCTTAAATTGTCTGCGTCTGTTCTTCTCCTCTGAAAATTTCAAATGTTGTTTTTTTCGCAACTTGCTTGGATCCCGATCATTGCCGCTCACGGCTGTATTATAATTTCGAATGCTCTTTAAGATAAAAGATTTCACTGTTTTCTTGTCCCACTCGCCTGAGAAATGTGGTCCTTAAAGGTTCCTCATTGTAGTTTATTCAGCAGACCTATTAGTGGATACAAAAGCTCAAAATGTCAGATAATTTATGTGTTGTAGATGCAAAATGGTTCTCTCTCTTTGACAAACAAACAGCCCTCAGGTGGCAGTGACAGACAGCAACAGTTTCCAGGTAACCAGCAGTGAGCTTTTGTGAAAAGTTCAGCCATAATACAAGTGTGTGTATTACAGTTAGCATCCCATTTGATTAGAAATGGCAGTATTAGTAATACTGTTGATATCATATTGTGTGTCTAAACTGTTAAACTCAAAAGAATTATAATACAGTTTCATAGCTGCTTCATTACAATTTTTTTTGTTTGTTTTAGGACAATGAAAAACAATAAAGAGGTTTATGATTTAAAAAAGTAAACATCAACTCAATACAAACTATTAGTATGTGTTAGAAATCAGTAACTACCTGCTGGTTCTTAATTTATAACCATATCATATTTTGTTTTAGGTAAAATCTCCATTTGAAAAATAAGCGGTAAAATGAAAGTAGCAGGGTAAAAATCCCAAAATTATTTTAGTGAAGTAGGAGTATAAAGTAGCAGTACATGCACAAGTACCTCAATATTGTACTTAAGTACAGTACACCCCAGTTTGTAATGCAGGATTTGAAAATTTGTAATCTCAAAGCCCAGATACCTGGGTGATGTCTTGTCTTGAAAGCTCCTCCAAAGCCGCAGAAAACAGTATTATAGTATATATAGTATATAGTTTGTACAGGCTGTGTTTTACTCCAAATGACTAAACTATGACTATGACTATGAATAAATTACCTTTACAGGTAGAACGTTCCCCAATAAATTCCCTTTTAAATTTAAATCTGCTCTTAAGGACATTCTTATTTTGTAATTTTCGGATTTCAAAATCAACTAATGATTAATTTCCCCTCATTTCTGGTTGTAAAAGAAAATCTCAGTGAATAGAGCTTAGGTGTCCATTGAGGAGGGGTGTGTGCTCAGTGGCACTTTCATCTGAACTCAGAGCTCGCTGTAAGCTCTGCCAGAAGACTCCAGTGTGTTGAACGGCTTGCGGCCAGCTCAGGTAAGTGCGTTTCTTCACCAGACTCCTCATTTGGTAGTACGCAGACAGCTGCTGGGGGGGGATGTGCTCCAAAAACAGCAGGATCAACACATCCTTCTGCTCGTCAAACAGACGGTAGCTGTAGAAACCACACACAGGACAGGAGCTTGAATCAGTTGGGGAACAGGTGAGGTAAGACCAGTAAGTGTACGGAAAGAGAGGCAGCGCCCTCACCTGGCCATCTGGATCTCTCTGGAGCACCACTCACTCTGCAGGTAGTGCCGGCTGATCACACAGATGGTCTTCCTGCTGCCATAGATTGCGTCTGTAATGTTTTCTACGATGGGCTTACCTATGAAAACATCAGCCATGCAGACAAGGCACTTCATTCAAACTGACCATCATGTTGTTTAAGAAATCCCATTTTTCCCACAAAAAGTAATGTTGTTTTTCTACTAATTTGAATACTGAGTGCTCTCTGCGTGCACACAAATGTACAAACAGAGGTGATCACAAAACGGCATATCACTGAAAACACTAGTGAAAAATGTATTGAGGCTTTCTCCTCGACACCTGCCCTCTCACGAGTCTCAGTGAATGAACTTAAATTACATTAAAGCCACTGCACCGTAACATCCGGTTTTCATTTTCTTTGTTTTTAGATTTTCAGAGCCCTGATTGTACACTGCACCATAACTTTTACCCTGTTTGTTATCCTGTTTTTATAATGTGTTTTATTTTTTCAATTTCCCTTTGTTGCTTTTATGTTTTGTGTAAAGCACTTTGAATTGCCTTGTTGTTGAAATGTGCCATACAAATAAACTTGCCTTGCCTTGAATGGGCCGGATGGATGAAACACAGAGGTTGTTTATGTTATTCTTGTTTTTTATTTAAAATGCTTGACAGTGTCCTTTTTAATATGTAATTGCAAACATATTATGTTCTTTTTCTTTTAGAATATCAAAGAGTTAATGCGCATTTCAGATTAGATCTTGGCTGACTTTTTTATGGTCATCTGCAGCCTGTTTTCCTGGTCCACTGTGAAGACCTTATTATTTAGCTGTGAGTATCCTGTAGGTTTAGCCTGCAGCCTGGTGGACTCTGCCCCCCTCCTGCAGTATCTAAATAGGGTAGAATGGCGTCTGAATGTGTCTCAACGATTCAAAGAAGTGTTTTTAATCACGGAAAGTAAATTCACTGAGTTTTCCGTATAACTCCGTGAATGTGTGATGTATCCACATGATTTTTTGTGGTTCTGGTAAGTACTATGGACTGTATGTGCTGAGGTACTTTGGCACATCAGACTTGTATAAGCTCGGAGAAATCGCTGTGTTTCATTTGTTTCACATTTCAGTCGTTCACTCACAGATTGCATTTCCTGCTCACACCAGTATCTGAAAGAACAACACACACTGTTGCATTTGCATGTCTTAAAGGAAGTCCTGTTTTTGATCTGAAGGCTCGATAAGACCACAAGCTGCCAAAAAAGTGAAGTGAACAGGTGCTGTCTATCGATAAGATTGACCCAAATGAGGATGTGAAATCCATTCCATGAAAGCAAGTTTTTTAAAAATAGACCCCACCTCAGTCAGACTTTTCAAACTCTGACAGGAAGAAGACTTGATTACAGACGACAGTGAAAGAGGAAGCAGAGAGAATCATAAGAGCCTATGTAGTTAGAATTTTTGTTGATGTTTGATGCCAGATTGATAGAAAGAGTTTGAGGACAAACAGAGCGTCTGTACCTGGTTCGAAGTCTCTGTGGTGCAGACACAGCCTCCAGCCTTGCTCTCCTTCCAGCACTGGAAGCATCTCTCTGTAGACCCAGGCCTCATCGTGAACGTTGTAGGACACAAAAGCATCATAGTGGTGACGAGTGCCCTTCTTTCCCCTCTTCTTATCATAGAGGAAGGCCAGGAAGAGGTAGTAGGCGTAGACTAGGTGCCACCTCATGAAGTGGTAGATGAATGTTGTGAGGAGAGTGAGCACAGTGAGACTAGCGCTAGAAATGAAGCAGAGGAAGCCGGCGTCTATCCAACAGGATTCAATGTCAAAGTCCAGGAACATATTTCCCTGTTGGCTCACAGGAAAGGCACAAGTATACTGGTGGCCATTAACAACCTGTGTCTGGTTGGTGCTCTGCACCCATTGGTTAAAACCAGAATTAGAGCATTCGCATGTCAGAGGGTTATCAGTCAGGTCCAGATATGTCAAGGCCGGGAGGGACTGAAAGACTGTCTCATTGATGATGGACAATGCATTCTCACTGAGTTTCAGCCAGCTGAGAGCCCGCAGGTTGGCCCTGGCCAGGAAATCTAAAGACCTGAATTTATTGTTGGAGAGGTCGAGCGTCTGCAGGTTTGGGATTGGCCAGAACAGTTCAGGGGTTAAATCTGACAGATCACTGTGGATTATCTGAAGACCCTTCAGTTGGGGAGTGTATTTAAACGTGTCTGGGTGCAAAGACTTCATGAAAAATCTCTCAGTCATGAGGTACTCTAAAGATATCAGACCCTTGAGCAGATCTGATGAAATCTCAGTTATAAATGTGTCGTAAACTTTAAGCACAAGCTTCTTCAAATTGGTTAACTTTAAGAAAGGTGGCTCGTCATTTTGTTGAGAACTCTTCTGATTCCAGTTAAAAGTAAGATGTAGTGTCAGATTTGCTAATTGTGGTAATCCTCTGAAAACCTCCTTTAGGAAATTACTAAGAGAAAGACTAAGAGTTTGGAGATTATCGAGTCCTTCGAAAGCCCCGTCATTCACATTGTGATGTTGGTCTGACTCTAAATCCAAAACCCTGAGGGAAGACAGATTCCTAAAGTCTCCTTGCATGAGCTGTAAGGGGCCATTGTTGTGCAAATTCAAAGATTCTAGTTTCCACAAGTTAACGCTGAAGGTCTTGTCAAAAGTGAAAAAAGCATTTTCTCCAATATCGAGGACTTCCAAGTTGATTAAGTTTTGAAAAACACAGCCTTGAAGTTTTGAAATACGATTGTGGTTGAGATTAAGGTTTGTTAATCTTGTCAAATTCAGGAAGTCGAGGCAGTCAAGCTCACTGATGAAGTTGGAGCTTAGATCCAAGATTTCCAGTGTGGAGAGTCCTCGGAGCGCGAGTGGCAGTTTAGACAAGTGGTTACCGTCCAGTGCCAGAAGCCTGAGCTGTGTCATTGATCTGAACGAATGCTCGGACAACTTGGACAGGTCATTATGGGACAAAGTGAGATTATTGAGCAGAGAACAAGACCTCAGCATGTCATCGTCCATGGTACCAATTTTGCAAACCTCTACATCTAGAGATCTGAGAGAAGGAATTCGGCAGGCGACGTCTATGAGACCTTCAACTATCGGCTTCTCCATCATCAACAGCGAAAGTTTTTGTAGTGAGTCAGCGGTCTGCAGTATCGCTCTGTACGTCTCAAAGCTAATATACATTCCACTAAAGAACAAACTAGTTAGGCTCCTCAGAAACATCTTGTTTGCTACATCCCACTCAATGTCACAGCTACACTTAGACAAGTCGAGAGAGACCAGATAAGGAAATATATCTGTAGTAATGCTGAACTTTCTCAGTGGGTTCATACTTAGCTGCAGTACCTCGAGGTTTGAGACGTTTAAAGGCAGGTCGTCTGATTGAAAAGAGTCAAACTTGTTATACGCAAGATACAAACCCTTTAAAGTTGATAGTTTTAAGATTGGAGCAATGTCTGTAATTTGTTGTAGCAGATTGGCACCCAGATATACTGTCTCTATGCTGACCAGGGACTCAAAGGATACAGGGGAGATAAATGAGATTTTGTTGTTGTACAGAGACAGGAAGACTAATTTGGACAGCCCCTGAAACATGTTGTCTGTCAGGTTTGTTAGTTCATTGTCATCCATAATAAGGAACCTTAATTCTACCAAGTCTGCAAAAGCTCCATCATCAATGTGTGAAATCAGATTATATTGAAGTAGTACATCAATGAGCTTTGATAAACATCTTAAATCTGTCCGGTTGATGTTTAAAATTTGATTTGAGCTGAGATCCAGTGATGTCGCATTTCTGGGAATGTCATCGGGAATAGCAGTGAGGTCTCGAGCTGTGCAAGTAACCCACAGACGTTTTGCATTTTCAGAATGGGCCAACGTACAGTTTTTAAGTGAAAAAGCCAGTAAGGGATTGTAATGAAGCAGGCAAGACAGAAGATAGACAAGGAACAGAGACCAACTTCCCATAGCTTGCATGTTGATCTCTGGGAGCAGCACTGTTTTGTTCACTTTCTCGAGAAGCTTGTTGGAGGTGGAGAATATTTTGGTTCAGCACTTCACATCTGAGGAGGATGAAAGAAGAAATAAAACATTACTGTACAGTGCATTTCTAATCATGCTAAAGGGAAACTCTGGGAAGAGAGGTGCTTCACATCAAACCTGCTTGGTTCAGTTAAAACGAACCCTGGTGCGGTACACTTAAAATGTGAAAGCAAACAAACCAACCACAGGATTTCGTGATAGCAGATATGTAATTTTAGGATTTCATAAGCTAAACTATTATAACGACATCTGTTCAGGAACTGATGTTATAATTGAAAAGTATAAGCAATGTATATCAGTATTATATATATATATATATATATATATAGCAGTATTTATGCATAACATTTGGTAACCATGTATGCATGTCATCTCAAGTATTTTCCCTGATTAATAAGGATACAATATTTTTTTGTATCCTGATTGAAGCATATCACAAGACATTGACATGGATTTTTATGTCCATTGCAAACTTTAAAGAGTCTGCTTTCTGCAACATTTGTGCACAACTAGCCTGATTAGGAAAGGTTCGTGCTAATAAGAAATAAACTATAGGTTCGGGTTAGGCAACAAAAAAATGAGATCAGTTAAGCATTGTAAGGTCAGAGAATGATTGTGGTTACTGTGAGGGCATTTTCTTCGTAGGCTTAATTCCAATAAGTCCTCCAACCTGAAAGACAACATAGGTCGTTTTAACCAACTTTCAGTTATGACTCATATGAGCATATCCCACAATAGCGTTTGCCAATGCCTCCGAAAATGTAGATTTTGAACTCTGTTTCCCTACCCAACCTACGTTAAATAAATCACGTAACCCACGTCACATGACATAAATACATTTTTTTATTGAATTTATACTCAGTCTACCCTCTGAAACATTAAAGAGAAAACCTACCTGTACGCTCTGGATTGGTTCCCAAACTGAACCTTCAAGTATCCACAGTATTATAGTATTCTTGTAAAGTGATGTTGCTGTCAGTGAAGAGGGGAAGAGTAGAGTCTGTTCAGAAACCCAAGGTCTATGTAATCATATAGGGGATCTGCGCACAACACAACAAGGAACTCCGGTTCACTCAACAGGTTCAGTTAGAGGAACCTTTCTCGGAAAGATGACAGGCAGTGGTAGAAGAGGAATTCAAATCATTTACTTAAGTAAAGGTACGGAAACCAAACTACACATTACTCAATTCAAGTCATTCATTCAATTTGTCAGTTATATCATTACATTACTTGACCATTTCTAATGATGAATTACCATGTAAATAGCACTTTAATGTTTTGGAGTAATGGAGCTAATTTTAAATGCTTTATTGATTGTTAAATCTATGACAGTGTCATAGTTTTTTTTACTGAAACATGAGTAAAAAGTATAATATTTGCTTCTCAAATGTAGTGGAGTAGAACTATAAAGCATAAAGTAAAGTGACAGGTTCCTCAAATTTGTACTTAAGCACAGTACTTGAATAAATGCATTTAGTTACTTTCCACCAATGCCATTTTGTGCCACTTTAAAGACAAAGTCATCCGTCTCATCATAAATCTCCACCTCATCCTCTTCTTGATCTTGATTAGCTTATCTTGATTTCAAAAAGACAGGATTTAAGAGTAATTGACATCCATTTAAAAACATTGCTACTGATATAATTGATATGACAATAAACTAGTTTCATTTGGCTGTCGCAGGAAACTATTGCAAAACAAAATAGAAAAATTGATATTGGTTTATTTTGTTATGTGTTATGTGACTGAAGAGTGATTGTAGCATTGTAGCATGTCAATGACCTTTTGATTCCAGGTTTCGATTGGCCTTTGTTTCGCAACTTGTGTGGAAATCAAGTCAAGCTGGAGGAGGGAACTCTTAACTAGACACCATTAGGGTCCTAAATAAACAGGTTACCAAAAAAATGCCATGTAGGTAGGCTACATGGGAAGCTATTTCTCCTGCTAGACTACCTCTGTCATCTACGACTGCTTGAGACGTTCTGGGGTGGAAGGTGATATTCAAGTTTGACTACATTCTGCCTCTCACAAAAACAGTAATTCAGCAAAACTCCTTGCAGTTATGTATCACAATTATAGAGAGGCAAAGGGAGACAGAGGGCAAGAAATAAGGTATCAGATCCTGGAGGGAGGTGGATATAGCTGCTGTAGCCTACATCCTGTTAGTGTATGTTGTGGGGGTCCTAATCCCATAGAAATACCTCCACTAGAAAAGAGGGCTGCCTCACCTTCTGCAGTGTACTTTGTTAAACTGGTGTCACATGCAGGAAACAGGTACAGACAGATTAGTACTAAAAACCCTGAGGCTGAAATGCCATTGAATTCGTTTCTGTGTTGTCTTTCACAAGTCAGACAGAAATTTCTATTATTGGCACAATAAAGCATGTTTAGTCATTGTTGAAGAAATGTAGACTACACACTGTATAAATATCTAAGATCACTCAATTTAATTTATTAACAGAATCTGGTTGTCTGTGTGATTGTCATTGCTCCTAAAAAACACAAATTAATACAAATAGCGCTTTCTAAAGGCGACATAAGCAGCCCTTTAGGGTGCCATCCCTAGGGGAGTAGTAGCTGCAGTAGCCGAGGCTGCAGTTTCAGGACCGCAATCGTAGGAGTGGAACTGCATTTGTAGGACCCTGGTTTACTTTGATACTGCCAGCTAGCTAGATGACTAGCTATGTTATTCTTGACAGCTCCCTGAAACCAATTACCCTTACCCTAACCATCACAGTGTGTGCCTAAACCTAAGTTATTGCTTGTATGCATGTCGACCGGATAACCCTACAGCTGCGAACACTGGCGTCAGGGCCGACGTGCTAGTAGACAGGGTTAACGTCCTTCGTGTTGCTGTGCATTACCACCACCAATCCACTAGATGGCGCTGTCGTAAAAGAACTGCAGTCCTAAATGAAAAGGCAAAAGCCATCTGGGGCACAGTACAAAAAATTTGAAAAGAGACCAGCTTCAGGGCTTCTCAGCAACGACTGAATTATCCCTAGCAATAACTTTGATCGTAACATTTAACCACTGTTGTCCGTCAGTGTCTAGTCAATGTATTTGCTGCTTTGGATTAAAAAAAAAAACACATCACACCACATTTGAGGGGTGGCTGTATAAAATCCTCTTCCTGCCCAGTCCTGGGGGGGCAGGGCTTAGCTTCAAACTGTCAGGCCACACCTTTACTGATAAGAGGCCTGATGAGGGCCTGCTCAGTCTCTCCATTTGTTTGCTTCAGCACGTGGGTCAGCACAAGATATTGCTAAACTTTTCCAGTGGACTGTGTACCAGATGCAATAATTGACTGTACAATCATCTGCCAGTTAACTATTTAAGTGGAATATTTTAAAGAACAATAAACTGTTGAACAGCTCTCATCTCTGGTCTTCATACTTTAACTGGTGTGCCAATGCAAATCTCCCATCGGAGAGAACATCCAACATCGGAGTATAACAAGAAACATAAATCCCTTAACACCACTAAAACATTCCCTTAAACTATTTCAATAAAACAGAATTACTAGGGGCCAATGTTAAAGGGTCAACTCTGTGATGGTTTTTCAGAGGCACTTAGTTAGTTGGCTAACATTAGTTCATTGGTGGACATTTTGTCTTGTCAAATTAGGAAAAGCAGGTGTAAATAATAACATTTATAATGAAAACGTTTAAGTGTTCCAGAAAACAATGCCATGAGCCGGCATACACAGTAACTGGCCCCAGTAACTGGCACTCATTGAGGGTATTAGTTACACCTGAACATCCAATCTCTATATGTCCTAGTTTTGACGGTCAGCAGCTCAATCTCACGTAGACAGTTGTTAACTTGTCAACCACAGATGCAAGTCAAAACATTCGTAATCTCTAATTTCCATTTAGCAGTCCGTGGTAATGTCCGTGGTATGAAAAGGTGGATTTAAACAGCCTCCACGTGTCGAAGCTAAGTTTGTCAGCAGACCCACACACATCCTCACACAGACATTTGACTCGTCAAACACGAGTGTAACTAAAAACATTAATTACTGCTGCGTTTCATTTAGGAGTGTCATCCATCTTCAAAGTTACTGTTGTGGAAATTGTATGTTGCTGGTAAGGGATTGAGCAAATTATTGAGTTACAACAAACCGTTGTCTTTGAAGAATTTACTAATGAAAGATAATGAAAAGGAAGTACTACAACAGAAAATCAGCTGGTCCAGAGACCTGCCGCCTAGGTAGGCTTAAGGGATGCATAATCATCAACACAGTTCAGGCCTCTGTGTTTTGGGGAACAGAGATCCTCTCCTCTCCTCGAATAAACATACTGATTTCACCCAGTTTGATTAGATGTTGATGTCTGAATGAGGTTTTGGATGGATCCTTAAAAACTAAATTTTGACTTGTCAAAGCAGGAAAAGCACAACAAGTAATAACTAACTAAAGATAAAGCATTAAATTTAATTAAAAAAAATGAATGATGCGACCATCAATTTAAATATAGTTCATTTAAAGATTTAACTGTTTTCTTCTTGCTGCTCTCCTGAGAAATGCGGACCTAAAAAGATGGCCTTAAGGGCCAACAAAAGTTAAAAAAATCACTGTTAAATGTTCAGGCCTTTCAACTTGTGCTGTTACAGCCATAACATTGTGTGTTTTTCTGCCCCCTAGTGGTTGATTCTGAGTTTGGTTTCAAATAGTTGAATCAGGACATTTGGTGTTGTATTGGGAGCTTATTATGTTGCTGACAATCCACCTGCATCTGCCTTTATCGTTATTGGTTCAAGGCATCGTCTGTATGTATTAATTTATCTGATAATTTGATATGATAACGATCTTATATTTAAACATTTGTCAGATGTATGGTATTTTGATAATAATTTGTGGTTTGTATTTTTTATTTTTAGTTTCACACTACTAATTATTACATTATTTAACCTGTGGACGGCATTCATATCTCCAGAGTTGTAATGTGAAGATGTTGACACTTGCTGCAAGTGTTCTCGCTGATAATGCCAGAGAAAGACGGTACACAATTATTTATTAATAATTTTATTAGTAAATACAAAAGCTCACAAATTCAGATATTTTATGTTGTACATGCAAAACTGTTTGTTGCATCTCTTTTGAAAGATCAAGCTATATTTTTAATCTCAGATATTTGTTTCAGTTTTTACTCAAAAGAAAAAACATTCTTTAAACTTTAAACACCATGTTTGTTTTATAACTCCAGTTTTTGTGTATTTGATGAGACAATTTAAAATGCAGCGTCTTTGTTTGACACAAACACACAAACGGCCCTCAGGTGGCAGTGACAGACAGCAACAGTTTCCAAGTAACCAGCAGTGAGCTATGGTGAATGAAATGAGACGAAATCATCAAAAAAATTTTTATTTCATGACATGTACGGAATAAAAGCATGTGTATTACAATTAGCATCCCATTTGATTAGAAATGACAGTATTAGAAATATATATGTCCACCTTGATATCATACTATGTGAATATTGTCTAAACTGTAAAACCTGACAGAAAAAGAAGAAAAATACAATTAAATTTTTTGTTTTAGGAATGTGAAAAGAAAGAGGTTCATGATTTAAAAACAAGTAAACATCAACTTACTTCAAACTTTTATTTTCTAGTATGGGTCAAGCTTCAAAAGCATAATAAATTTCCCATAATGCAGGTTGATAGTCTTTTTTTGTCAGACCCTTCACTTCAAGAAGTACCAGTACCACAATATAAGTACTCCACTACAAAAGAAAGTCCTGCATTGAAAAAAGTAAAAGTACAAAAGTATAATCAGCAGAACGTATTTAAAGTATAAAAAGTACAAGTACTTGTTCTGGAGTAAAATGTCTCCTGTAACTGATATTATACATCACTTTACTAGATTGTTAATACTGATGCATCATTGTACTTCTTTATGTGCATTTAGCCTGTTTTGTCTAGTGTTTCCCAACCTAGGAGTCGGGCCCCTGCAAAGGGTCACAAGATAAATCTAAGGGTTCATAAAGAAGGTATGAGAGACATCTCACTGGAGATGAACAAGTACCTGCTGGTTTTTCAACAATGCGTTTTATTTTATAAGCATGTCATATATTGTTTTCGGTAAATCTCCATTTGAAAAATAACTAACTTAACTACAACTGTGAAATGAAAGCAGGGTACAAAAAACCACAATTATTTTAGTGAAGTAGAAGTATACCCCTCTTAATGACATTCTAAACAATTTTCATTCGTAAGTTTTGGATTTCAAAATCAAATAATGATTATTCTTTCCCCTCATTTCTGGTTGTAAAAGGAAATCTCAGTGAATAGAGCTTAGGTGTCCATTGAGGAGGGGTGTGTGCTCAGTAGCACTTTCACCAGAACTCATAGCTCGCTGTAAGCTCTGCCAGAAGACTCCAGTGTGTTGAACGGCTTGCGGCCAGCTCAGGTAGGTGCGTTTCTTCACCATACTTCTCATTTGGTAGTACGCAGACAGCTGCTGGGGGGGGATGTGCTCCAAAAACAGCAGGATCAACACATCCTTCTGCTCGTCAAACAGACGGTAGCTGTAGAAACCACACAAAGGACGCTTGAATGAATTTGGGAACAGGTGAGATAAGAGCATTTAATGCATGGAAAGAGAGGCAGCGCCCTCACCTGGCCATCTGGATCTCTCTGGAGCACCACTCACTCTGCAGGTAGTGCCGGCTGATCACACAGATGGTCTTCCTGCTGCCATAGATTGCGTCTGTAATGTTTTCTACGATGGGCTTACCTATGAAAACATCAGCCATGCAGACAAGGCACTTCATTCAAACTGACCATCATGTTGTTTAAGAAATCCCTTTTTTCCACAAATAGTAATTTACTTTTTTCTACGCAGAAATTTGAATCATGAAAATGGGCATATCTGTAGAGATACTCGTTGAATGCAACATTAGTTTTGGTCTTTGTGAGACACAAATAAAATTTTTTATGTAGCCTACTCTGACAAAAGCACCTTGCTCCCTACGTCCTGTGAAAGATCCAGACCCTAGATTTGGACAAAGCTTCTCTCACATCACATCCAAGTCTCTCTTGAAAAAATATATATTTAACTATTTAAATGGACCTTGTTCTGTGAAAAAACATGTTGCTAAGTTTGTCTAAAATTAATATGAGTTAGACAATTGAAGTGGAAATGTTGCAAAACATTGTCTCTTTAAGACAAAATTCCAAATATGTGTTACTATCTTTCCACTGCAGCTAAACATGGAAACATAAGGAGGGAATTTAATGTTAACCAACTGTATCTTTACTCACTTGATTTGTCTCTGGAGTGTGACCCACTAAGGCCTTGTTCATACCAACATAAGCACTGCATTGAAAATAAAAAATACAGCCACCTTAACACTTTGGAGGTGAACTCTAGCAAAGAAAATGTACTGTTGTTTGTCGAAAAGCTGAATCTCGCTCCCAATTTTTCACCACATAATGCAAAGTCAGCCGGGAACACCCTGTGATGGCTAATCAAAAACGTACAAGCAGACATTCTTCTGTGTTTCCTCTACATTTTACATGAAAACTTTCTACAGTAGAGTACTTAAATCCTGTCTCATGGTTTTATGGATTGATGTACAGTGTTTGGGTGTCTAGTATGTCTTCACACACACAGATCGCATTTCCTGATCTCACTAGTATCTGAAGAAACAACCCACACCAACGCAGCCATTTGCATGTCTTAAAGGCAGTTCTGTTTTTGATGTGAAGGCTCAGTTAGACTACAAACAAAAGTGACCTGAATACTCATTATTTGATTATGACATTGGCCCAAATGAGGATGTGAAATTCATTATTGTCATAAATGCAGGTTCTTTAAAAACAGAGTCAAACATTTCAAACAACTCTGACAGGAAGAAGACTCAATCACAGATGACAGTGAAAGAGGAAGCAGAGATAATCAAATGTTTGTTGATGCTTGATGCCAGATTGATAGAAAGAGTTTGAGGACAAACAGAGCGTCTGTACCTGGTTCGAAGTCTCTGTGGTGCAGACACAGCCTCCAGCCTTGCTCTCCTTCCAGCACTGGAAGCATCTCTCTGTAGACCCAGGCCTCATCGTGAACGTTGTAGGACACAAAAGCATCATAGTGGTGACGAGTGCCCTTCTTTCCCCTCTTCTTATCATAGAGGAAGGCCAGGAAGAGGTAGTAGGCGTAGACTAGGTGCCACCTCATGAAGTGGTAGATGAATGTTGTGAGGAGAGTGAGCACAGTGAGACTAGCGCTAGAAATGAAGCAGAGGAAGCCGGCGTCTATCCAACAGGATTCAATGTCAAAGTCCAGGAACATATTTCCCTGTTGGCTCACAGGAAAGGCACAAGTATACTGGTGGCCATTAACAACCTGTGTCTGGTTGGTGCTCTGCACCCATTGGTTAAAACCAGAATTAGAGCATTCGCATGTCAGAGGGTTATCAGTCAGGTCCAGATATGTCAAGGCCGGGAGGGACTGAAAGACTGTCTCATTGATGATGGACAATGCATTCTCACTGAGTTTCAGCCAGCTGAGAGAACGCAGGTTGGCCCTGGCCAGGAAATCTAAAGACCTGAATTTATTGTTGGAGAGGTCGAGCGTCTGCAGGTTTGGGATTGGCCAGAACAGTTCAGGGGTTAAATCTGACAGATCACTGTGGATTATCTGAAGACCCTTCAGTTGGGGAGTGTATTTAAACGTGTCTGGGTGCAAAGACTTCATGAAAAATCTCTCAGTCATGAGGTACTCTAAAGATATCAGACCCTTGAGCAGATCTGATGAAATCTCAGTTCTAAATGTGTCGTAAACTTTAAGCACAAGCTTCTTCAAATTGGTTAACTTTAAGAAAGGTGGCTCGTCATTTTGTTGAGAACTCTTCTGATTCCAGTTAAAAGTAAGATGTAGTGTCAGATTTGCTAATTGTGGTAATCCTCTGAAAACCTCCTTTAGGAAATTACTAAGAGAAAGACTAAGAGTTTGGAGATTATCGAGTCCTTCGAAAGCCCCGTCATTCACATTGTGATGTTGGTCTGACTCTAAATCCAAAACCCTGAGGGAAGACAGATTCCTAAAGTCTCCTTGCATGAGCTGAAAGGGGCCATTGTTGTGCAAATTCAAAGATTCTAGTTTCCACAAGTTAACGCTGAAGGTCTTGTCAAAAGTGTAAAAAGCATTTTCTCCAATATCGAGGACTTCCAAGTTGATTAAGTTTTGAAAAACACAGCCTTGAAGTTTTGAAATACGATTGTGGTTGAGATTAAGGTTTGTTAATCTTGTCAAATTCAGGAAGTCGAGGCAGTCAAGCTCACTGATGAAGTTGGAGCTTAGATCCAAGATTTCCAGTGTGGAGAGTCCTCGGAGCGCGAGTGGCAGTTTAGACAGTTGGTTACCGTCCAGTGCCAGAAGCCTGAGCTGTGTCATTGATCTGAATGAATGCTCGGACAACTTGGACAGGTCATTACTGGACAAAGTGAGATTATTGAGCAGAGAACAAGACCTCAGCATGTCATCGTCCACGGTACCAATTTTGCAAACCTCTACATCTAGAGATCTGAGAGAAGGAATTCGGCAGGCGACGTCTATGAGACCTTCAACTATCGGCTTCTCCATCATCAACAGCGAAAGTTTTTGTAGTGAGTCAGCGGTCTGCAGTATCGCTCTGTACGTCTCAAAGCTAATATACATTCCACTAAATAACAAAATAGTTAGGCTCCTCAGAAACATCTTGTTTGCTACATCCCACTCAATGTCACAGCTACACTTAGACAAGTCGAGAGAGTACAGATAAGGAAATATATCTGTAGTAATGCTGAACTTTCTCAGTGGGTTCATACTTAGCTGCAGTACCTCGAGGTTTGAGACGTTTAAAGGCAGGTCGTCTGATTGAAAAGAGTCAAACTTGTTATACGAAAGGTGAAATCTCTTTAAAGTTGATAGTTTTAAGATGGGAGCAATGTCTGTAATTTGTTGTAGCAAATTGGCACCCAGATATACTGTCTCTATGCTGACCAGGGACTCAAAGGATACAGGGGAGATAAATAAGATTTTGTTGCTGTCAAGCGACAGGAAGACTAATTTGGACAGCCCCTGAAACATGTTGTCTGTCAGGTTTGTTAGTTCATTGTCATCCATAATAAGGAACCTTAATTCTACCAAGTCTGCAAAAGCTCCATCATCAATGTGTGAAATCAGATTATATTGAAGTTGTACATCAATGAGCTTTGATAAACATCTTAAATCTGTCCGGTTGATGTTTAAAAGTTGATTTGAGCTGAGATCCAGTGATGTCGCATTTCTGGGAATGTCATCGGGAATAGCAGTGAGGTCTCGAGCTGTGCAAGTAACCCACAGACTTTTAGCATTTTCAGAATGGGCCAACGTACAGTTTTTAAGTGAAAAAGCCAGTAAGGGATTGTAATGAAGCAGGCAAGACAGAAGATAGACAAGGAACAGAGACCAACTTCCCATAGCTTGCATGTTGATCTCTGGGAGCAGCACTGTTTTGTTCACTTTCTCGAGAAGCTTGTTGGAGGTGGAGAATATTTTGGTTCAGCACTTCACATCTGAGGAGGATGAAAGAAGAAATAAAACATTACTGTACAGTGCATTTCCAAATAATGCTAGGAATGGCAATTTGATCGACTTTAGGATTTCCAAATGTAAAATATTAATAAATACACTTGAAAACGACACCTCAGTTTGTCACGAGCTTTGTGAGTAAGAAGTAAAGCGCTGTCGTAGGACACTAGCCTCAAATCCTGCTTCGGAGTACAGTCCCCAGGCTACCACTTTCAAGGATCAATGGTTAGACTGCTTATCGACATTTACTCTCTTTTCTGAATGAAATTCTGTAGCTCTTTAAGTAACATTGTGAGCTAAATTTATAACAATATAACGGTACGAGTAAACAAATGAATGTCAGACAAAAATATATTGTAAAACCGTATCACCAGAAAATGACAATGATTTTATGTCCAATTCCAAATTTTTAAAAAGTCTGCTTTCACAATATGTGCACAACTAGCCTATATGCACCAGTGGGGCAGTGGACAAGACACATACCTTTGACGTGGAGCGGGAGATCTGGGTCTAGTTCTCACTGTGACACATCCACCAATGTGTCCCTGAACAAGACACTTAACCCCTAGTTGCTCCAGACTTCTACATAACAGTTTTAAGTTGCTTTGGAGAAAACTGTCAGCTAAATGTAGTAATGTAAATGTATATCTACTTACTTAAGATTTTCAATGCAGAACTCCTTGTAATGACATGCTTCTGATTTAATTGCTGTGTCGCTGCTTTTGCTTAAGTAAAGGATCTAAATATTTCTTCAAACATTATTTACGTACTTCAGGTCACACGGAGCAATGCTGTCCAAGGTCCAATCTGGTGTGATTTTGATGTCAGCAAAGGACAATTCATGCAAAGTATCAGCTAACACAGACAGAGTGTGAATGTAGAAGAGCTGTGTCTCTTATTTTGACCTTTGAAATAAAGGAAGTGAAATCTATAAATGGACATCACGCTGACCAAGTTGTAGTGCAGAGGTTTTCAAAGTAGGAGGCGGCCCCTCGCAGGGTGGCTCTAAACTGTTACAGTGTAGGTTCAGTGAATGTAAGTAAAAAATGGCTAATAGTTATCTAAAGGAGATTACGTAGAATATCCTCAAAGTGTCATTTGGTTAGAGAGGTAGTTATTAACATGTATGAAGGAGAACACAAGACGATTACTTCTCCTTACCTTCCTGCCTACCAATTATGTTCTTCAAACATAACTTCTACTGACAAAACATGAGAATAAGAAAAAGCAGAACAAACACAAAATTTCATTGTGTCATGTGGTCACATTAGGTAATTGTCATTCTTGCTTAATCTATACAGGAAATATTAGCTGAACACGGTGCCAGACGGATTACACAGGTTAATATAAAAACATTTTTTGCATCTGTGAAAGCTGTAAGTTTGATAGTTTATAGTGTCCTCTAGAGGGCACTGTGATTCCATGGTGGAATTTAAACTTGTGCACAAATTTGTTGGCATCTTCAACTTTTGCTTTATGAAAACAGCTTATTATTTGTAGCTAGATCACATTCTGTACATGATTATTTAACTGTTGTCACATTTGCAAGTTGGTTACAAGGAAGTTTTAAGCACTGAAAAAAAGAGAAGACATGGGTCAGTTTCTTTTTCCAGGGACAGGCCCTTGAGAGGTCTGGAGATTCACATCAGTTCTCAGTAGGGTGTGTGTGGTAGCCCATTTGGAGACACACATGTATGGCTCTTTACCCCTCTCAGAGTGGTTTTGTTAATCCAATTGTCCTGATGAGCCTCGTGTTCACGTGGCCATTAGACGGTAAATTCATGCCTGGAAATTGTTGTGACGTTTTAAAAGTCTTGAATGGTAAAGCAAGTCACTTTGCTCCACAGGGGGATTCGTTTGCCTCAGGAAAATTTTACATCTTTGATTAAATGTTCAACCAACCTTTACTTTGTGTTGAAGGCCTTTTGGACAATTAAAATACCTTTACAGGTTGAAGTTTCATCATTAAATCCCATTTTAAATGTAAATCTGATCTTAATGACATTCTAAATAATAATAGTAATAATGCATTACATTTATATACCGCTTTATCATTGAAACTCAAAGCGCTTCAGTGAAGTGGGGGGGGGGACGATGACGACTCACCTCAACCACCACCAATGTGTAGCACCCACCTGGGTGATGCACAGCAGCCACTTAGCGCCAGAACGCTCACCACACATCAGCTTGAGGCAGAGAGGGGGGGGGGGCATTGAGCCAGTTACTATGTGGGATGATCAAATGGCCAGATGGTGAAAGCCAGGTTGGGAATTTTGCCATGATACCGGGGAACCCCCTGCTCTTTGCGACAAGTGCCATGGGATCTTTAATGACCACAATGAGTCGGTTTAACATCTCATCCGAAGGACGGCAGCTCCTACAGCACAGTGTTCACATCATTGCACTGGGGCATTGGGATCTTATTATTGGGACCAGAGGGAAGACTGCCCCCTACTGTCCCACCAACACCTCTTCCAGCAGCAACTTAGTTTTCCCATCCAGGTACTAGCCAAGCCCAAACCTGCTTAGCTTCAGTCATTCAGCAATAGCAGGGTTTGCTGCCGGCAACAAAAATATGATTTTCATTTGTAATTTTTGGATCTCAGAATCAAATAATGTTTTTCCCCTTCAATTCTGGTTGTGAAGGAAATCTCACTAAATGGAGATCGGGTGTCCAGGGAGGACGGGTGTGTGCTCAGTGGCACTTTCAGCTGAACTCAGAGCTTGCCGTACGCTCTGCCAGAAGACTCCATTGTGTTGAACGGCTTGCGGCCAGCTCAGGTAAGTGCGTTTCTTCACTAGATTCCTCATTTAGTAGTACGAAGACAGCTGCTGGGCAGGGATGTCCTCCAAAAACAGGATCAACACATCCTTCTCTCTCTGGATCTCTCTGGAGCACCACTCACTCTGCAGGTAGTGCCAGCTGATCACGCAGATGGTCTTCCTGCTGCCATAGATGGCGTCTGTAATGTTTTCTACGATGGGCTTACCTATGAAAACAACAGCAACGAAGACAAGACACTTCATAAATGTTCTGGAAACTGACCATCATGTTGTTTAAGAAATCCCTTTTTTACACAAAAAAGTAATAAAAACTTTTTTCTGTGTAAATTTGTTTGATATTTAGTCCCTTATCTGCATACTTTTTGGTCCCCCCCAAAAACAGGAGGTTTAAGACCCATCCTGGATCTCTGCTACTTGAACTAACATATCGGAAAGACACCGCTCCATATGCTGGCGCTCAAGAAACTGCTGGAGCTGGTGCAGCCCTGTGACTGGTTCACCACCATCGACATGAATGACTTCTACTTTAGTGTCGAGGTGGCCTGGTAACACAGGAACGTCCTGCGCTTCGCCTTTCAGGGAGTAGCCTTTGAATACAACAGCTCCCCTTCGGCTATTCGCTGCCCTCCTTCACATTCAGCATGTGTGGACCTACAACCGCTGCGCGAGCACAGCATGAGGGTCTTTTTCTACTTAGACAACTACATACTGTCATGGCCAGATCGAAACCTTGGGTGATTTTCCACACAGCCCAGTTGATTTTGCACTTCAACAACCTGGAGTGTGTAATCAATTGGGAGAAGAGCTCTCTCCAGCCACTACAGATGGCAGTATTGTGATGGATTATCACAATATTGCATATTGTAGGCACACATGCAAGCAAGATTTGTCTGTCTCACTCTTATCCCTGCCACCCTCATCCTTTCCCCCAATAATGTTTCCTTCTCAGATTTTTTCCTACACTTTTTTTTAAACCTGGTATCTTATTTCCTCTCCCCGCAGCTCTTGGTGTGCAGCAGTCTCTGTGAGCATCTCCCTCTTATTTTCTCGTAGCAGTCAGCCTTCAGTCACTGTGAGCAGGTCCCAAACACTCAACAATCTTTACATCTTTTCATGGTCACATAATTGTTTAATCAGCTAATATATATCCTATGTTTGTTTTAATATCTCTAGTCACAGATCACCTCCAGTAGTATCAGCAGTAACAACAACAACGGCAGCAGCATCCCCAGCCACCCCTCAACAGCAACTGTTCCCTGTAAATTATGTCAGCCCACAGTGTTCTAATGCTAGAAGTAGGTATTCCCTGTATTTCTTTTTCAAAACTGTGTCTCAGCATTTGCTGAAGTATCGATACAGAAGCATCTGTATATGCATATAATCAAGGAATACATAACGATAAATTTCTGTATCGATATTTTGAGAACAGCCCTATTTAAATCCTTGTTCCATGTCTCCTTTTTATACTTTGAGCACCTGCCCTTCAAAAGGTCTCTGCACGGCCCTGATGGGGAACACGGTAAAAATTATACCTGCTTAACATCAGCATGTCCTGGTGAGCATGTTAGCATGCTCTTGCTTCTTAGCCTTGTTAATGAGTAACAGAAACAGGCCGTTAAGGTTACCGTAGTTACCTCAAAAGAAAAGTGGTTGTCTCGAGTCGGAGGCCAAAGTGTGAGCTTACAGTAGTGCGGAGCAGCGCCCACAAAACACAACGTTAGAGATCTGCAATATATTATGAGATGTAAAAATATTTTTCGGTTCATTTTGAAACTATGGCGTAGCAAATTAGACTATGGCGGGCTGCCATGGTCTCGTTAATTAATGGGAAACACTGATAAGGTAATGCATTATATATGCAAGTGTTACTTAGATATTATAAGATTATTAGATATTCCTCCTATTGTTTTCTGATTTTGATAACCAGAAACTGGCTAAGACTGGCCTACCATACTGCAAAATAAATCAATTTAACAGTTGTCATATTACATATGACATACTGCAGACTGCGGTTGCCAGTAGTAGCCTATGTAGTAGGCAGTACAGCCAAAGTAACTTGTACTTTGAGTAGCTTTTTAATCAAGTACTTTTATAGTTTCACTTGAGTAGGTTTGTCAAAGAGTAAGCGTACTTTTACATGAGTAAAGCCTTTCAGTACTCTACCCACCACTGGCTGGCACCCCCAGTACTAGCACCGACATGGGCGAACATGAGACAGACAGCAGAGATGAGGGCAATAGCAAAACAAGGTTAAAGCCTGCAAAGCCCAAAGCACCAGAGATTTGTTAACATTGATGATGATATGGCTTATTTATTTAGGAGAGCTAGATAGGTGTTTTTAGTTTTGAAAATTACGTGCTTTATGTGCTTTTTTGTGAGGTGTTGTACTTGCATAAAATTTTTAAGAATTTAGGAATAAAAGCATCTAAAGACCCTGAGCGCTGAGTGGGCTGACCGGGCCATTTTTTTGTTCCAATCTGCCCCTGGCTACCAAACTCAACTGTATACTGCTGAAGTATCCACAATGTATAATATCCATCCATCGTCAACCGCTTATCCTGTGTACAGGGTCGCGGGGGGCTGGAGCCAATCCCAGTTTACGGGTGAAAGGTGGGGTACACCCTGGACAGGTCGCCAGTCCATCGCAGGGCCACCAATGTATAATAGGATTCTTGTAAAAAAAAATCTATAAAATCTATAAAATGTTGTTGTTGTCAGTGCAGAGGGGAGAAGGAGGAAAAGGAGTCTGTGCAGAAACACATGGTATCTGTAATCACACAGGAGATCTGTACAATGCAACAAGGAACTCACACAACAGGTTCAGTAAGAGGAACTATTCAATTGTACTTATTTGAAAGTAGGGATACCACATTAAAAGTAAAAGTCATGAATTCAATATTTGTTTGTGTTATTTCATTATATTATGCTGTATTTATTTATTTATTTATTTATAAGTAGTTAAATCTAGGACACAGCATCTTAGTTTATAAACTGAAACACGAGTTAAAAATTTTGATTTGTAACAGAAATCTTGCTCAAGGACAAATCTCACTTTGACCTCTTGTGAGTAAGAATTTTAATGCTAAGTAAATCTAAATGCTAGTAAT